TCAGACAGAAACAACCTTAGTGGTGTAGTGCCTAGCATGTACGCCTACAGATCGAGAGGTCCTGGGTTCGAGTCCCGAGTCGGGAATAAATAATACATGTCACAAAATAACTCAGCATCAAGAGTTGGGACGTTTGCCGTTTGTATACTGTATCGTGTACAGTACACCTACACCCCAGCCAACTACTCTAAGCAAAATATACTTTATTCAAATAGACCTATGCTGCTGGCAATTGAATGGTCATTTTTACATTTTCAAAATTTATATGTTAAGGTCAGTACCTATGTATATCCGTGAGGAAAGCTCGGAAGCAAGTTCTGCTGAGAAGAGCCCAAAAGAAGCTTGATTTGCTCTTTTAAGCGAGGAGAGCTGAAGCTCTTCTATATATATATATATATATATATATATATATATATATATATATATACATATATATATGTATATGTATATATAAAACTCAAGATACACAATTAGCGTCTCAAAAGTGTCCTCAAAAAGAAGTGCCAAATTCGAAATTATGCGATTTTTCAAATCTCATTGCTTTTCGGATGACAAAATTAAAACGCACGTCGTTTCGTTTAAAAAAGTACTTTATGTGGTGTGCGTAAGTTCGAATTTGTGTTTAGATAATTAGAGTTTTCGATTTTCGAATGTTATTCTTTGGTTTGACTTAACATCGCATGTCGACGCCACTTTTTGAGGAGATATTTGGTAGGAAATGTATATGACGAGACATTTTCCCGCACTAAAAAGTGTCGTATATATTGACCCGGATAACCAGCTATCATTATACTAAATTTCATCAAAATCTGTCCAGTGGTTTTTTCGTGATGCGGTCACAGACATACAGACAGACAAAAATTCTAAAAACTATAGATTTGGCTTCTGCATCGATAATAATGACTATTTCAATAATATTTTCCAAAAAATATTTAATGTACAGATTCGGCTTATTTAGAATTTTATTAGGTACATGTATTTGTTCTGGTGGTGGTATGATTATGTCTCGCACAGTTCGTTAGTGTCACTGAGATTCGTCGTCAAACTCTATGGTGTAACTAATACCCATTGAAGAGTTCCACTTGGATAGTGGAACCTTCTGGCTCCATCATCAGAACAGCTCGATGGTATTAAATTATCCACAACATCGCAAAGCTTCCAGTCGGTTTTATACAAACACACAGACAAACAGACTTAAGATTATTTGTAAAGTATTCGTAATAACGACCTATTTGACTTCAGTCACGTCTCGATAATGACTAACCGATTGCGTATTATCTATTAATATACATAGATTATGTTTACGATTCAATTACAGGCGGTTTTTTTAATTAATTAAACAAGCGATCAACAACTGACCATTTTAAACAATAATATAGTTATTAGCAAGTGTTTGCCATGTAATTATTTTTTCGTGAGTTTTTCCGATGTTTTAATAGTTTTTCCGCTATTCGGAACGGATAGATCCAACAAACAAACAAATCAAATATCATAGAAATCGGTCCAGCCGTTGTTGAGTTATAAATGGTGTGACTTACCCGACTTTTTTACGGTTTGCTTGTATTGAATAGGCTCCGGAACTACTGAACTGATTCAGATGAAATTTGGTAAGAAGATAGTTTGAGACCCTGGGAAGGACATAAGATAGTTTTAATCCCGGAAATCATCATTTAAGGGGGTGAAAATGGGGGTGAAAGCTTATATGGGGAAGTTTTATATATATTATATGTAAGTATAGATAACTAGTATAGCTGTCGAAACATTTGGGACACAAACAGTTGGGACATTAACACACAGCACCATCTAGTTCCATGTTAAGCTACGAGGCTCGTGTTATGGATGCCAGAGAGTTGATACACCACACATATATAACTTCAAATACATACATATTATAAATATAAACACCTATGACTGGAGTACAAACATTCGTGCTCATAACACAAAGGAATGCCCCCAGCGGGACTCAAAGCCGCGACCGCTGGCACAGTAAGTAGGGTGTATTCAAAGGTGTAAAAATATATAAATGTTTTTTTTTTATAAAAGAAACGTTGACCCCGAATTGAGACAATAAACTTGGTGACTTTGAAACAGTCTTTTGTGTTCATGATTACCCAATGACCTCTCGTATCGTTGTTTACGAACAACCTGACAAACTTATCAGTGCAGATTGTTCTATTGTGACATATTAGTATCTATCATCAGTTTCTGTTCATTGATTTTTATTATAATAGTAGCGACTCACCCTCGCTCCGCTCGGGTTCGTCCTTAGTTACGTTTTAACGTTTAGTAAAGATTTCTCAGAAATGAGATTTTTTCCCGCTGTGTAAAATATCCTATATGATGACCCATATAACCAGCTATTATCATACCAAATTTCATCAAAATCTGCCCAGAAGTTTTTATGTGATACGGTCAGACAGACAGGCGGACAGACAAAAATTCTAAAAAACTGCATTCGGCCTCTGTATCGATAATCATAACTATTTTAATAAGATTTTCCAAAAAATATTAAATGTACAGATTCAAGTCAGTTAGAATTTTATTATATGTATGTATAGATAGATAGCATGAACGTCAATCTTCATTGAGTGGAAAACCTAATATGAAAGGCCTTGAATAAACTTTCAAGACCAACTAGTTATGGGTGGTTGCCTATAGGTACCATTTCTCGATTAAAACTAAATCTAGTATTTTCAAAGACAAAACATAAAAAAAAACTATTTAATTTAATGATATTATCATATATTTTAGTAATTAGACTACTTGATACGTCCAGTTTTCGAAAGACATGCTCATTCCGCCAACCCGCATTTGGCCAGCGTGGTGGACTACAGCCTGATCCCCGTCGTATTGAAGGGAGGCCTATGCTCAGCTGTGGGACGTTAAAAATGGCTGAATACATACGACCAGTGAGAGTTAAGGCGCAGGACCAGATTAGTACACAGATAGATTAAAAACAAGCTGTTATATTGTAACCTAGAGACGAACCCAAGCGAAGTAAGGTAAATTCACTCGTATATTTACATTTTGCGGATCGATGGAATGATATTTATTATCTTTTAGTATTTCTAATTTAAATACTAACTCAAATAGGCAAGTTTGCTGTCTGAAATTCATTGTTATTGTTCCGTACCCGTAAGGTGCTAACGAAACCCTATTAATATGCCTCCGCTGTCCGTCTGTCTGTCTGTAGACTGTATCTCATGAACCGTAATAGGTAGATAATTGAAAGAGGCTTTTACGCGTTCTACCTCGGCATGGGGGTGACACTGCGCCAACTTTCCAACTTCGGGCTGTTACTGAGGATTTCTTGACAGAAATACTTAATAACTGAACTTGGCTTGACCCGGGACTCGAACGCAAGACCTCCGGATGGACAGCCGTACATCAGTACATGCAAGCCACTAGACCTCTGAGGCAGTTAAAATCGGCACCATAGTGTGGATCAGGCTTTATTATGCACGTAATACCTATTTTAATAAATGTATGTGTAAGAATCAATGACTCTTACAGTTCATGCGCTTATTGGCATTGTACCAAACATGCACTTGTATGTTAATTTTTTTAATATTTTTCTGTCTGTTTGTTACGTATACAATATACATATGTATATTGGAAATGTGTGTCTTACCTATACATATAATAAAATTCTAACTGAGTCGAATCTGTACATGAAATATTTTTTGTAAAATCTTATTGAAAACATATGAAAGGAAATAAACTTTATACAATTAGACTTATTACAAATTCTTTTGAATATATAGGTTACTTTTTATTGCGGGAAAATATCTAACTTCTGAGAAGTCTGTACTAATTGTTAAACCGTATCTAGGGACGAAGCCGAGCGGAGCGAGAGGGTCCGTCGCTAGTAAATATTATAAATGCGAAAGTTTGGATGGATGGATGTTTGTTTGTTACACAATCACGCCAGAACGGCTGAACGGATCTGGATGAAATTTGGCGTAGAGATAGATTATAGTTTGGAATAGCACATAGGTTACTTTTTTACGCGGAAAAATGTACGATTCCCCAGGGATATCATAAAAAATCGTAGCCAAAATATGTTTAGAAGTCATCATAAGTTTGAGGAGAAAAATAATTTCTAAAAGAAGTAAAAGTAATTATCTATATATAAATATGCAAAGACAAACCAGTTCAGTAGCTTTTTCTTGTTTGTTTGTGAACCGATTTTCTTTTCTTTATGTATATTATGCTACTAAGCAGCTATTGACGAGCTTTAGTGTATCAATAAACAAATTTTCGAAACAGTTTTTTTATATAGATAGTTAAGTCTAAGTTCTATTCATATATATATTTTCCTTAAATCAATATAATTAATGATTATATTAACGAGAAATATTTTTCAATTTAAACTTCCTATTCCAGTATTAGTAAAGATGAAACGCAATATTTGTATTATATCAATAAATAATATGTTGCCTGTTCGTGTGCCTTCGAAGTTCGAGATCGTAAACAAAAACAAGACCCACAATCAATGTTTATGTCATAGAATTTAGACGATTAAAACGTATATTATGTATTGTATATTTCTGGTCTGAAAGTGAAAGTACTTGAGACTCGCGGAAGTAATAATTTAAGTAAAAAACGTCAGTCCAAAAGCGACGTTTCCCAAAAGTAATAAATTAGCGTTAATTAACTGATTTTTGTTTTAAATTGCGAGATCTCAACGTCACGAGTAATCTTGCCAACTAACGTGATAATATATTTTGGAAAATCCAATACGTTTTCCATAAAAACATATAAGTAATTTAACGTTGCAAATACAAAACAAAGTAAGTATCTACGCGTTAATATCAAGATTCTGCGCCTACGCAATCGCATTGTTTACGTTCGAATTTCAAAAATAGTTCAGTCTCGTCCGAGCGCTCGACGCGTGCAGACGCGTGTGACGCTCTGTGAATTTTAATCATTGAAAAAAATACATATACCGAGTCGAAATCGATTTTTACGCAGTACAGTGAAGTGTTTATGTGCCAAAAATGATTGAGCCGTTGAACGCTGCAGCGGTAGATGAACTGGGTGAGTGTTGTGATCTGTAAAATGTGCTCTTAAATTCTTTAGATTAGAGAGAATTTGGATCATTTATCTTAATTGACTACAGTTATGCTATAGTGATAACTACTTGACTCTGCCTGAACATTATTTATCAGTGTTGGGCATTAAGTAATATGTAATTACTTTGCTATCATAAGAGTGTCGTGTGGTTTATTTCTTAATAAATTCTGGAAGTGAAATATTTTACCATACTTTACTCTTATTGTATATTCCTGTCTGGTTTTGAAGTTTTTACGAAACTTTTGGCTCAGTTTGTAGTGACCCTACTTGCTGTGCCAGCGGTCGCGGGTTTGAGTACTGCTGGGGGATTAATTTGTGTGATAAGCACGAATGTTTGTACTCCAGTCATGGGTGTTTATATTTATAGCATGCATGTATTTAAAGTTAATGTCTTAACATATTTATTTATTTATCCCTATAAAAACAATCAAAAAAGTACATCGTCTTCAAAGTCACTTTAAAACTAGTCATTGAAAAAACATCTGGATCAAGTACTTTCTCTTTATAGAAGTCGGTTAAGAACACGCACCTCAGTCACTCACGCCTTGAAGCCAATGTCCATTACAATTTTCTTGAAACTATAAAACTAATCTCGGTTTCCCAAGCGAGCGCGTTACCACTGGGCTACTACCACTGCCTATCTATTCCATACTAAGTGTCAAAGCGTGCCTAAAGGACGAACCCGAGAGAAGCAAGGGTGAGTCGCTAGTAACAATTAACAAATATACACTGGTCCTAATGTATGACAACCTTTCTACCTACGAGATTACGAAAATAAATCTGTATGTTTAAATTATGACGTCTGAACCTCTCCCACGAAATCATGATCAAACGCACGTAGCCTCTAGCGTGGCATAAACACACACCGTCTTTGATAGATCGATTTGGCAATTTTTCTTTTTATATTTTTGTAATTTTGAAAGGTTTTTACCGGCAAAAATTTGCCCGTAATTGTAAGAAATTCTGGAAAGACAAAGTGCTTTATTCTTATAATGTAAGTATTTTCTTAGATTTACTCGAATATTAGATACTACCTACTACGAGTATTATACTACAATAAAAATAGTCGTTTTTTTGGTCAACTTTGCACTTAAGTTCTGATCCATTTTTTTTATTTTATTATAAGGTTTAGGATCAGTGACTGAGTATAAAATCACAAAACGCTGACAGATTTCGGTGGAGATTCAGGCACCATCTTGAATAAACTTTTTGGCCGATATCTCGAAAACTATGCACTTTTGGGGCAAAAAAAGCATTTTTGTAAAGAATAAAATTTCGCATCTTTTGTTTTCTGATATTGTTTTTTGTAAAACCGTTTACGATTTATAGCCAATTTAATGAACGGTTCTTCTATCTCGGCCGATAACTCTTAAAGTATTCCTTTAATCAATAAAATGCATCTATCCATTTTTAAAGATCCATTTATTCTCTACAACTTTTATTTAAAAAAAATCTAATGTCCATACTTTTTGAGCTATAGGACGTTCAATGTAGAAATACCTACGCTCGGCGAATGACGCAGCAGCCCACTGCCCAACGCTTTTTTTCTATGCCGAACTGGCCGTGGGAGAGCATGTGGGTGCCGAAAAGTGGGCTTGGACTGCACTGTAATTTGTGAGAATTGAACAAAATGTACTATTGACTAGTATTTCATACATTTAAAAGGTGATTTTAACCTTGTTTTTTGTAATTTTTAAACATTTTGATAATGAATAAAGTATAACTTGTAGAAAAGGTCAAGATCAACTCTATTTATATAAGAACTAGTTTACTCGTTGCTCGCAATCGTTAGGATGTTGTCTTCAAACATTATTATTATTTAAATGTACTTGTTATCGCTCACTGTTTATGATGTTGTTGATATGTTTTGCAAACAGGTTATTTTCTTATTATTGTCGCCTGGATATATGCCCGTATATATCTATGTATATATATTTTTAAATGTGTTACCACTTTGAAAGTAGTAGATATTAGCTGCTAGAAAAACAAAATCAAAACATATCCCACGGGAACCGTACATTTTTCCGGGATAAAAAGTGGTCTATGTCCAATTCCAGATTATAATCTATCTCTGTGTTAAATTTCACCCAGATCCATTCAGCTGTTCTGGCGTGACTGTGGAACAAACACCTATCCAAATATTAAATCTTTCAAATTTATAATATTAGTAAGATTAAATGAAGGATGAACTTTTTTCTAGTTATTCCTGACAATTAAGAAAAAAAAAGAACGGTTTCCATTCAATTCTATACTCTCGTTAGTGACTTCAAAGCATGCCAGTTGAGCACAGATTACTTCGCCAATGTCACGTGGAATGGAGCAGACAACTTCAATAGTTTTATTATATGTATACTAGCGACTCACCCTCGCATCGCTCAGGTTCGTCCCTAGCTTGCTTTCCCATACAAGCTTTCATCCTCATTTTCACCTTTTAAAGGATAATTTCCGGGATAAAAAGTATCCTATGTCCTTTCCAGAGTATCAAACTATCTTTTTACCAAATTTCATCTAAATCGGTTTAGTAGATCTAGAGATTACCCCCTACAACGGCACAAACTCATCAACTTTACCTCTTTATAAAATTAGTAAACATATATTTAAAAAATAATATGTTGATAATTTTAAAGTCGGTGCACCGTTTTAGTTCTTTTTCATCACGGACCTCTTAAAAATAAATTATCTAAAACAGTAAGCTTGCCTATTTGAGTTAGTTAGTATTCAAATTAGAAATACTAAAACAAATCAAGCGATCTGCAAAATATTTAACACATACTAGTATATTAACCTTACTTCGCTCGTGTACGTTTATTCTAAGTGACAAATAATAGCTTATGCCTAATCTATCTGTGTATTAATTTTCATCCAAATCGGTCCAGCCATTTTAGAGCGAATGAGTGACAAATATACACAAATACAGACTTTCTCATTCATAATAGTAGTCGATTATATCTCGTCTAACAGCCGCTGCAGACAGCTTTCTATCGGACGATATTTAATCAGAATTCGTAAATATATTGCATAAATATGTATGCACGTCCGCATATTATAACCGTTCGTTTACTCGCATTTATATTGACGGTAATACGAATATATACGCAAATCATACGTATGTTTAGGCTTTAATAGTTTATGGTCTTTTTTAGGGTTCCGTAGGTACCTACCTCGAAATCTTTATAGGATTATAGGGATCTTTATAGGATTACTACGTTGTCCGTACGCCTGTTTGTCTATCTGTGTCTGTAAAAACTGATTGTCCTTTTTCTCAGGAACCTGTGGAGATATCAAGTTGAAAGTAATATCATGTCTTAAAGCACAAGTATATGGGAAAATAAAAAAAACTAAATTTGTAGTAACATCACAAAAAAAATGTTTCTTATTTTGCGATTATAAACTGAAGGATAGCGGAGGCTTAGTCATAGGGTTCCTTCATGTACGGAACACTAAAAAACATGTAGTAGTTATTAAAAAACTTATAATTTTGAAAAAGAAACGAGTTAGAGGCTCTTCTCGGTCAGGTCAGTGCATCGAATGATTTGTGACTTACCTGTATTTGTTACTTTCATTCATTATACACCCTTATTTTGTTACGTGTAGAGTACAAATTAAAGCTTTTTAAATGCTCTATTTAAAATGCCTATGTGTTAGGGTGGCCATGTCTAAATTTTAACGCCGAAAATATTAAAACTAAAAACTTTTTACTTCTTGTATTTAAGTAACATGATTAGCAATTTTATTTGAAATTACTATAAAATGTTATAATTAAGTAATTTTGCCGGTTTTTTTGTTTTTTAGTTTCCTAAATCCTTGGTAAATTTTATCGAAATCTGTTCAGCGGTTTAAGCGTGAAAAGGGAACAGACAGAGTTACATTCACATTTATAATATTAGTATGGATTGGAAAATGGAAACATTAGTTTTTAAATTTGTCTGACATTAAAAAAGAGGTGTTCTATTCTGATGTCTGTTTTTTGTTAACGTTACGCGATATCTTCGATAGTTATGAACCGATTTTCAATTTTTTATCAATTAAATGGTTATGTCTTGTGGTTTCCTGTAAATTTCAAGAACTTCTACGCTATGAGGGGTTCAAACTTATATAGATTTAATCAATAGGTGGAACTGAAACTTGTTATTTTAAAGAAAAATAAAAACTAAAAAAAAATCGACTTTCAGGCACTAAAATGTAAGAAATAACTCAACGGGTTCATTTAAAATAGATACCTAATTAGATATTTTCGAAGTCGGTGCCAGCCTTTTCAACATTTTTAAATGAGCACACATTCGGCAAGACGTTTTTTGTCGCTGTTTGTGTATGTATGTATGTAGTACTTTTTGATCGATGGTTTTATTATAAATCCATTCAACTGTCTTTACATTGTCTTTATAGAGGGATGCATATTATAATATCTCAAAAATATTAAAATAACGATATGCGATATTATTAGTGCGCTTACTCACGAGCACTTTATTCGTGTTTTCGTACTACAAGTATTGATTTCTTAAAATGATGCTATGTTTCCTCTTTTAACTTAATCTATTACCTGGGAATCGAAGTCAGGGCTCAGTGATCTATAGCTATACAAATTACGCACCAAACAGATGAGCCTAGTATATATATATTTATAATATTTAATCCTATTCCACGTAAACTTCAAAATCTGGTCACACTTTCGGCCATAAACTTATGAAATGTGTTCACACAATGTAACAACAACTTTATAGTCTTTAAAATAAGATCTATATTACAGTTCAATATTAGATACAAGACAAGCCATTGTTATTGATATTCTCAAATTCTTTTGTGACTCACGTAGGTATCATAGAAAAATGTAAGGCGTATGATACTTTTATATAGAATTATTGTAAGCTACAGGTATGTTTTAATTTTTTTTTTAAAACTGCTCGATGGATTTCGGGAAGCATACCCTTTAAAACAAAAAAAAGTTCCAAATCGGTTCAGGATTCTTCGAGTAATCGGTGAGCATACATAAAAAAAAAGATTCCGACGAATAGAGAACCTCCTCCTTTTCGGAAGTCGGTTAAATAAAAGTAGCCTAAGTTACTCCTTATAACATCAGCTATCTGCCATTGAAAGTCACGTCGAAATCAGTTGAGCTGTTTCGAAGATTAACCGGAACAGTTTTTTTTTAATTGTATTTTTCTAATAAGTAGGTACCTGTATATAATTTCATATGCAATTAGTAAAAACCTGTTATTTTGACATTACACAACACACAACTTACAATTATCATATACATACATAAATAATCTATGTTGCCTTCAGAGACTTTTACTACCTTTAAAAAAAAACAAATTGATCTGTCGCTTAGTTGCTGCGTAAAAGATGGACAAACAAACACACTGCATTCATTTTATATATATTATTTAAGGTTATTCACATAAACCTAAGAAGGTGCACTATATTGCATATTACTTAACCAATAAAGAAACCTGTTTTTATACCGTTGTTATTAAAACGTCCGTGTAGCGTGTTGTTACCGGAAGTCGGCCATATTCGATTTATAATTGTTTACTGACAGTGGCAATTTTCTGTGTTTTCGCAAATAAGCTCAGTGGTAACGCGTTCGCTTGGGGAACTGAGTGAAGGGGGCTCAGATCCCGGGCCTCGCACCTCTGATATTTTCATATGCGAATCGTTTCTAACATGATTACATTACCACTTGCCTTACGGTGAAGGAAGACATCGTGAGAAAACCTGCATATCTGAGAGAACCTAGCAAGTCGTCGAAAAACATGTGATTCCAGCAGTAGAACGTTAAAAAGGGATGAATATATGTACGAATTTCCTTTTATAAATCTACTTGAAGCTATTAAATAAATAATTGAATTGAATAAATGTTTAGTCAAGTGCGAGTTGGACTCGACCAAGTAGATTTGACACTATAAGCAAAACTGACTCGTTTTTGATTAATATCTCGTACTTTATATAGTATTATTATATATTATGTATTTAAATAATAATCCATTACAATATGTATGTTTTTATTTGACAGCCTTGTTGCTTAGTCCATGAAGTTCGAGTTCGATTTTAAATCGTTGAATATAATACTCCCAATCACCAGGGTTATTCAATTTTTCATCCTCGTCGCCCAATATAATATTATTATATATTATGTATTTAAATATCCATTGCACTTTAGACATTTGTGTTAGACACGTGTATCTTTACATAGTATAAAATTAAGTCGCTTCCGCTGTGTGTTCGCTTGGGTCTTTTAAACTACTCAACGGATTTTAATAAACTTTTTAAGCAATAAATAGAGTGATTCAAGAGGAAGGTATTATAAAGCCGAGAAATTCAAAGATTTGTATTTCATACTAACCGTTAAAACGTGCTAGTTTAAAATAAAGCAAAATCTAAAAGAACTGACCTTTATAATACATGAGTTGAACGAACAAATGCACTGCAAAATTCTATAAAGATAGAAATCGCTTTGGAGGATGTTATACAATGTCTAAATTAGACAAAGGGAAAATGACCCAAATCGCTATAATTTTATGTTTGTCCATCAGTCCGTTCATATCTTTGTAACGATCGATCAAATAAACACTAGATACACAATCCGATGCAAAATCTCTTAAAACTGTCACTTTGTGTTTAGGTAATTATTCTAATTGAAATATACAACAATGTAAATTGAACCTTAAATACAGTGCTTATAGTTGTTTTCACAATTTTTTTATTAAAGCGCGCTCAAATGTTCTAATGAGCGCTCATTGGATGAGGACATTTTATGTCGCTGATTATAAATCTGATACTTTTTTGATCTATGTTTGGAACTGTATTTAATCTATATCCCCTTCTCTCTCTTCCAGAATCGTGGGTGGAGTTGAACTCAGGCGGTATACTGAGCGGTGCTGAGAACGAATACATCAGGCTCTTGAGAGAAGCCCAGAGGGAGAGCAGGGACTCCTCGGTCCGACACTCGCGAGCTTCAAGTCTTAAGGGCAGGTAGGTTTGAAGGTGTGGAGCAACCGTCTTTATTTATTTATTCATTTACTCTGGTTAGTCTTATTTACTCGGCTTCGTTCCTAATTGTAAACATTATTTTCATATACAGGCAACGATATGGCCAACGCAGGCAGGTAAAGCGGTTATTTAGCGCATTTAACTCTGAATTGATTTGCAAATAGGAAGATTTAAAACTGAAAACGTTTTTCACTGAAAATAAAATATAGCCCATCAGTTATAGTGTAGCTTTCTATTAGTTAAAGAACTTTTGGAATCGGTTCAGCAGTTCCAGAGATTATCTCCTACCTACAAACAAAGTTTACCTCTTTATTATATCTTACTGATTACTTTACTAATATTATAAATATAAAAGTTTTGATGTTTGGGTAGATTTTTGTTACTCAATCATGCCAGAACGGCTGAACTGATCTGGATAAAATTTGGCACAAAGATAGATTATAGTCTGGAATAGCACATAGCCTACTTTTTGTCTCCGAAACGTACGATTCTCGTGGGATAGATTTGTAGATTATACCACCAACAAAGTATAAAACAGTACTAAACACATTATAACATACACAGAAATCAAAACAGATAGACCTAGTGCCTTAATTATATAGGTGATAACGACATTCAAAAGATAGAATATGTAATGAAGTAGTAGTCTTGGGGAGGAAATGGAGGAAGTTCTTTTGGGGTGTGTTTCTGCTGTCTCTCTATTCTCACTCTCTCTTCCTTTGGGTTACCTGTCTTACCTATCTTACGTGTCTTATATTACCTGTCTTACCTTTCTTACTGCTTACTCGTCTAACGGTGAAGTCCGCCAACCATTACACTGCTCCATGAATCGTTCTGCGAGGTTATCGCCAACTTTGATGACCATACGACATTCAGTGGATATCAACACAGAGAGGCCAAGGTCTGTCTACAATGTCTAGCTAGGTCGCCGTATGTTTGTACCATTTATCCGAATATCTGCTATATTCATTTAGATTTCTGTGAAAATTTACTAATAATTTAGGGAGTTCTTCAAAATTAAACAAGCAGAATGTACTAAGATACAAGCTCCTATTATGCCGTCTAATTAAAATCGAGTGTTTTAAGTGATATTAGTATATTTGAATAATTATTTGAAAAACGTTGGAATATTAAGGTTCTATATAAATATAAATATACATACAAACTTTCGTAAAACAGGAATCCGGTGTAAAATTATCCAATGAACTTATTAGAGATCTTATAGATAATAAAATAATTAAGTAAGTGAAACTGCGGGTATAGGCTAGTATAGAAATAAGTAAGACAAGCCCTCGAAACCTTGAGAAATATATCGGCCTACCGCAACTCGTGTGACTATTATTGCCTATTATGTCGGACAGTGCTCCTCTCATACATAATAACATAATATTATAAGTGCGAAAGTAACTCTGTCTATCTGCTGCTGAACGGATTTAGATGAAATTTGGTATGGAGATAGTTTGAGATCCTGGCAAGGACATAGGATAGTTTTTATCTCCGAAGTTACTCCTTAAATGGGTGAAAGGGAGGTCGGAGGGAGAGGGGGGGGGGGATTTTGTATTTTTATAGGGTTTGTATGGTGTTGATAGATTTTTTTTTCATCTACTGAATTTTTAAAAATACTTTCTTCTTTGCTCCTACTGTGTCTGCACTAAAAATTGAAAAATAAAAACTTAAAAAAATAAATATATACTAATAATCAATTAAACTTTCAGATAATTTTAAATAAATAAAACCGACTTCAAAAAAGCACTAAGTAGAAAAAAATTACGAATAGGTTTTTTTTTTGAAAGTTTTTATTTATTTCTCTTTTTGCTAAACGTGATCTTAATTCCTACAGTAGTTAGTCTTCCTGCAAAATTTTAACAACAATATTTACTTGTTTTTACTTAATTAAAACTAGTTGAAATTTACATTTTGTTGTTGAATCTCGTGATCTACAGAAATGATAATATTTGTTTCCTCAAATGCAAAATTATACACCGTCCCCGACATTATGTATGTTTTTTTGTGTGTATGTTAAGCGATATCTTTGCCAATTATGTACCGAATTCCATGATTCTTTTTTAAATGCATAGGTTATCTATAATAATAATAAAGAAATTTTTATCCCGGAAATCATCCCCAAAGGGGATGAAAATTTGTACGGGGAAGCAACTCGTTGGTAACTTATATTTCAAGATCATAGTTGAATAAATAAAATAAATAAATAAATGAATATGTTGGGACATTAACACACAGCACCATCTAATTCCATGGTAAGCACAAAGCTTGTGTTATGGATACCAGATAGTTGATACACTACATATACATAACTTTAAATACATACATATTATGAATATAAACACCCATGACTAGAGTACAAACATTCGTGCTCATTACACAAATGAATGCCCCCAGCGGGACTCGAACCCGCGACCGCTAGCACAGCAAGTATGGTCACGACAAACTGAGCCAAACGTGTCGTCAAATAAATATAATAAATAAAAATATTTTGTTCTTTTCGGATTTTTTCGCGTATTTATTTTGACTTTTGGTTCCCGTCGTTTCAAACCACTGGAGGGATTTTAATGAAATTTGGTATGACGATAGCTGGTTAACCGGGTCAACATATAGGATACTTTTTACTGCGGGAAAATATCTCATCTCTGAGAAATCTATACTAAACGTTCAAACTTAAGAACGAACCCGAGCCGAGCGAGGGTGATTCGTTAGTTATTGTATATATCTGCAGATAATTTAAGGTCATTCTGTAAATAAAACCGCATCATGTAAATAAAGTGAGTCACTTTACTGGCGCCTTGGTACTTGTTTGTTAGTAAACAGGTACATGAGTAACGAAATGGAAGATAAAAGCGAGCTGATATAATATGTAGATATACTGTCTCCGTGGTCTAGTGGCTAACATGTACGGCTATAGAGTATAGATCCGGAGGTCTTGGCTTCGAGTCTTGAAACGAGATTGTTAAAAATTAGCTATTTAAAAAATAAATGAAAAAGAATATGTTCCTTATATTTTGAGCGAAGCGAAATTGCTAGTTTAAAAAAAAAACTAAAATGCTTAAAAGAATTAAATATATAAACGGACAGACAGAAATGTATGTCATAATTATACGTTTTTAATTGTGTTTAGAATTTATAAATGGTTGAATATGTTGGGCCATTAGCACACAGCACCATCTAGTTCCATGGTAAGCTGCGAGGCTTGTGTTATAGATACCGGATAGTTGATATACTACACATATATATAACTTTAAATACATACATATTATAAATATGACTGGAGTACAAACATTCGTGCTCAGCCACAGACAATACAACCCAGGTTAGGTTGTATTGTCGTGTGCTCATCACACAAATGAATGCGGGACTCGAACCCGCCACCGCTGGCATAGCTGGTAAGTTCACTACAAACTGAGCCAAACGCGTCGTCATAAAGATTCTAGATTAGATCAAACAGGTTTTATATGGAATGTGTCGGGTTTTCTCACTCAATATAGTATGGGATAAAAGAGCTAGCTAGCGTTTTCCAATTTATTGAGCTACTCTCGGATTGTCTTTTGACAATAATCAAGCTACTATTAAAAATATGAAATTTGGTATGTGTGTAGTGATGTAACAGAAAAAAGCGACTTAATTTTTTTTATGTTGAAAAAAAAACATGAAAAAAAAAACCTTAGTACCATTGCTTTTTTTAATAATTTTTTTTTTCATAAATAAATCTATAGGAAATTAATGTTTTAATGAGGTATGTTTATTAATTTCTTACGTTTTACTAAAATTAAATATTGAATTAGGTATAATGAATAGATTAAATAAAAATTTATTCTCTCTCTGTGTCAATGTCAGTACCACTCTCAGTTTCAGTGCCACCTACACTAGTCTTGCCCTTGTCACTGTCGGAATTTCCACATGTAATCTTGACACTATTAAACCAAAAGGTTTGTTTAAAAAAAAACAGAAAACTTTAACATGAACTCTTAAGTATTAATCTTTTACGGAAACTAACTTATTAATTTTTAATTCTGTACTCTTGAAAAAAAACATGCTCCAGAAAAAAAAACGGTTTTTATTTTAAGTTTTTTTTCACGATAGAAAAAAAAAGGTTTTTGCAACACTGTGTGTGTGTGTTTGTCACTCCTTCAAGATGAAATGGCTGGACTGTTTTGGATGAAATTTAATGCACATAAAGACCTGGAGTTGGCTAGTCTCAGTGACATTTTGTCAGAGGCCGAAATCGATTAGGATGACATCACTATGCTTGAGAATGTAACTCTGCTTGAGTTGAGATGTCCCTAAGTACATACGTTTTAACGGTCAGTATAGAATAGATAAACTATATATTATATTATGATATATAGCCTATAGCCTTCCTCAATAAACGGGCTATGTAATGCAATTTTCAAATCGAATTAGTTTCTGAGATTAGCGCGTTCAAACAAGCAAACAAACAAAAAAAATCTTCCTCCTTATAATATTAGCATAACTAATAAGTGTCTTGAAATTCATTTTGTTTTAAGACATTTTGAATAGAATAAACTTTAGAAAGATGTTTTTCTTAATTAATTTCACTTTGAATGTAAATATTTTGGTAATTTATTAAAACTTTAAGTCCTCTTAGTAAAATTGTTTTTTTTTTTTAAATTCATAAAGGCATATGTTCTTTTCAGCCCAAAGTCGCCACCGAACAGCCCCAACCTCGAGCCATCCACTGAAGATGAACTGAAAGGAGTTTACATTAACTGCTGGAGAGTGAGTGTTGTTTTTTTTTCAAGTTCAACCCTATTTTAATTTTTGTAGTACAATATTTCTTTTATGTTTATTGATTTGGAAAAATATATATGCCAATAGAATTATGATTAAGTACAAAAAAGTAATGGTATAATGGATTAGCATAAAATAAATATTCTTCGTACGTAAATATAATGGTGAAGAACTTTCGGAGATTTTTATTTACGGATAATTTAACGTTTTCATTTCTAGAGTTCCAAATCCAAATGGATACATTGGAACTCTAGTGATTTCGTCATGTCCGTCTGTCTGTTTGTCGCAGCCATTTTATTGAAAGGCTATTGCTAATGTAGCTTAGATTGCTCAAATAAAGTAGTAGATGCCTCATGTGTATTACTAGAAAATTCTGTAGTGAAATTATAATAAAATAAAATATAGGCAAAGTAAGAAAATATGTAAATCAATAATTTATATATATACGAGTAACCAAAAAAATAATGTTTTTTTTAATATAATTGGCACGCGTTCCAAAACTATTCGTCCGATTTTGATGAGACTTTGGTGAGTTGTTCTGCGTAGGTAGGTAAAATGAAATGAAATTTATTTATTTAGTATCAAATTCCTATAAGTATACAGTAAATAACAATGGCTACGATGATACTGCAAAAGTATAAACTGCGTTGCAGATATCAACGCCCGCCTCCGTACAATAATTAAACTATTTTAAAAAAACTAAAAAACAATAGATAATGATGATGTATGTGTGAGTGTGTGTGTGTGTGTATGTGTATGTGTGTGTATATGTGTGTGTGGGTCCGCAAAGGTTCCCAAAAGAAAGACTTTCTCTGTATGTTTTTCCTTTATGTCCTAAACCATTTATGTTCAGGGACTCGTCGTATTTTCATAGAGACATTTGTTTTTTCAGGATGACTCCAATGACTGGGTGTGGGAGTGGAGCAGTCGGCCTGACCAGATGCCACCTAAGTGAGTGTTTTACTACTTCTAGTGAGAATATCTTAACAGAAAAACTCAGTTAATAAATTTGGCCCGATCCGGGACTCGAAACCAGGATCTTGTATCACCAGCCGTGTCTGCTAGCCACTAACCAGACCACCGAGACAGTTAATAATTGTAATTTTTTCCATAAATAAAACGTTAGTTAATTTATAAATCTCTTAATTATAAATCACTAATGTAATTGACTGGTTTCGTAGTTACCTGCATGGACGTCGTCAACGAATACGAGTACAAGATTCGTACTCAGACTGGCTTCCAGTCTATTTTTATTAGCAATATCTGTCAACACATCTCTTCTCTCTACCACCTTTATGCAGATGATTTGCAAATTTATAGTCAATCTAGAATTGTTGACTTACCTAATACAATTGACGATATTAACTACAATCTTTCAAAAATTACCACGTGGAGTGAGTCGTTTGGACTACAATTAAATCCTTCGAAAACTCAAGTTATAATCATTGGCAGTCCTAAACTCATATCTAGCATTGACTTCTACACTCTTCCACCTGTGGTGTTAAACGGCGTGAGCATACCTTATAGCAAAACCGTTAAAAATCTTGGTATTATTATGGATCAGAACTTATCATGGGTTTCACAGGTAAGTGAGGTAAGCAGGAAGATGTTTAATTCGGTAGCATCGCTTCGACGTTTGCATAACTTTCTTCCAATCTCCACTAAAATTGCGTTAGCACAATCGCTCCTATTACCAATTCTTGACTATGCTGATATCAGTTACCTTGATATTAAAGAGGAGCAATTAAATAAACTTGAGAGACTCCAAAATTTTTGTATTCGGTTCATATTTGGTTTACGTAAATATGACCATGTCTCTAATCTTCGTAAAAAGCTCAAGTGGCTCCCTATTCGTCTTCGCAGAAATACTCATATACTTCATCTTCTTTACTGTATTCTGTTCGATCCGTCCACTCCAAATTACCTTAAAGAACGTTTTGAATTCCTTGGAGATTCCCATTCTCGCCTTCTGCGTTCTGCCCAAAATTTAATCCTTAAAATTCCTTCCCACTCCTCTACCTTTTATGGCAACTCCTTTAGTGTTACGGCCTGTCGTCTTTGGAACTCCCTTCCCCGTAACGTTAGGGATGCGAAATCTCTAATGATTTTTAAAAAACGTCTAAAAGAACACTTTTATACATTTTAATTCCTTCGGATTGCTGCATTATTATTTATTCTGAAATTTACTCTTAAATTATATGTACTGATATATGTATAGCTATTATCCTTATTTGTACTAAAATATTTCTTGCCTTTCATGTGTGTATATATATATATATTTAATCACTAGTTAGGTACCCTGACTTTGCTCACTCTCGGAGAGTTCGTTAGACTTTTAACTCTTATTTCATCCCCGTTAAGTGTTAGTTTAAAAAATTAAAATAAATCCGCGAAATCTGAAAAGTTAGTTTTATTTTAAAATGACAAATATTCGCGTAAATCGAAAAAAAAAAATAAAAAAAATATCATGTCGCCTCCAGGGACTGGCGTTTCAAGCACCCACAAAGCGCGCGAGGCCCTCCTTCTGCCACCTCCTCCATTGAGGTGTTGGAACAGCTCGCACCAGCTCAGCAGGTCAGTTGGTATACACTAGCGTTGCTTCCATGCTCTGTCTGGGTTCTTAAACTATTAATAATGTCCTGAACGAATTCGGCCACGGCGGCCAATCTCATTCAAACTAGCTAACTGCAGGAGATATTATACACTATAGTGCAGACACAAGGGCACTTTCTATTCTTGTCACTCTCACACTCCGTTAGGACGACACGAGACACGACCGGTGGGAGTTAAGGCGCAGGACCGATGTGACAAGTGATGCCTCGTTACGGGGGTGAAACACCGCCAACTTCCCAACTCCGGGCTGTTACTGGAAATATCTTAATAGAAAAACTCTGTAATCAAACTTGGTCCGACCCGGGACCCAAACCCTGGACCTCCGGATCTGCAGTCGTGCTAGCCTATGTGCTACTTTGATGTATGAGCTGTATTGTTGTAAAGTTTCATCAAAATCCGTTCAATAGTTTTTATATGAAGGAGTGACAAATGAATTGCTCGTTTAATATTATAGATTGTGCACTAATAGGTACCTTTTATTACTAACAGTAGCTTATATGTTATCTCCATATCTGTCTGTCATCGATCCAAAAAGTACTAGATATAACTATCCCATACAAGTTCTCACTGAAGTATGGATTATAAATAGATAAATATGTTGGTACATTAACACGCAGCACCATCTGGTTCCATGGTAAGCTACGAGGCTTGTGTTATGGATACCAGATAGTTGATACACTACACATATATGTATAACTTTAAATACATACATATTATAAATATATATGTATTTAAAGTTATGTATGTAATTATATATTATATGTATAACAACAGGGCCACTGTCTGTCCGTGCGCCGCACGTGCCTCTTCAGCCGCGGCGCCATCGCGGCCGTGCTCGTCACCAACATTGTGTCGCTGCTGCTCGGAGCTGGCATCGGGTGAGTTGTCTCCTCATTCCACCCTTTTCGGTGTTAAACAGTCAATATTCCACCCTTTGGGTGGATTTTTCCTTTTGATGATGATTATGAATGTCTGTCTGTGTACCGTCTTATTTGGTAACTATAGAAAGTGTCATTATTCAACCATTTGTGTGGTTGTTTTTTAATTTTTATGAATGTTTTATGAGGGAGATGGTTATGAATGGTGTAGGGACTTGAGAATTGTTGTAAATCATTTTTCCATCTTTGGAGGTGGTTTTTTCTTGATTACTATTATAGTTATTAATAGATATAATATTAGTATAAATTACTTCTTCACTTTATATTCACGTAAAGGAAAATTTGTGTAAAAAATATGCGAAAGTTATTACTGATATATATACAGACATACAAACTTATATTACAACAGATACAAACATAAAAACTTTCGCATTTAATTAGTAATAGACTATGTAGTGCTTCCCTAGTTGCCTAACAGTAGCCTATATGTTAAACCAGCTCATAGTCTGAGTACAAATTTTATACAAATCTGTCCAGCCGTTTTGACGTGAAAGAGTAACAAACATACACACACATACATACAAACTTTCGTATATGTAATACTAATGGTTTGACAGTATGACAATTTGAAAAAACTAAATACAGATTTAAAATATTTGAATATCTTTACAGGGTGTGGTTGAGTAAGAAGGGCATGCTGCCGCCCAGACTCATCATTCTGAATTAGAATTAAGACTGAGTTGGCGTAATTTGTCTGTGTTGCTATGGTTTTGAGATGAAATTAAAAAAAGTCATAATGTTCTGTGAATATGGCAACACCTCTGAGTTATCTTTTACATAGTTCTCGTTTGGCATAATAGATATATTGTCTTTGTCATAATAAGAAAGTGTATAGATTAAAGAAATCTGGTATTTGGTGGAGACTACAAAAAAAAATGCAGCTAGATTGCCATAAGTAAAATAAGAAGATTTTTTTTTATAAAGGAAATCGATTGAATTGCTTTTAGGATGAAAGTGTTTCTGCCTTTGCCAATAATAAGTTAAGGAAAAATAAAAACTTTTTGAAATCCATAAAAAAAAAGATATACACAAGTTAACTGTATTTTTAAGGCTTAACAAACTTTAGTTTATGTTAACAATTATTATGAAAGAAAAATCTATATGTCGGGTGTCTTTTTATGATGTATAAGCCTATTAAAAAAAGCACTAGATACACAACCCCATGCAAAAGTTCTCTTAAAACTGTCACCAATTGTGTTTAGGTAATTATTCCGGTTGAAATAAATATACAACAATGTAAATTGAACCTTACATGCAATGCTTAAAGTTGTTTTCACAAGAAAAATTAAAAGCGCGCTCAAATGTTTAAAATGAGCGCTCATTCGGTGAGGACATTTTTTGTCGCTGATTGTGTATCTAGTACTTTTTTGATCGATGGTAAGTAAGGGCTTTATAGTTTAAAAGTGTTTTCCTTGAGGTTAGTTTTTTTTTAAATAAATGTATCCTACTTTATTATTTTTTTGTCAAAAACATAGCAATATAGATAAAGGTCGTTTAGGTGTATTGAAGTGAATAAGTATGGTACGGCTGTCGCATTTTTTATAAAAAAAAAATTTTTTTTTTTATCAAAAGTGATACACCCTATTTATGTTAAGGTATGTTCAATTTGTATTTATATTAGAAAAAAAGTGATTTAATCTTCTTTTTTTGTTGAAACAATTGTAGAAAGAAGTTATGACTTACAAAGTTTATATATGTTCTTTTATTTTTCAAAATACATATCAAATAGTATCTTTTTTACCTAGTATAAATACAAAATTGGATGTGGTTTTGGGTTGTAAGTTTAATGTCTATAAAAAAATGGAATTAAATAAAAAAAACACATTTTTTTTCTATGGACATAAAATTTATTCTCCTCAAATAGACTGCTAGATGAGAGTTAAAATATAAAAGGAAAATGTAAAAAAAAAAAACAAACGTATTTTAAAACTTAGAATGTTTTGTATTTTCTTACAGTCCTTCTCTTTTTCATGTTTTTTTTAAACTAATTTGTTGATATATTTGAATCAAAAAGTGTTTTTACTTTTTTTTTAAGAAAAATATATCAACAAATAGATTAAAATTAAAATTTTTAAAAGTCCTAGTCTTAAGTATTTCCATTTTTTCGGCTTTAAATACTTTGTTTATTGATCACTGAAGCTGTGTGACAAGAGTAACTCCAAAACTGCATTTTTTTAATATATTTTTTTAATCTACGATTTCTCTTTTTTTCTCTTCTGTTGAAATCTTCTTTATTATCTATCTTCTTTCTCGTTCTTAACTGATTTTGTCGCACAGTTGTTTATAGTTAAAGTAAATAAGTTGACAATTCAAAAAGAATGGTTTCAATTTATTTTATTTAAATAAAAAAAAAATTTACAATTTTTATTTCATGATTTTATTCTTCAATAACTAATATATAAAAATTAAATAATATACATTTATTTTTGTTGGTCATACAGACTTGTCAACTTGCTTACTTATTGTACCTCAGACTAAAGAATTCTATAGATAAAATTCAAGTCAAATTGTAGCGTGATTTGCTGTAGCTACTATTCTCGATGTTGCCACATACATGGTTTATTTTATTTATTATTTTATTATGTTGTTGTTTTTTAAGCATCAGTTCTGTTTAATTTTTTTCTTTATTATAATAAAATCCGTGAGCTATTTTTATTTAATAACATTTATTTATTTATCACTCAATATACAAACTGTCACTTGTATACTATATTAAAACATTATTGTTTGGCTTCATGTTTAGAGAGATACACTGTCCGAATTATTCCTTAGTCTGAGTAATAAACATACAATTTATGTAACTTTCCTTTTAAAATAGTGATTATAATGGCTTTATTTATTGTCTTAATAATAATAAAAATATAGTTTTCTATGTTATTTTTTTTTACTGAAGATTGAGTTCTAGATATTTTTTTTAATTCAGAGCCAAAAGCGTGTGCATGCTAAAAATAATATTAAAAATGTGACAATCTTTTTATCTTTAATTTTTTTTATTTTTTCTCTTTCATAAAATGTGCAAAGATAAAAATCACTAAGTCCTATTTTAATATCAACAAACAAATAGTTCATTTACCAAAAAAATTGTATTAAAAAGGTCGTTTTGTATAATAGTATAATTAAGGAATATAAAAACATAATATAAGATTTTTTTAACTGGTAATTATTAATTATTTTTATATGACCGGTAGTTGGTGCATACGCTTTAGCAAAGTCTGCTCAAAATGGAACTCTCATTTTAATTATTAATTTTCTGTTTTAGAAAATTGGAATTATTTGTAATTTCATTAGTATCATTATTGTATATAATCTGTGGTCATTGTAATCGATAGTTTAAGAGCTTGGAATTAAAGTATGCATTTTTATTGTTTTGTTTTATTTAAATTAAACCCCTCTATACTATATATGTATATATTAATATTATAAAAAGGCAGTTTGTTTGAACGCGCTAATCTCAGGAACTACTTGAAAGATTTGAAAAATTCTTTCTGCATTAGATAGCCCGTTTATTGAGAAGGCTATATATTTATCATCTCGGAAAAATGTAAGGTTTCCTTGGGATAGATTTGTTTTTGCCTAGGGGTGAAACCAAAGCGAAGCCAGGGGTAATCGCTAGTATTTTGATAAAATTTTACAATGATTAAATATTTGAAGCGAATTTATAGACAATTGTAGTAAACCTTAGAACTAACACACTCGGTTGTGTCTTTAGATGCCACAACTATAATTAAAAAACTAAAACATCTATCCCATGGGAACCGGGGAACATTTTCCCGGGATAAAAGTAGCCTATGTGTTATTCTAGAATAATCTATCTATGTGGAAGATCTGATGCTCAGGTGACGGATCAGGCGCAAGTCTGACAGCAGTACGCTCTTTGGTTATGTGTGGGTTTTTATCATAGCCTCGATGATGTAGTGGCTAGCATGTACGGTATTTCTGGAGGTTTGGGTTAGAGTTCCAACTCGTGCCAAGTTTAGTTATTGAGTATTTTTGTTCAGAAAGAGAAGAATTGGGAAGTTAAAATATCGTCCAATTGGAATTAAGAGTGACAGGAATACAGTGCGTGTCTGCGTGTACACTTGTGCACTATAATATCTCCTGCGCAATTGCCTGGTGAGATTGGCCGCCGTGGCAGAAATCGGTTACGAGGACATCATCATCACAGCCAATTTCCCAATCTCTCCTTTTGGTTATATAGTGACAGGGAAACTCAATAACTGCGCTTTATTATTTATTGAGTATTTTTGTTCAGAGTTCATGCTAAACTTGGCACGAGTTGGAACTCTAACCCAAACCTCCAGAAATACCGTACATGCTAGCCACTACATCATCGAGGCTATGATAAAAACCCACACATAACCAAAGAGCGTACTGCTGTCAGACTTGCGCCTGATCCGTCACCTGAGCATCAGATCTTCCACATGGATAGATTAGTCTGGAATAACACATAGGTTACTTTTATCCCGGGAAAATGTTCCCCGGTTCCCGTGGGATAGATGTTTTAGTTTTTTAACCCAAGACTAGAATCTAGGACCACAAATAGGTTCTTAAGAAGACCTTAAAATGATTTACCAAATAGAGGATAAATTAAAACATAAAATACTAAAATATAGTTAAAATAAAAAGATTTGTATACACAAACCTTAAAACAGGTAAAAATATAATGTTTATCGTCACATAGTGTAGGTACTTTTATTTATTCTCCAGATAACAGAAAGAATATTGTCCTTCTAAATTTCGACTTGGAGCAAAGTTTGATTGGTTATTTACACTTTTATTAAACCCCACCGCTGGGCGCGGGGCTCCCTTCAATACCAAGGGGATCAGACCATAGACTACCACACTGGCCAAGGCCTGTTTGGTGGACTTCACATATCTTTTGAAAACTAGTTAGGTTCCCTCAAACATGTAGGTTTCCTCACGATGTTTCTCTTCACCGTAAGGCAAGTGATAATCATGTTGAAAATGATTCGCACAAGACAATATCATTCCGGAATTTGAATCGCTTCACTCGGTTTCCCAAGCGAGCGTCTTACCACTGGGTTACTACTGCCTTTTTGTGAATGATGTACTGTAAACTGTTTGATTAAATATTTTGATATGGCTACACTAGACTGTGAAAGGTTAGAAAGGCCCAAAAACGTTTTGTAATATCAAAATGCACAATATTATAGTATTTTTATACCATATCACACCCCGGACGTTTTAACTTTATGATTATCATCACAGATTATAGTATAATATAATACACCAGTAAAACTGTATTGAGACGATTGAAGTAGTATAAAACTGAATAAATTATATGTAACAAACCTTCAAGTCAACGTATTTATTATTAAAATATATATTAATTTTGTTAATTCATATGGAAAACATTAATAATAAATAAAGTATATCTTCATTTCAATTAATAATTATTATAAAAAAAATATATTCATATTTAGTAAACTTATTACTTTAGTTGAATTATGATGATTGCATTAACGAAACGCAACTTTTCTAATCTGTAGCCACACTAATTGTCATAATCCATGGCGGATAGCCTTACAACAAAACATTAAATCATTTATTTAACAAATAAAATGTCTACAGTCGTGTCTGACTGTTTCACTATCGGCAGCATAGTCGCTACCAGGACATGCTATAACGAAGACATTGAAGGTGAAGTGTTAGCTTTTGATCCTCAAACTAAAATGCTGATTTTAAAGTGCCCCTCGTCGAGTGGGAATCCTAAACGCCACGATGTGAATATTGTCAATTTATCGTTAGTCAGCGACGTCCAAATCAAAAAGGAAGTGACCACCGTTCCTGAACCACCACAATCTTTAAACTTGCACAGGCTCAACACTAGGGTCAGAAATTCTATCGAAAATAAGAGGAGACTCGTAAGTAGCTTTTCATGGGACATGTTACTCATTTTTAACACAAATAAATGATTTTTTACCACTAACTTAACAAATGTAATTGTTTGATAAAATTTCCTATCTTTTTGGAGCTTTGGGCTAAATTTTAAAAGTGAAAGCTATATCACTTTCATTTAGGTACCATTAGTTCTTTAAATAAATACAATTTTTAATGTCGCTTAGTTGTTTTACAGCGTTTTTGGAACATTTTTTATATCAATAAAAATAATGCATTTCAAACTTGTGTCAATATGGATGATGAAATTTAAGAGTGTGATGGTGAAATAGTAATATCTTGAATACTTTCTACTCTCAGTCTTGTAATTTAGAGCTTAATTATAATTGTTAATATATTAGTGACCTGCTTTGCTTCAGTTTAGTGATAACTTCATCTAACTCATTACTGAGTAACATTAAAATATGGATATTTCTGTATTATTAAAATATTCTACACAAACCTTATGAAACAAATTCTTCAGAATCAAGGTTATAGTGAAACTACATGTAATGTGCATTGCAATTATACCTTATCTGTTACAAAATTCAAAATAGTTTGTACATATTTTCTTAATTTAAATAAGTAATATTTAGCTACAAAAATAGCTATAAAAAAGAAATAAATAAAAATATTTGTCATTGGATTGATATATATAAAAAAAATGTAAGAAGAGTATGTAAGCCTAAAGAAATATAATACTTTATTATATCTGAATATAATTTCATTTAATTTCCCATTTCGGAACATTATATTTAAATAATGAAGTTAAAAATGTATCTTCAACATTATTTTCTCTAATTAATTTTATAAAAACATAATGTACTACTGGTTTGCCTTTGCTTTGACCAAATCGCCTATCCCTATTAACATTGTTGGATATGCAAATTTGTCATTTTCTTTTTATTTCACTAATCACTCTTAAAAAGTCTCTTCTTTTAGTAGCTGCAACAAAAAAATATTTTTTACGAGTAGTTTTTAAAACAGCCACAAGTAATTTTTGTTAACCTAACTTGTACATTAAAAAAATATCAACAATTCAAACTTTGATGCACTCTCCTGTAAAGTTGCCGATTTTCACATCCGACAATGTTAATAGGGATAGGCGAAATGTAAAGTGACATACATACATGTGCACAATCATTATATTATTAATTCCATTTACCACCTCTTCGCTTGGGTGTTTTCCTAGGTATGTTTTATTTTTAGTGGAACTCCAACTCTTTATCAAAAATTAAAGTAGCCTAAGTCACTCCTTATAACATCAGATATCTGCCAGTGAAAGTTCCATCAAAATTAGTCCCACCATTTCGGAGATTAGCCAGTCAGAATCAAATATATATCATATATACATATGTAAATAATAATGAACTGCTGTTCATTGGTAAGCCCATCATTTAAGAATGACTGAACTGGTAAGGATGACGTTATAGGGAAAATTATTTTGAAAAAGTTACCTTATAATTAGGAAAATGGGGAAAACATGAGAGTGATTTTTGTAAAGAATTTTTGAACTTAAATATATCACAAATTTTATTGAAATTGTGATAAAAAAATCTATTGGGTCATTAAATTAATGATTTTAAAGAAAACCTTTAAAAAATCAACAAAAAAAATGATAATAAAACTGACATATTTTTCATAGCTTCTGAACAAAGCTGATAAGTTTACTTGTTAAATTATTTTTATATTATTATTATTAAATCTATACTATATTAATATTATAAATAGGCAATGTATGTTTGTTTCAACGCGCTAATCTCAGAAAGTACTAACCGATTTGAAAAATTGTTTTCACATTAGATAGCCCGTTTATTGAGGAAGGCTATAAGCTATATATCATATAATATATAATATATCTATTGCATACTAACAGTTAAGACATACATAGTGACGTGCCCGAGTGAGGCTAGGGTGAGTCGCTAGTTATTAATATTACTGCAAACATAACTGTATAATAATAATAATAATAATCTATTAAAATTTTTAGGTGTCCGCACTCTCAGCATGCCTAGACCCCGAGGGTCAGAGGCTCTTCCTCGCAATTGCAAGAGTGATAGATGACGTCTCTTGGGCGGGGCAAAGCATCAGAGTGTATAATGAAGTTACCATCACACCACCGTACAAGGTAAGATTGTAGTAACATTAGCGGCTCGTCCTGGCTTTACTCAGGGTCGCCTCTAGGAAAACAAAAACAAATCTAACCCACGGGAAACGTACATTTTTCCGGAATAAAAAGTAGGCTATGTGCTATTCCAGACTATTAATCGATCTCTGTGCTAAATTTCATCCAAATCCGTTCAGCCGTTCTGGTGAGATTTATTAACAAACATCAAAATATCTGTCTAAACTTTCACATTTATAATATTAGTAAGAAGTAAGATATCTCGCCGATCTAGCAGTGGAACTTTAATACGCAAAATATATATCTCACCGATTTGATGCTGATTGCAGGAAGTGGATAGTGGAACTCTTCAATGGCTACCATTTACACCATAGAGTTTGGGCTCATTTGATTTGTTTTAGCGAGTCCCATGCTTACAGATGGTCAAATCAATGTTTTTTTTGTTATAGGTGGAAAACGTAATAGGGGAGCAAGATTCCAAACCATACAACTACATACGTAAGTTCGTTGAGCGCCATTGGCGAGACCACCGCGAAGCCAACTGCTCCAGACACCAGTAAAATATCTATAAATAAATATACATGTATGTATGTATGTATATATGTATGTATGTATGTATGAAACATCCGTTTAATAGAGCATTGTCATTTTAGCGAATTATCTGTTTTATTTTGTGTCATTTTATTGGTGTGAATTAAAAAAATATCTAATTTTTTTTAATATTGTCGAAATTTTCCACAAAACATTTGTTTTTTTGTTGTTTTTGTGCTTTGAAATTATTTTTCTACGACATTTTAAAGTGATTCGTAACGTGACTATGTTCTATCAAAATGGGTATATAAATGTCGTTATTAAAATATGGTGTTTATATATTAAATAATAATATTTTTGTTTTTGCGACACAAATACACCAAAAATTAATACTTTCTTAGATTTACGCGAATACTTGACATTTTAAATAAAACTATCTTTTCAAAAATTGAAAAAATGGCACTAAAGTACCTTACAATATTTTAACTTTTAACTTTAAACATTTTTATATAATTTTAATTAGCTTTATAATTGAATTCAATTTTCATCATCTCATTTTGTTAATTGTGGGTAGGCTGTCTGTAACAACTATATAATACCTTAGAGACATCTAACACCTCAGTCTCTCCCGTGACCATGATTGCTGTAAAGCATTCGAAACGTCGGGAACCAAAAATCAAAATAAATTCGCGAAAAAATCCGAAAAGATAATTTTATTTAAAATACACCAAAAATTGTTTTTTTTTGTAAATTACAGATTATATAATTTTAAAAAGTATTTTTTAAAATTATACTCTTTTTAGACCGTTATAGAAAGTATATGATGAGAGTCAAATTTATACAATGCGACAGTTTTAGACAACAGTATGAAGTTAGTTGTTATTGGCTACAGTGTGAAGTTAGCTGTTAAATTTCACTGTGATGAGTGATGTCTATATTCAAGTTTTTTTTTTTGGAAAACACCATATTGTAATAATACATACAGTCTAATATATATGAAATGTCTGTACATTGAAAGAATATATAGTATCTTTATATATAATTATTATTTTATAAAATTTCAAGCTTGTTTTTTCCCCAATGTTTTACAGATTTTTTTTCTTTAAACAACCCTTGAACAAAATCTATAGAGATAAATAAAATTGAAGCGTCTATGTGTAATGTCAAAATAACTGCTTTTTACTAAATACATATGAAATGAAATTTTTGTCTGTCTGTTTGTTCCGGCTAATCTCCGAAACGCTGTACTGATTTTGACGGGACTTTCACTGGCAGATAGCTGATGCTATAAGGAGTAACTTAGGCTCCTTTTATTTTAGAAAAAGTATTAGGATTCCGCTCAAAAAAAAACGCGAGGGTAAGTCGCTGGTCCTAAACAAAGAAAAAAGTTTCCTATTTTAATTATGAATATAAAAATCAGTCTTTTAAACAAACCATGTAATATTGTTTTGGAAAAAGCGAAAGGATAAAAATATTATTTGAAATAAAAAAAAAAACTCATACAAAAAATATATAAAAGACATTTCTTTAAAAATATTTTTTAATTTAAAACATATGTATGTATTACCAAATTCTATCTTTCTTCGAATTGTTTTTAGTTGTTTATATAAACTCTGGCAACTTTTTGTTATATAGACAAGTGTTGTCATTATAAAAAAAAATTATAATCTGTAACCTTTTTTTTTGTCCCAGATAATTTGGATGAGCTGAATTAATTGTTGTTTTTCCAAAATTAATAATATTTGGAAAGTTATTGATAAAACATATATTTTTGAACACCGAAAGTAATTTTCAAGTTTTTTTTATAATGGCAACTTTTTTCTGTAAATTTTGAGTTAGCTTTGGAGTTGTTTAGTATCTTACTATTTATACAATGTTGGATTAAGTAATTGAAAAATATAAAAAAAAAAATGCAACATCTGTGTTTTTTTTATTGTCTTCTACTTCCCAATACTTGCCTTTTATTTCATTGTAGTTAGAGTTAAACTTTGTGCAAATTTCTTACAATATAATAAAAATCTAAATATAATACTTTCTTAGATTTACGCGAATATTTGACATTTTAATTAAACTATTTTTTCGGATGTTTTCGCGGATTTATTTAGATTTTTTATTTTTTGAACTCATTTTGTTATTTGTGGGTTGTTGCTGTCTGTAGCAACTATATAATGACCTTTGAGACGTCTAAAACCTTCGTTTTTCCCGTGACCATGTGCGCTGTAAAACATTCGAAACGTCGGAGACCAAAAATCAAAATAAATCTGCGAAAAAATTGGAAAAGACAGTTTTATTTAAAAAATCTTAATATAGTTTATTCAAATAGACTTTTATAAGGACCTTTGAGTCGTAACTTTTTACTTTTAAAAATTTTAATGTCAGTATGTCTGTCTATGAGGAAGCTACCACCGGCTTGGAAGGCAGTTCAGGAACACTACATATTAGTACTGATGCCTCATTCCATACAAATTCATTGGGCTTCCATAATTCGGGCTATTGTTCAGACTTTTTTTATATTTAACTGTACACATATTTTATGTTTTTACGACGGTAAATCAAAAAGTTCTTTGGAATCAATATAAAAAATGCCAAAAATCGAACAAAAATATTTTATTTTTCTTCATAATTTCCCTCCAATGCAATAACATTTAGAATAATGTGTTTCTAAAATTTTTATTCCTTGCAAAATAAAACTTTCCCAACTCGAAAAACTCGTCTACGGGAGCCATAGAAATTTCCAAACGTCCCTTTTTGTTTTCGTCGGTTAACATTCGTGGCACCCATCTTGCCGACACTGTTTTGAACCCCAATAATCTTGGTTTAGGGCGTAAGAGATCCTGCGACGCTCACTCTCACTTTTTTAGTGGGTAGTACTGTTTTGAAAGTGGTATGTCCCACATAACAAAAAATGGTATGCGTAAATGAATTTCCCAACATTAAAAATTATATAAGAAAGACGAAAATTGTTTTAGATCTTGTGAAGATATATAACATACAAAAACATACACTGGACTTGAGTACCTCTTTTTCTATAAAGGCAATCAAAAATAAAACAAAAGTTCAATAACATTTATTCAAGAAACAACTACATTATACATGATTTAACTACAAGTTAAATATTCAATAGCAATAAGTTTTGTACTACATTATGAGAAATATAGAATAAAAATAACTTAATTAAAAAAAATCTAAGGCAGACATGTGTGATCTTATAAGCTCAAAATTAACAAAAAAAAAACAAACTGTCAATATCAAAATGAAAATGTCAAAATAATTATTTTTATTATTAACAAGAAAATTGAGTTGAATTGAATTAATATTTTATATTTCATCATTTATAATCTATACTAATATTATGAAGAGCAGCTTCTTTATAAGTTTGTTTGTTTGTACGCGCTAATCTCAGGAACTACTAATCCAATTGGAAAAATTCTTTCTACATTAGATAGCCCGTTTATTGAGGAAGGCTATAGGCTATATATAATCATGCCACTATCCAAGGGAGCTGAGCAGTAATCATGATGATGATGATGTTCTCCTAGCCGATTCCGGCCACGGCGGCCAACCTCATTGAGATTAGCCAACTGCGCAGGAGATATTATAGTGCACAAGTGTATGCGCAGACACAACGTGCACTCTCTATTCCTATCACTCTCATACTCCGGTGGGACGACACGAGACACGACCGGTGAGAGTGTCGGCGCAGGACCGACGGCTTTACGTGCTCTTCGGGGCACGGGGGTGAAACACCGCCAACTTCCCAACTCCGGGCTGTTACTGAGACTTACTATACAGAAAGACTCAATAACTAAACTTGGCCCGACCCGGGACTCGAACCCAGGACCTCCGGGTGTGCAGCCGTACATGCTAGCCACTACACCACCGAGGCAGTAATCATAAATGTCAACAAATTGGGCAGACTTCCATACATTATTGTATAGGGACTTACTAGGGGGCTTTTTCACTGCAAAAGCAAAATTAGAAGGAATATTCTGTATGCTCTATTTATCTAATATTTTTGTTTTGAGCTTATAAGGTCTTTATTTCATTGAAATTACATAATAATTAATGTCATTTGTAAATATGAAAGTTTGAAATTATAATTTTAGATATATTGACAATAATATTTTTGAAGTAAAACTTTATATACAGGGTCATTTTTAATTTACTGAAAACCTTTTGGGAATATACTATTTAATTCATAACAACAACATCTGTAACAAGAAAAAATAATATTTCTTAAATTTTTATTTTAATACAAAAATAAAAATAATTTTTTTGCACCTTCTAAACTTTTCATCTGGCCAAGATTAAATAAGCAAGTGCGGCTTCCTACACCCCTCCACCCTTCCCCCTCCACCGGACACGCACTTTCTTTTGCTAATGCTGGACTATTACCGTTTAGAAGGTGCAATAAAAATATTTTTTTTTGTTAAATTTAAGATATATTATTTATTTTTTCTTACAAATGTTGTTGTTATGTTGTAAATAGTGTATTCCCAAAAGGTTTTCAGTAAATTAAAAATGACTCTGTATAGTAACTATATATTGACAATAATATTATTGAAGTAAAACTAGTTTAGGCATGACTGAGGGGCGAGTCATACATTATGAAAATAAGCATCGCGGAAATGAGACTCAAATTTATTATTAATAATTTTTTTTAAAGTATATTTATATTTTCATAATTATTATTATATTTTGATTTGTTTTAACGTAATTCCGACAGCGGCCACAGCGCCAAAGAAGTTTTACTTCAACCTCACGTAAACTTTACACGCACAATTTTTTTTAAATCAAAGCATTTTATTGCTGAATTTAGTATAAAAAGACACATTTTTTAGCTAATTTTAACAAATTATTATTTATTAAAAATTATGTTAATGCCTTTTCTGAGTTACGTGTGCTTGCTAGAAATATATTCGAAGATTTTTTTAATATTTAGGTTATACAAGAGATTTTTTATTATTTTAAACAAAAAAAATGAAACAAATCATTAATTAAAAAAAATGTCTTTCCTAAATAACATGAAAAGAAATCAAAAATTAAAATCAATTTTCAAACTACACAAAAAAAAGGCAAAATATTGAATTAAAAATAATTTATTATTCACAAAAAAAAAAGAAAAAAAAATCGTTTCTTTTTTAATTTCGTAATTTCAGCTTTTCTATCAACTATAAGACGTATTAATATTCTACTGAAATAGAACAGTAACAGCATTTAGTTGACTAATTTAGTAACATAATTGCTTGGAAACAATCCGGTCATTCCTCGAAGTTCACCTGAAAAAAGAAAAATTGTTAATATTATTATTCCGAATTCTTTTCCTATAATAAAAGTAGCCTAAGTTACTCCTTATAACATCAGCTATCTGCCAGCGAAAGTCCCGTCAAAACAGGTCTAGCCGTTTCGGAGATTAGCCTGAACAAATAGACAGACAGACAAAAATTTTAAAAACTTTGTTTTTTTAAGTACCGTATATAATTTCATATGCATTTAGTAAAAAGCTGTTATTTTGACATAACACACAAACATTTCAATTTTATTTATCTGTATAGATTTATTAATCATTCATAATAAATTTTAATTTACCATTGTTTATATTTTTCTGATTAATTCCCTAATAAAAAAAGTTTATAATATTTTCTACAAAAAAAAAACTATGAATATATGAAAATAAATATAATACACAAAAAATAAAAATATCACCATTCATCTTAAGCTATCGTCTATCCTATAATCATAATCAACCATATATCGTGATATCATATACATATATAATAAAAAAATAATTGTAAGCTGTCTGTACATGGAAGATATTTGGAAAAAACTATTATACTAGTAGTCTTTATTAACGCAATGGAACCCAAAATAATGATTTTTAGATTTTTTGTCTGTGCGTTTGTGCGCGCTAATCTCGGAAACGGCAATCTCGGAATGGGATTTAGGTGCGGTTTCACTAATATATTGTGGTAAGCTTCACTTAACATTTAATATTTGTTTTATTTCAAACGGTTCATAAATATAAATCTTATGTCAATTTAAAGTATCACCTAGAGGGTGAGTCAATTATATAATCATAACAAAATGTCTACCATAAATAAGATTAAAACAAATCAAAAATTAAAATCAATTTTCAAAATATAACAAAAGGAATGGTAAGAATATTAAATGATAAAAAATCTATTTCTCATAAAAAAATAAAAAAAGTATTTTTTTAATTTCGTAATTTCAGCATTTCTTCCATATCCATCCATTCTTCTTTCATCCATAATCATAATCAATAATATATCAATAATCGTAATATCACATCCATAATATAACCACCAAATCTATAATATAATCAACAATACATACCTTGCCACCAGGCCGGATCCTGGGAGCGGTCGGTGACGGCTATAATATCATCCTTCTCGAAGCTGAGCTCATCCGCATTTTGAGCCGTATACGGATACAAGGCTATTACCTGAGGAAAGGTAACAACAATATAATATTTAAAATAGGTAAATCTTGTGAAAAGCTTTTGTATCATATAAATTATTGTATAATGTAATAAATTGTTGCGTTTGATTTAATTTAAAGTTTTTTTTTCTTTCTAGAGCATTTAAATAAAAGTTTTTATTTTAAATATTTTTTACTATTAATTTATTATTCATATTCTTCTCAGCAAACCCTTTCATTTGATATCCATATCATGATGGTATATAAAAAAACACTCCGCCAACTTTGGTCGCCATATTGTATTTAGAATGACGTCACTTTTCTAACCATGCATTGTCATTTAAACTAAACATATATACAAAATTTGACCCGAACAAACAAACATACTGAATAAAAAAAAAACAAATGCATTATTCTCACTTTATCTATAACAGTTTCTGTTGGAACGGCGTCCATTTTGGACATGACCGGCGTGGTGCGACCCGACGTCCTGCCCGAAGATTGTAACACCTGGAAAAAATTCAAACGTGTGTGTGTGTATGCAATTCACTTACGGTAGAAGTGAAACTTCTTTGGCAAATATTGCAATTAAATTAAAACAAATCAAGAATCTTTTCGGATTATTTCGCGGTTTTTTTTTATTTTTGGTCCTCCACGTTTCGAATGCTTTACAGCGCACACGGTCACGGGAGAGACTGACGTTTTAATCTCAAAGGTTATTTATCCACAAATTTACAAAATGATTTCAAAAATACAGAAATAAACATAGTTTTATTTAAAATTTAAAGACCAATGAAAATAAGCTTTAAAGCTAATATATAATCACTAGCAAATCACCCTCGCTCCGCTCGGGTGCGTCCCTAGGTTGTTTCCCCATACAAACTTTCATCCCCATTTTCACCCCCTTAAGGGATGATTTCCGAGTCCTACGTCCTTCCCAGGTTATCAAACTATCTTCTTACCAAATTTCATCTAAATCGGTTCAGTAGATCCAGAGATTACCCCCTACAACGACACAAACTCACAAACTTTACCTCATTATAATATTAGTATAGATTTCCAACACTTACCTTAACATAGCTAGCCGGGAACCACCCACTCTGCCTGTTCCTGCCCTTGGCCTGCAGCTCTCCCTCCCACCATCCGCTGTCCGCTTTCTTCCTTACTATTAATAGCTGTCCTTTCATTAGGGATAGCTGTTCTGAGCTGTTTTAAAAAAAATACAAACATTTTTGTCTTTTTTTTGCACTAAGAGTTAGAAAGGGAAAGAGAGATGAATAAAAAAAAATAAAATCGTCTTAATTACTCCTTAAACGGTAGTATTTTTTTTTAAATTCACGTGAGTAGTCTCATATGAATAAAAAAAATACTCCTCAAGAGGTATAATTTTTATATTAAAGAAAGAATTAGTAAAATCGATTCAATAATTAATTAAAAACGCAAACAGAAGAATCGAGCACTTTCTCTAGTATTTCTTCTTCTAGAAGTCAATAAAAAAAAACAAATATAAACTACATATACAATAAGAACCAAAAATTGATATAGGTAAATTAATTTAAAAAAATACTTTTTAAAGGGATTCGAGCCCAGAACCTGCTTGACACCTCCAGGTAAATGTCTGAGAAATTAATTAAAATTCTAAGAAATCTATTGTTAACTGACACGCCGGCGTGTCCGCGGTCGTGGAGGGATTAACTTATAAACATACTGTTACATTAATATTTGTCATATAAAAAATATAAAAATTCAAAACAATCACAAACATTTACAATTATCTAAATAACTTCCCACCCAACACTTACAAGCGTCTAATAGCCGATTTCACCAACGTCACCAAGTTTAAGGGATCCCCTAAGCATGGTTAGGGGGCTGTTTTAGGGGACAGTTTCTGTTTCACCGACAGTTAGGGGTCACCTAAATATTAAAAGGCCCTCTAAATTTAGGTGTTCGAAATATGGTCTTAAAGACGATCGTGAAATGAAATTTAATTTAGGGGCTAGTTTAGGGGACTTTTAAGCTAGGGATCCCATACGTAGGTGGTAGCTTATGGGTTGTTGATGAAATCGGCATATATATCGGCATAAGTCACTTAACCAATGTCTAAATCACTTAGCTTACCCTAAACTTACCTTGTAGCTGTATAATTAGCTAAAGCCTGAGCCACCTCGTGTTTACGTCTAGAGGTCGCAGAGTCTCTGCCCGAGTCTCGTCTAGCCGACGAGGCCGGTCGAGGCCCGCCGGTGGAGGCCGAGGCCGAGGCCGACTCGGTTATAGCTGCCACCTCTGATGATATGGGCGTAGAGGATTTTTGCTCCTATTTAGGGAAATTGGTTATAATTTACCTAATTAGGTAAGGAATTTTAATTAGATAATAAATCGTTTTTACTTTTTTAATGATATACATATTCCTATAAAAACTATCCTACGACCTTCCGAGGATCTCAAACTTTCTCCATACAAAATTTCATCTAAATCGGTTCAGCGGATTAAGCGTGAAAAGGTAACAGACAAACAGACAAACAGAGTCACTTTCGTATTTATATTATTATAGTATGGATGAATGTATGTGTTATACCTGTACAGGTTCAGGCTGGGGTGCAGGTTCGGGTTCCGGCTGAGGCTCGGGTTCCGGTTCGCGAGCCTCAGGAATGCTGGACATGGGCTCGCCAGACGTCGTCGTGTCTTTCGTCACGTAGTTAGATGGGAATATGCCCGTGCTTTATGATAGAAATGAAGAGAATAAGACGTTAGTGTTACCAGTTGTTATACACAATTACCCTATCTATCTATTCTATTCAGCCCTTCTGAACGTCCCACTGCTAGGACCTCCCTTCAATACGAGAAGGATCAGGCCTCAGTCCACCACGCTGGCCAAGTGCGGACGGCCTGAGCATGTCTTTTGAAAACTTGCTAGGTTCTCTCAGACATTCAGGTTTCCTCGCGATGTTTTCCTTCACCGTAAGACAAGTGGTAATCATGTAGGAAATGATTCGCACATGAAAATATCACAGGTGCGAAGCCCGGGATTTGAACCGGCTTCACTCAGTTACCCAAGCGAGCGCGAGCCTTTTTACCCCAATTCCCCTATTAAATGAAAATTTTTATAATAGACTTAAAATTGTGTAATTTGTATTTAAAAAAAAGCATACGTTCTGCCTCCTCCGCCATCTTTCCACTTCACTCGCTCCCTCATTAACTCACTCGCTCACTCACATACCTACATATCTATCTCATTCCAAACAAAAGCAAACAAAGCGCACCGTATCCCGATCCTGCCGGTCCACCAATCGCCATCCCGGCGCAATACTTCTATTCTCTCTCCCGCTTCAAACACCAAATCCCCGGGTTCGGACGAGTTGTAGGGATAGGCGGCTATGTAGAAGTCTCCGCCCTCTGGTGGGAGAGAGAGTCAAAGAGAAGGAGAGTGAGAAAAATAGAGAATTTTCATACTTTAGACTCTATTGTTATTTATGATTTATGCTGCCGAGTCTAATAATCACGATTGTGGAGTTCTGGGTTTGAGTCTCGGGTTGCACCAAGTATAATTAGTCTTAGATAAATTATTAAATAGTAAATAAAATTGACATCAAAATATTAAAAAAAACTTTTTTTGAAAGGCCCAAAATTTTTATAGATGCCCTAAATTAAAAAACAACTTACCAACAGCCGGCATTGCTCCTCCCAAGTCATTTGCAATTTCAGCTTCTGGCACTTCAGCTATACCTAGAAAATAAAATATATATGGTCATTTTTAATTTACTGAAAACCTTTTGGGGTTATAGTATTTACATCATAACAACAACATCTGTGACAAGAAAAAACAATATTTCTCAAATTTTTATTTTCATACAAAAATAAAAAAAATATTTTTTTCACTTTCTAAACTTTAAAGTTCTAGCATCTGGCCAAGTTTAAATGAGTAAGCGCGGCTTCCTACACCCCTCCACCCCTCCACTGGACATGCACTTTCTTTTGCTAATGTTGGACTATTACCGTTGAGAAGGAGCAATAAAAATATTATTGTTTTTTTTTAATTTAAGATATATATTTTTTTCTTACAGATGTTGTTGTTATGTTGTAAACAGTGTATTTCCAAAAGGTTTTCAGTAAATTAAAAATGACCCTGTATATGAGTTATGAAAGAATTTTTTAACATCCCACTGCTGGGCGTGGGCATCTCTTCAATACGAGCGGGATCAGCTGGCCACAGTTAATAAGATAGGAAAACAGGTATTGGTTTGGTTTTACGAATCAAGCATTTTAAGGGGTCCAGAAATGTAATAAATTTAATAAAGGTAGGTTCAATGAAAAATAGCAAAACTACTTTTAACAATAAAAACTATTTAACTCACATATTTTGTTATTATTTTTTTTAAATACTACTCAAACTCACATAATCTCAATATCTCTATCTCAATCTCAAAATAAACTCAGATAAACTCAAACTCAAAAAACATGCGTATACCCTATTCTAATGGAGCCCTGGTAGGGCATGGGAGCTATAGCCAAACCTACTTTATGGTACCGGTACTATTTATATAGACCATGGGGACAGACATACAAGTGGTTTTATTATATATACATAATGGTATATAGGGTCAATTTAATGAAAAAAATGCTTACTTTGCTCTTGATAGCTCCCTTGTACGAAAATATGAGATTAAAAAATAATAAATTAACATAATACTTTCTTAGATTTATTTAAAATAAATATAAATATATAACAGTTATATATAAATATATAACAGTTTAAAATTCAAAAATATTTTAAAATAAAATATTAAGTGAATTAATATTATTTACTTTCTTTAATTAACAGAACTTATTAATAATTTGAATTAACAAAACTTACTTATTAATTATAATTGAACTCAACTCAAAATCAAAACTCAACTCTATCATTATTTTTATTAAAAAAAAATTATTATTTTCCTGACAATAGTAAGATACTATGGACGTAGCGAGTTCGAATCCTGATTGGCGAATATTTTTACTAGCTATAAATTAAATTGAAATTATATTCTTTGCAACCTAAAATGGGTCATTTTGTGCGTAGCGATGTTAATACTACAATAACTAGTGATAAACAAAAACAAATATATCCATGGGGCACCGTACATTTTTCTGGAATAAAAGTAACCTATGTGCTATTCCAAACTATTATCTATCTCTATGCCAAATTCATCCAGATCAGTTCAGCCGTTCTGGCGTGATTGATTAACAAACATCCATCCATCCAAACTTTCGCATTTATAGTATTAATTAAATAAGATTTCAAGCTGTAATCGAACCCACTATAATTAAGAAACTCACCTTCAAGCTGAGTCTTGCTTTCGAGCGGCTCTATTACTTCAGCATAAGCCTGTACCGCATTGATATCTTCCACGTACGATTCTGGGAACCAACCTGATTGGCCTATGACAGAAAAATTGGTTACAAACGAGCCGGGGTTTGAATATTTTCTCGATAAGTGGATTTTGCATAACTATGACGTATACCGGATTTCATTTTCAAAATTTAAAAAAAAGCGTGTGTGTCTGTACTTATGAACGCACGTTATACTTCTTTGGCGTGACAGAACAAAAATAGCTAAAAATTCTATCCCGTATGTCACAACTCTCTGTTTGTAAAAGGAATGCAGCTAACTTCATCATGTCGCTTTTTGGCTATCCGTGTGTGCATCGTACAAATTTTACTCATTTTTTTCCAAACGTACCAAAAGAAATATAACTTTAATAACTTTGTTTCCGCAGGGATTCTTCCTTCAGTTTTTTTTTAGTACTGTGGATTTTATTTCTGAACTATTGATGTTCGATGTCTTTCAATAAAATATTGTAATAATTTTATGTAGAATTTTTTATTTTTGGCACAACAAGTAGGGTCAAACGTATTCTCTTTTATGATAAATGAAACTTTCAACATTTGTTTCGAATGCAAACATGGTCACAAAATAGATTTTACTTTCTTTCTTAGATTTACGTAATCTTATTTTTATTTGATGATAATCTGTGCTCAATTGGCACGCTTTGAAGACATTTACAGGAAAAATGAATTAAAAATAGATTATGTACACTAAAATTACAAAACTCTTACCACGAGCGGTCCCCCATTTCCATCCAGGCTCTGCATCACCACGTGGTGCAGTCGCTTCACTTACCTGAACAATGATTACGTTTTAACGTTTAGTATAGAATTCTCAGAGACTCTATATAGTAATCTAGAGAGTAAGAGATCTATATAATAATGATTATTTCAATAAGATTTTCCAAAAAATATTTAATGTATAGATTCGACTCGGTTAGAATATTATTATATGTGTAGATAACATTTTTGAGTCAAGAGTATTAAAGGCAAAAGTTAGTTATTTCTCAGTGATTTTTGAGGGTACAGAAAATATTAAAAAAAATTGAAAGAAAACTCAAATGGCACAAGTCGACTCAAAAATTTAACTCAACAAACTCAAAAACTCACCAAGTCCCCGGGCTGCAAACTCAACTCGTCCGCAGTTCGAGCGCTAAATTCATACACACAACGCCATTTTGGCGCGTTAGAAACAGCCGGCACCGTTTCTGTTGCTAGAGGAAGGAAAAAATATATTAATTTAAATAAAAAAATATATTCAATGGTAGTCCATTGGTAAGCAAGAGAGAATGGATGGGCCGATTTTGATATAGATGATAAGTTTATTAATAATTATTCGCGATAACACCTAACAGGTTTTTGGGAGAAAATTGAAAATTTCGAAAAAATATCCGCAATAATCCGAACACGGTTTTCAGGTGGATTTGGAAAAAACTGAACTGCTTTTTGATACATAACGATTATAAATTAAATTCATTAAAATATCAATAAAGAATAATTAAAGTAATTTCAATAATTCTATAGTACATATATCAATGACTAGCGACTCGAAACAAATCAATCCCACGGGAACTTACATTATTCTAGGTTAAAAAATAACCTATGTGCTATTCCAGACTATAATAATCTATCTCTGTGCATTTTGAGCATCTTGCAACTTAAGAGACATTTTTAAAACCATAATATATCGTAGGATCTATTTTTTACATTTTGTTAATCCCACTAACAGATCGATACATATAACGCCATCTATTGACATTTATTTAAACTATTTTTTTTTTAATAAAACTCTTTTTGGATCTTTTCGTGAATTTATTTTGATTTTTGGTTAGGTTTGGTTTGATTCATTTCAGTTGTTTGTAACAACTATATAATGACCTATGAGACGTCTAAAACCTCAGTCGCTCCCGAGACTATGCGCGCTGTGAAGCATTCGAAATATCGAGAACCATAAAACACAACATAAATTCGCGAGAAAATCCGAAAAATTAGTTTTATTTAAAAATGTCAAATATTCGCATAAATCTAAGAAAATAATCTGTCTTTGTTCTTGATTACAGCCTATTTTTTTTGTTTAACTTACCATTAGTAGCTGGTGCGTCTCCCCAAGGCGCCTCATTGGCCGGCGGCTCTCCCCACGCCTCGTCTGAAGTACCCCAATCTGCATCTATAGAGAAAAAAATATCTATTTATGGTAAAATTTCTAAAGATTTGTTCCTCGTTCTGATTTTTTTTATTTTGTACTAGCATTGCCCGTAACTCCGCCCGCGTTCTGATGACCAAAAACCAAATTCTTAGGTTTTACATATTAGTATACTCTTACATTGCAGTTTTTGTATTTTGTCTCAGAAATGAGATATTTTCCCGCGGTAAAAAGTATTATATATATCCTATATGTTGACCCGGATAACCAGCTATCACCATACCAAATTTCATGAAAATCCCTTTAATGGTTTTTCCGTGATACGGTAACAGACATACAGAAATACAAAAAGATAGAAAGACAGACAGACGAAAATTCTAAAAACTATAGATTCGGCCTTTATATCGATAATAATGTTTATTTCAATAAGATTTTCCAAAAAATATTTAATGGACAGATTCGGCTTAGTTACAATTTTATTATATGTACAGATAGATATGCTATAAAACTTTATTTATTTAGTATAAGCCAGTGACTTACGTTAACTCGGGTGCATCTTTAGTTACCTAACAAAAACCTATGTGTTACTCTTAGTCTATCTGTATACTAAATTTCATACAAATCGGTCCAGCCGTTACAACGTGAAGAAGTAACAAGCATACACACATAAAAACTTTCGCATTTAAAGCATACTAGTGACTCACCCTCGCTCCACTCGGGTTCATCCCTAACTACGTTTTACCAGTTAGCATGGTATATATAGACTATATAATATACAGAGGTACGATGGGTTGTATCATAACGTGTTTTCCCGTGGGAATGAGACAATCTCCCGCGGTAACAAGTAGCATATGTCACTCTCCGGCCCTCCAACTATCTCCACACAAAAAATCACGCCAATCCATCACTCTGTTTCGACAAAGAAGGACAAACAAACAAACACACTTTCACATTTATCTACAGTAATATTATAAAGAGGTAAAGTTTGTGATTTTGTGACGTTGTAGGTAATCTCTGGATCTACTGAACCGATTTAGATGAAATTTGGTAAGAACCTAGTTTGAGACCCTGGGAAGGACATAGGATAGTTTTTATCCCGGATATCATCCCTTAAGGGGGTGAAAATGGGGATGAAATTTTGTATGGAGAATCAACCTCCAATAGTAACCCTCCTCCTCAATAGTAATATTAATAAGTAATTAAGTATAGATAGATGATTTCCAAACTCACCGGTCCCCCAAGCACTATCAGCGGGCGCTGTATTCCTATTCTGAACATACTCATCTCGTTTTTGTTCATACAATTTCCATACAGTTTCACATTTCTCACTCAACTGATTCACTGTTTCGTTCAGTTCGGCCAATTGAGTTTTGTTACTTTCCAAATCTGACTTCTTACTTTCCACTATCGCTTTAGCCGCGTCCACCTGTTTGGGAATTATTGAATTCTAATTCTTTTTCTATAATAAAAGTAGCCTAAGTTACTCCTTATAACATCGGGTATTTGCCAGTGAAAGTCCCGTCAAAATCGATCCAGCCGTTTCGGAGATTAGCCAGAACAAACGGACAGACGAAAATTTTAAAGATATTTTTTTTCTTATAACTCGTATATAATTTCATATGCCTTTAGTCAAAAGCTGTTATTTTGACATTACACACAGACACTATATAATATATATATATATATATATATATATATATATATATATATATATATATATAATCTTAAGTAATTTTAACCAACTTAATCAAAAGAGGTTTTCACTTCAAAATGTATTTTTAATATAATATGGCACAATATATTTTAACATTTAACATTTAAATTTAGTATAAATATTCTATTAAATACTCACTACTGATAAATAAAGTAATAATGGTTTTTTTTTATAAAAAAAAAATTACCTTATCCCGTAACTGCTTCAGGGTAACTTCCATCATACTAAGTTGTCCGTCCTCGCCTGCACCATCCGTCACTTTAGCCTAAAATAAATAAAAAAAAATAAAAAATGCGAAATGGCGGCCTTCAAAAACAATTTTTTATTTAAAATGATTATATACGGATTGCTGATATTTTATTTACATTATATATATTTTTTCTAACATACGTGTAACAATATCCCACAAAATGACCAAAAACTTCAAGTGCAATATTTTAAAGAAATCATGAAGTACGCGTATGTGCTAAGTATATAGTTGCTAAGTATATTTCTAACATCAATATCAAATAAAGCATTTTAAAATTCAATATGACGGCACCGTATTTTTTCTTATTAAATGTTTACTTTACATACAAAATATCTTTATTTAAGCATTTAATAAGAAAAAAAATAAATGATGGCAACTTACCTTATCCTATAAAGTATGTATATAATTATAATTTACCTTACCCAAAAAATTATATATAATTGTAACTTACCTTAGCATCTAACTCAGCTTTTTCTTTATTCAAGGCAATTTGTTTAGCATTCAACTCTTTCACTCTAGCTTTGAGCTGTTGCATTTCCGCCATACTTGCGTCACGATCGGAACTAAAAAATATTTCAAATTAATTTATACAAGTTCAATAAAAAAAAATTAATACGTAATTGTAATTTTTTGATTTGTTTTGTTTTTGTACATAAATAAATAAAATTATATCACACTTTCTATTATCAATATGAAAATTTGTATGTTTGTTAGTTTTTTATATTGAAATTCTTGAACTGATTTGGATGTTTAGTACACAGATAAGAGTATGAGATGTAAGAATAGGTATACTTATTCTTTTAAAGTTGACGTGAGATTTTCAGCCCCTTTAAGTTTAAATGAGATTTAACGAGATTTTACTTGCACCCTCTCCCTCCCTCCATTTTGAGCTCATGTACGTTTTTAAAATACAATTATCTTTTCGTTATTTGCTCCCCGACGTTTCAAATGCTTATAGCAATCATGGTCACGGGAGTTAAAATGTCAAATATTCGCGTAAATCTAAAAATGTTCCCATATGTACCGTACGCGTAAATCTAACTGTATTAGCTTAGTGACGCTACTTGCTGTGACAGCGGTCGCGGGTTGAGTCCCGCTGGAGTCATTCGTTTGTGTAATGAGCATGTGTAGTGTGTCAACTACCTGGTATCCATAACACAGGCCTCGTAAGCTTACCATGGAACTAGACGGTGTTTGTGTTTATGTATCAACATATTTATTTATTATTATTTTCACTCACCGCATAGAATCAATGGTACATTTATGGGCAGCCACCGCTGTCCTTGTGTCCCGGATATCCTTTGCCAGGGTGCTGGCCCTCAGATTAACCGCACTCAGTTCCGCTGAAAGGGACTGGGATTTGGCTTTGAGAGAGAGGACCTTGCTTTGCTCCTCTGTCCTGAGGGCTTCTAGTTCACGAGTCCTGGCAAAATTGTAAATAATCAATATTTACCAAAATTACATTTGAGTATAAAAAAAGCAGTCACGAGGATTGCCGACAGAAATGAAAACATAAAACTATAAACAAACATTAGTTATTTTTGGATATTCAAATTAATTGTTTGATCTTAAATTAAAATATGTAAATTAAAACTGTTTACATTTATCTGGTGTTGACATCTATCGGTACTCACATCAACACGTCACGGGACCATGTCGATGACGACTTCCATGAATTTACTACCCATCCAAACAAACATGCCTATAGAAGACTTCAAAAAATTGGTGAAAAAAGAATTGTGACATATATAATATATGTATGTACCTTTTCTTCTCCCATTCGAGCTGACATTGCCTTTCCATCTCCTTTCTAGCCGCTTCACGTTTTTCCTAAAAAAAATAATAGTCAAAACCCCTTTGTATATACAAAAATTAAGATAAGACTCACTGATTGACTAACTAATCATAATATCTTAAAAAATATTATATTAAAGAAGATTTTAAAGCTAAAAAATGTTTATAATTCACTACTGTCAGTCAAAAAATCAGAAAGATTTTACGATAGCAGTCCTTCGCCACATACCTGTTCTTCTTTTTGTTTCCGAAGCAGTTCTTCTTGTTCTTTCTTCTGTGCTTCCAAACGCAACTTCTCTTTTTTCTCTGCTTCTTCTCTTTCTTTCCTCTCTCTCTCCGCCTACAGATATATAATTAGCTATTTTTAATAAATAAATTACGATAAGTTTTAAATCAACTAGAAACACTAATTCTTTTTTAAAAAATTTTTTATAGATTTTTATAAGTATTCAGAAAAATATTTTTTATATGTAAGAAAAAATGTACTACTCAGAACAAAACGGTTCATTTTACGGTAGTTAGATATTTTTTAAAGTTAAATACTACATTATTACTACATTATTTTCAAAAGAAATATATATATGTACCTCTTCCTCCTAGAATGCGAGAAAAAACATAAAAAAGCAAGATCAGACAAAATATCCCAAATAAGCAAATTTTAAATTAAAATTAATGCAACTACACTGTAACAGAATAAAAAAACGCAAACAAACATCCACATATAAATTAAGTCGCGCTGAGTTTGTTTGTTCGAGCTAATCTCAGAAACTGCTGTACGGGTTTTTATACGGTTTTCACCAATACATAGAGGGATTATCTAGAAAGTTTATGGGCTATAATTTATTTACATATTACGAAAACTAGCGACTTATGTAAGCGGATTTTCTTAAGAATTTCATGGATTTTGATTTTTTTTGCGCGGAACCCTATTTTTTTCTAAAATAAAACTAGCCAATTTACTTCTTATAAAGTCCCATCAAAATCAGTCCAGCCGTTTCGGAGATTAGCCGGAACAAACAAACAGACGGGCACAAAAATCATAAAAATAAAAAAAATCTTATAGATACCGTATATAATTTCATATGCATTTAGTAAAAAGCTGTTATTTTCACATTACACACAGACACTACAATTTTATTTATTTGTATCGATGATATTTGTAAATTAAGTAGTAAGAAATCGTTCTTTCTGTGAATTCTTTAAAGGACATCTTTTTTTTTTTTTTTTCTTAAAGTTTATAGTTTTTTTATGTTCCCAAAAATCACTAAAAAATTAAATAAACATAATAACAAGCGAGTAATCGAAGTATAGAATCAAAAAATATTATATTAGTAAATGGGACCATATTTCATTGAATTCAGCCCTTTTTAACGTCCCACAGCTGGGCGTGGGCCTCCCTTCAATACGAGATGGACCATGCGAAGGCAAGGCGAAGTAATCTTAGCTCAACTGGCACGCTTTGAAGCCATTAACAAGAAAATTGAATTGAATAATACATTACCTTCTCTTTCATTTGAGCATCTGCTAATTGAGATCTTCTTCTTTCTAATTCTGCTTGACCCCTCGCTAAGTTCTCTCTTCTTCTCTCTTCGTATGATTTAACACTACTTAGGCTTGACACTGACTCTCGTCTGGAAAAATAATTGAAATTAAAAATCATAGTATTATAAAATTGAAAGTTTGTGTGTTTGTGTATAACCAAAAAGCTGGTATGCAATTTTTGTATATAATACAAAAGGCACACAGAGACACAGCCAGCGAGGGTGAGTCACTAGTAAGCATATGTATAATTGTAGCTTACCTTTACCTTTAATTACCTTAATGTAAATTAACTAAGATATAAATTATGTAAATCTTTTCAGATTTTTTTGCGTATTTATTTTGATTTTTGGTCCTCGGAACTTGGAATGCTTTACAGCAATCATGGTCTTTTTATAGACTAAGGTTTTAGACTTATTTAGTTGTTACAAACAGTACCTATTCACAAAATTATATAATGATTTAAAAAAGTACAAAAATGGCACAAAAGTACCTGATATATTTTTTTTTATTTCTTAGAAATTACCTATTTTATGCAACTTACACAAAACTTACCTAAACGTAGGAGGTATCAACTCAATAGGTAACTTAGCGGGAACAGCTTCCCCTTGCGTTGCACGTTCACAAAGATACATTGCAAGTACGAACTCTTCACAGCCTGGGTAAAGGTAAGAAAACAATTTTGAAGAAATGGGCGTATAAACTTTACGCGCGGTTGAAATAAAACTTCTTTGGCAAATATGGCAATTAAATTAAAACAAATCAATAATTAAATAACTCATGTTAGGTATATTACAATTATATATTTATAGAATATCATATACGGAAAGAATATAATACTATTATGTATTTGTAACACAATAACAGCGGTTACCATGGCAACATGGCAATGTATTCTCTCATTCTCTCGCCGGCTTATCCTGTATATTTATGTGTTTGTCTCTTTCTTGTGTCGCATTTCCGTTTCATCGAGTTTCAAATCACAACGATTCTAAGGTTAAGGTTAAGTCTAAAGTTTTATTTTCAAAAACAAATAAAAGTTTTTTTTATTTGCATTGGACTTTGAGTGAAGCTAATATGAATTTAAAAAGAAGTTGTTTTTATTTAAATACCATCTTTTAGGTCAAGGTCAGCTTAGTTGGCGTTTAAATAGAGAAATAGCACAACTTTTGGATGAAAACGAATTTTGGAGCACAACTGCGCATCTCGGAAACGGCTCGAACGATTTGGATCAAATTTAGTATATAGATAAGGTTTAGCTTTTTAACTTTATACTATCCACTACACCACTGAGGCAATAAAGAACGAAACCTGGGTAAGTCACGAGTTACAACTAGCAATACTCACCCAATTTCCCATCGGAGTCTAGATCAGCCAAAGCCCATATCTGAGCGAGGGTCTGTTGTGGGAGTCGCGACTGCAACATGATAGAGCGCGCTTGGGCTCCAGACACCGAGCCGGTCTTAGCGCGGTCCGTCGCGTTGAACAGTTGCGTGTATCTGTTCATAGAGATAGAAATAAACAGGTGAGATGAAAAAAAAATAGAAATAAAAATAGATTTTTTTTATTGACTTATTCAATATGCGTTACAAATAGTCGCAAGGGACCCTGTACTAGGTGTGAACCCGTGGTACTGGGTATCTCGCTCATCCTTGAGGACAAAATATGATAAATCAATAGGTAGTGCAAAAACAAAATTAAATTAAGTAACATTTACAATAAGTGTGTGTGCGTGCGTGTGTGTGTCAAGTAAACTAGATATATATAGGTATGAGATAGAGATGAGATAAATATGGGCGGGGGAGGAGCAATTCTTGTACATATATTTATTTCGAGAATCTAGGAAACGGCTCTAACGATTTGGATCAAACATTGTATATAGATAAGGTTTTGCTTTTAAAGTTTATCTATGTGTATTCTAAAAAACGCAAGTATTCACAAAAAAAAAACAAACATTTTTTATAACTAAAACGAGCGCTTACGCCGAGCGAAGCTCAATCGCCCAGATATTTTACTGATAAGAAGATCAAAATATGCGGAGCAAATGCCAAATTATGAAACGTGAAAAAATTAGAATGGTATAAAATGCACATTGTATATTACTTACTTCAACTTTTGAGGTTGGGGAATCCCCCACTCAACACATGGAGGGGGACTCACGACCCCCATGGGGACATCTGTTGGGCTGGTCACTAAAGAACCTAGGGAAATAAAAAAAATATTTATAATAAGCTTAGCACATATACAATAATACAGGTTTATTGGAAAAAATCTAACAAATGTATATATATTTTTTTTAACGTTTCACTGTTGGGGAAGGGTCTTCCTTCAATGTAAAGAGGATCAGGACGGCTTGCACCACGGAGTCAACCACACTGGCCCAGTGTACGTTAGTGGACTTCACATGTCTTTCTAAAACGTGTTTGTTGGGTTGTTGGGCACGGGCCTCTTTCCATGCGAGGAGCATCAGGCCAAAGTCCACCACGTTGGCCAAATGCGGGTTGGCAGACTTCACATATCATTTGAAAACTTGCTGGATTCTCTCAGATATGCAGGTTTCCCCACAATAAAACAAGTAGTAATCATGTTGGAAATGATTCGCACATGAAAATATCCGAGGCGCGAGATCCGAGATTTGAACCCGCTTCACTTGGTTTCCCAAGCGTGCGTGTTTAATACGATTTTACTATGATTAATTTGTTTAATACGACTGACTTAAGGTTTCATCTACTTTCAATATATTTTCAATTGCACAATGGTATTACGAAACAGGCCAGTATTTTAGAGACATTTTTAAAATGTATTTATTAGATCCACTTGTGAGTATGCAGTCTTGAAGAATTACTTCCTGGATCATCAGATCAGCTCGATGGTACATTGTTTTTAATAATGTTCGTTATAGTTCGAATTAAGTTCGTAGAAAAAAGCTGTTAAAAAAATAAATCGGGAAAATTTTAAGACCCCAAATAAGTTTTAAAATTTGGGGTTATTAGCGTGAAATAAGTAGAAAAAAAAATCAGTAAATATAGCACCTTTATCAATACAATATTAATTTAAAATAATACTTACCAGGCTTTGAAAACGAGTCACTTTTCACCGCAGTGATTGGAGTAGATGTCACTGGCTGAACGGGCATCGAACCCGCTATACTGGTTACTGTTGGTTTCGGTGGACTGACTATTGATCCTACTGTTGTTCCTGTTGGGATTTGGGGTTGGGATGATGGAGTTGAGGCGGTTGGTCCAACCAATGGTTGAGATTGGTTTATACCAACCAATGGTTGAGTTGACGGTGGGCTGGTTAACGATTGAGACATCAACGGTTGAGTTGAGTTTAATGGTTGAGAACTAAGTAGCGGTTGTGATGTATTAATCAATGGTTGACTGATTGATGATGATTGAACTAATGGCTGAGTTGGTTGCATTAAGGGCTGAGTTGGTTGTATTAATGGCTGCGTTGGTTGAATCAATGGTTGAGTGGGTGGCATCATTGGTTGAGTTGGTGGGATTAATGGTTGAGTTGGTTGCATCATTGGTTGAGTCGGTTGCATCATTGGTTGAGCTGGTTGCATCATTGGTTGAGTTGGTTGCATCACAGGTTGAGTTGGTTGCATTATTGGTTGAGTTGGTGGAATCATTGGTTGAGTTGGTGGAATCAATGGTTGAGTTGGTTGCATCATTGTTTGAGTTGGTTGAATCAATGGTTGAGTTGGTTGCATCATTGGTTGACTGGAAATCGGTGGAGTGGAGTTCATTAATAATTGCCCATTTCCCATCAACGGTTGAGGCACAGGTGGTTTCACACCCGAAATTAGATCAGGGACCGCTGGTTTTGGTGGCATCGGTTGGTTAAAATCTCCGATTAATGATTGAGTTGGTTGAGAGGGTAAGCCACCGATTAAAGTTTGGGATACATTTGGCATTGGGGGGATAGGGGGTTTTGGTGGGGGAAACTGTTGTTTTGCGCCTAAAATAAAAAAAGTAAATATACAGATAAACATATTTTTAATTTAAATATGTGTATAATTTAGTGTACTTTATTATGCTCAAATAATTGCCTCGTTTCTAAATTTTCACAATACATAGAATTATTTAATTCATACCGGTAGTTCTAGATGTATTCAAAAAAACAAACAACAAAATATCACCTAAACATAATAATATCAGCTTTAAGTATCATTAATACCCCTTTGTGCCTATAATATAATGGTTGGTCTCAGATGTGACGATTTTTTTCCCACTCAATATAAAAATATCAACTGGTAGTTTTTTTTTTCACATATAGAATCTAAAAAAATAATATTCATATGTTAGTTCTCTATGCATTCCTAAACCATTGATCCGATTGTGATGAAACTCTGGTGGGTTATTTTGTATACGGCTGTGAAGATTCCTGGTGCAAAAAAAGATTTTTCTTTGGACGTTTGTCATTAATACATCAATAAGCTATTCAAGCTTAGGGACGCACCCGAGCGAAGTGGGAGTAAGTGGTTAGTCTATACATATAATAAAATTCTAACTGAGTCGAATCTGTACAATAAATATTTTTTGAATAATCTTATTGAAATAGACATTGTTATCGATACAGAGGCCGAATCTATAGTTTTTAGAATTTTTGCCTGCCTATCTGGGAATGCATGTCGTGAAAACCACTGGACAGATTTTGATGAAATTTGGTATGATATTAGTGTTGATGAAAACTGTATGAAAAACCGTAGTTTCTGAGATTACCTAGAACAAACAAAAATATAGGATGGTGGAGGAATTAAGTTTATTATTTGTAGCATAGATTCCTCAGGATGACTAAAATTTTTAAACATTTTTTTTAATAATACTGTATATTTACCAGTAGGACTGAGCGATGCAAGGAGTGATGGGGGCAATGCCTTCGGTACTTCCACTCCATGTAATTTTAAATTTATTATCTGTAAGAAGTCATGCAGATATTAAAGGAAGAAATAAAAAAAAAACAAGTAATTGAAATTGAATTGAAATAGTTTTTTTTAAGCCATTAATAAGCGAATTGAATTGAATCAGTTTACTCGAAGTCTGTGTTTTTTTATATTCCTTTTTATAAATAATTTGATGTAAAAAATATAAAACAATAGTATTCACTAATATGACAAAAATAAACAAAATATTTTAAAGTACATAAAAAAACACATTGCTACAAAAAAATTTTTTACTGAAAACTTACTACATTTTTTTTTTAATTTTAATAATAATATTTCCATCTCACCTTGCAAGCGATTGAGAACTCCTTTAAGTCTAATTTGCCATCTGCATTAGTGTCGGCAAGGGACCAGATTTGACCCAATATCGGTGGAGGGAGTTGCGACTGCAAATAAAAATTTTATGTTACTTCTTGATCAACTTTAAGAATGGGTAATGTTTTAGATTTGGTTGTATAATAGTTTCTATGTTTAGCTGTAACTTAAAGACTTTTTTTTAATTTATATAGCTTCTTAAGCCAGTTCTTCTCAAGTTTGAAACATTTTGTTCCCAATTCATTCATGATGTTCAGTAAAAAAATATAATAATTTAATACTGAATAAATCATTTTGAATTGCAATTACAAATTTCAAGAGAAATTTTATTCCTCAAGGTGAAAATAAAAAAAATATAAACATAGGTAATTGAATTATATTAATATTATGTATTATGTTAAAAATTCATACATATAATAAAATTGTAACAAAGACGAATCTGTACATTAAATATTTTTTGGAAAATCTCATTGAGACATTATTATTGATACAGAGGACGAATCTATGGTTTTTAAAATTTTTGTCTGTTTGTCTGTCATCTGTCTGTCTGTTACCGCATCACAGAAAAACCACTGGAGGGATTTTGATGAAATTTGGTATGATGATAGTTGGTTATCTGGATCAACATATAGGATACTTTTTACCACGGGAAAATATTTTATTTCTGAAAAAAAATACAAAAGCTGCATTGTAAGAGTATATTAGTATGTAAAACCTAAGAATTTGGTTTTTGGTCATCTGAATGCGGGCAGAGCCGTGGGCAATCCTAGTAATCTATATGTTTAAAATATATATTTATTATTATAATAATGTATTATGGTACCTACCTGTAACATGAACCTTTTAGCCTGTTCTCCGGTCAGTGTACCATTGACGGGCCCAAGATTGCGAAAGTGCTCTGCATATTTTGCATGTTCATGGGGCTGTATCACCCATGGGTCAGCCATTATTCTGTAAAACTTGATTTGATTTTGATTTTGATTTGATTTTTATTTATTTATTTTGATTTGATTTGATCACAAAAAATATATCACTACGTGATATTAAAGTAGATTTTTTTTCTATCAGTAAAGATTATTTAACAAAATATATTAATTAAAATTTTAGTTTATTTAATGTAAATTCCAGTTACTATATGGTCTTAATAAATGTAAATTGAATTATTAGAAAATTTATTTCAGTCTATTTGTAATTGAATCTTAAGTATGAATGCTATATAAATATTTTGATATCTGAAAGTAGTATATTGAACTAATATAATGCTTTTTCATAGAAGAGGCAAAGTTCTTTCTACTATTTTAAGAACATCCTTAAACATTAAAAGTAGTGTCGCTGATTTTCTACAAAATTAGGGAAAACAAGGAAAAATTGTCTGGAATTATTATTTTTGTGCGAAACGAAAACGACTAATAAATCAAATACATTCGAATAAAGAGCAAACATATATTATTTATCAAGATAATTACGTTATCAAGCAAGTAGAAAGTTTTTAAAATTATTTTTTTAAATACTTAAATTGTTTATAAAGTTAAAAGATTATAGCTTAAAAATGTACTTTTTTACTTACATTATATATTGAAGTCCTTTGGAAGGAAGTCACCAACGCCCCTTTATAAAATAAAATGTACTTTTACTAATTCTGATCTGCAGTTCGTTTATTGATCCAGACAAACTGTCATATTCTATTGACAAATAGACACCCTAGTTCAGTAATGTTTAAATGTTAAGATTATATGAAAATCTTTGTTTATGTAAGTATTTTATATAAATCGACTACTATTATTGTTTATTATTTAAATAATTATCATTTTATAATACTTAAATTATTTATTCACGAATAGTGAAAGGTTTAGTTTCTCCTTTGCTTATATTTTAAGTGATTCCGAACGAACATAATTTGACATTGATTGCAAACATATGTTTTTGTAATATGTTAAATGTTTTGAGTTTTCATTCTAGAGAATTGTGATTTGTAACTCCATTAAAATTTATTTTTTAGCGAAATAAGCAAAAAATGACGAAAATCGCTGACAACGTTAACCCAAACGTATATGAAAAAGGTTCAGCACGAGAAATCACATTTACAGAACGCGATGAAGATATAACAGATGAAATTGACGAAAGGGAAATTTTCGATTTAATTCGAAATATAAATGATCCTGAACATCCATTGACACTTGAAGAACTGCGTGTGGTGGAAGAAAAGAATGTATTTATAGATAATAATCAGAACTTAGTGCGTGTTTACTTTACACCAACAATACCACATTGCAGCATGGCAACCTTAATAGGTAAAACAAATTACAAAAATTATAATTTTATCTTACTATATAGATACATAATTTGATACTATAATATGTTATATAAATTTCCTCGGTCTTTGCACAAAAAAAAAAACAATTTTAAATATAATTTTTCTATAATTTTTTGGGGTTAAAAAAATATTTACTCATTTAAAAATACAGTTCACTTGTAATGAGATTAGAATTACAACTCAGTATACAGCAGTGACCGAAAATCATATAATAATAATAATAAATTAGTTAGAAACATCTTCCAAATATTTTTTAAATTTATATTTAAATGCTGGAATCGACCTATCATTTGGCAAACTATTATACAGTTATATGAATATTTTTTTCTATAATATGTGAGTACATTTTAATACCCATTTTTATTTTAACTATTGTTTAATTACATTTGAAACTTTCAGGTCTTTCCATCAGAGTACAGCTTCTTAGATCATTACCGAGTCGATTTAAAGTGACAGTAGAAGTGTCTGAAGGCACCCACATGTCAGAACATGCTGTAAATAAGCAATTGGCCGATAAAGAAAGGGTTGCTGCAGCATTGGAAAATAACAACTTGGTACAGATTATAAATCAATGTGTTGCTAATTCTTAAATAAAAAATTGCTGATGAAATTGGCTATGATATAATTATGAGTAAAAAAGTACATTTTGTAGTTAAAATAAAATATTTCATAGACTGTAAGATTGTAAATACAAATGTCTGTAACATTTTAAAGCAGTTTAAAGCAAGTATGTAGCAGACTTAATGTCTATATTTTTTTTTATAATGTATTTATGATTTTATTCAAATAAAAAAACATGAAATGACAAAAATAAATCTTTTATTAATATTTTTATTTTGCGTATATTTGAAACTTAAACTCCAGTCCATGAAAAAAAATGTCAAAGTCAAAAATAGTAGGGTAGTTTGCTGTTTATGCTACTATTCTCGATTTTGCCATATTGTATACAGATTGTTTACTTTCTTAAAAGAATAAGTTCTCCTCTGACCGTTTCCAATCTCATTGAGATTAGCCAACTGCGCAGGAGATATAAGTGCAGACACAAGTACACACTCTATTCCTGTCACTCTCACACGCCGGTTGGACGACACGAGACACGACCGGTGAGAGTGGCGGCGCAGGACTGACGCGACACGTAGGTACTCTGCCTCGGCACGGGGATGAAACATCGCCATCTTGCCAACTTACTAAACAGAAAGACTCAATAACTAAACTCAGCCCGACCCGGGACTCGAACTCAGGACCTCCGGATGTGCAGCCATACATGCTAGCCACTACACCACTGAGGCAGTTAACTTTAAAGAATAAGGGAAATTTTACATATACGCATAAATTGTATTAATATGCAATTTTTGAGAATAAAATGTGAATATTAAATTTAAAAATATATTCTTTTGTATTTTTTAAACACGACTTTTCTTCCCTTTGAAAAAGAGATAGCACAATATTGGCTTTATTATTATTTTTCTTTATATTTATTATAGTTCATTCGCGTTAAGAAAATAGTGAGTCATCGTTATCCACCGGCCTGACCAATTAGATTGCATAAAATTATAGTCATATTTCACAATGACCAATTGCAGGCAGACTTAAATATATTATTAATGAACATAATTATCTCAAATCAAAATAAAGTTATTATTATTATATGACGACTTTATTTTGATTTAAGATAATTCATTATAAACTTAAGATAATAAAAATATAAAAAAAGATAATGATAAGATAATAATATCTCAAATCAAAATAAAGTCATTATCATCTCTAATCAAGATTTGAGATAAGATAATTGAGTTGATTTTTATAAACTTAATCTTTTGAAATATTGAATTTGAATTGAATTTTTACTCCCACTTTGTATATCCCACTTGATGACTCACTAATGGACTATAACATTTATTTACTAACTAGCGAATCACCCTCGTTCCGCTCGGGTTCGTGCCTATACTTACGTTTTCACGTTTAGTATATATTTTTCAGAGATGAGATTTTCCCCCAGTAAAAAGTATCCGATATGTTGACACGGAGCTATCATCATGTTAAATTTAATCAAAATCCCTCCAGTGGTTTCACCGTGATGCGGTCACAGACAGACAAAATTTCTAAAAACTATAGATTCGACTTCTGTATCGATAATAATGTCTATTTCAATAAGATTTTCCTAAAAATAAGTATTTAATATACAGATTCTGCTTAGTTAAAATTTTATTATATGTATGGATATATGTAAGTAATAAACCAGTATTCAAATTACAATTAGTTTTAACAATTATCATTTTAATTAAATCTTTTTCTAAATGTAATAGAACCAACATATTACGATTTATGGCATAATAAAACGCGAATATCGTGCGCTTCTTTTTTTAAATATAAAAGAAAAATGGGGCTACAATCTTATTGAAAAACTCCAATAGGTTGTCATCAAAAATATTTATTGGTTTCTATGTGGCTTTTGTCGCTTTTGATGAGATCCTATTGGAGTTTTTAAATAGGGAATGCAATAATTAGCAATTTAGGGAAAGCGGTAGTTGATTAGAAATAAAGAACAAAATACACAGCACAGAACTTTAATATATTAAAAATAAATACATTTAAAATGTTATTTTTAGAAATGTGTAAAATTAGGAATTATGAGATTTGGTCTCATTCTTCATATCTTCGTATGATTCTTGGTTCTGAAAAAAAAAAAACAACTATTTGAGGAGCATTTACGAAGGCTTTTAATTTATAATGAAAAACATGACTAAATTAAAAAAAAATCCATACAGTATATAAAGTATTATTACACCGAAAATGCCTATTTAAACATTCTTATCCTTACATAGGCATATTTTCATCCATACAAAAGAAAATAGCCGCCGTCTGTACGTATAAGAGGTGAAAAAGAATTTTAAATTTCCTCCCCTATTCCAATTTAAAAAGGGATGAAAACTCTGCCTGTTAACTTGAAATGGACATTTGTATTTTTTGAAGATATATAAATCTTGTATTTAATAGCAACTTACCTCCCACAAATCATTATCCCATTCTGGGAACATATCTTTAAACATAGTTGGTTCTTTTCCTTGTTTTAAAGTAACCACTAGTGCTGACTCTATTGTGCGCTCTAAGCCGTCATCTTCTATATATTCCTGTTGAAAAGTAATCAAATTAAGTATACAATTTACAGACTTATTTGTTTTATTGGTAAACTAAAGTTCTTCAATAGCAGCTAAGCATAATTTTTAGTTTTAAGTAAAGATTAAAATAGTTTTTATAATGAGTAGTAGGTAATTGCAAAAATAACCATAACAGGTTTTACTTACAGAAATTATTTGGATTCTAGCTTTCTTAGCTCGTTCCGGAATGTTCTTGCCCAACCATAAGAAGATCTCTTCGTTATTGTCAACAATGTAAACTCCATCGTCCGACAGGTCCTGAGACACAAACATTTTGACTTAGTTATTTATATCTTTCTTAGATTTACGCGAATATTTGACATTTTAAATAAAAGTATCTGAAAAGATAAGCCGAAAGGCTTTCTTTTGATTTTTGGTTCCTGACGTCCTAGACGTCTTAAACTACAGTGTCTCCTGGCGTGACCATGATTGCTGTAAAGTATTCGAAACGTCGGGAGCCAAAAATCAAAATAAATTCTCGAAAAAATAGTTTTATTTACAATTAGGTATATCTATTATGTATGCTAATAAAATAAAGAAAAAAGTTTAGTATATTTGTATATTATAATCGATATAGGTACTGTTAATATTGAGTCGATTTTAATTATTCTTTCACTCACAGATAGCTACATAGTCCTAGAGAGATGTAGGCTATAAATTTTATTTTTATTGCGTTTTTAGCCGAGTTTTCAAGTAGCTCTTTGTCAGGCAAGTCGGAAAAATACTGCGTTCTTTGCATGCATTACAATTTAAAACCCCTCTCAGAGAGTTATATCATTGTCTACCTATTCATACAGTTAAGTCTAACGAACACGTCTACAGGGTATACCTAGTGTGGGGAGCCGCAGAGAGACGCTCCCAACTGGCATAGATATATGACTATTGACAAACAGCTTTAGGGTTGACGGATTGAACTTGCCAATAGGAATAAACTTCGATAAAACTTCGAACAAGATATACCTAAAACTTCGAAACCGTTCGCCGTAAAAATTGATATTTTTTGACAACCCTTGCATTTGCCAGTATTTTCATTAAAATCAATAGGCCATAGTCTATTATTTGTATTTTATTCTGTGCTTATACCATGTTGCTTGTACACGAGACAGAGCCTTAAGTTAAACACTCGACTCAGGCCAGATGGTTCTCGCCACTCCTTGTCGTCTCCATAGATATAACTCAGTGGAATAGTGCTAAATTGCAGTTATAAAAAATGGATGCGTATAACCTTTACGCGCGGTTGAAGAAAACTTCTTTGCCAAATATTCAAATTATACAAATCAATAATTAAATAAGGCATATTACAATTATATATTTATAGAATATCATAGACGGAAAAAATGTAATATTATATATTTGTCAGACAATAACAACGGTTATTATGGCAACGTGGCAATGTATTCTATCTCATTCTCTCGCCGGCTTAATCCTATATATTTGTGTGTTTGTCTCTTTTTAGTTTCGCATTTCCGTTTCATCGAGTTTCAAATCACAATTCTAAAGAATTTTTAAAGTAGTTTCACTTCAATAATCTTACATTCTGAGTAAAATCAGGCGGCATCTCTTCAAATATAATCTTGCCCTTCCTGGTGACAGTGGCTGAGGTGAGGGCGGGCGGCCCTGTCACACGTCTATTGGCCTTCAATTTCCAGCGAGCCGAATCTTCCTTTTCTTCTGGCGGTCCTCCTAGAAGGAAAAGGCTTATTTAATATTTGAAAGAAGTTAAAGTGATTGTCAGAAGCAGAAGAGGCATTTGTACAGGTATTGTGCGTTCTTCTTGTCGTGGTGGGTGGGCTCATTAGAGTCCGGCAACCCAACCGGGCGCGAAGCCAAGAAACGCACAGGGAGGTGTCCCACTTCGGTGGGCGGTGTATCGTGTGGGTTGCTCCTGGTACTTCTCTGATAGCAAAGTGTACTGTGGGGGCAACCCCATGGTCGGCGTGGTGTGGCAGTTGTGGTCTGCTTCGGCAGACCTGCCGTCGGGGCGTCGTGGTTGAGCGCGTAAGTAATCTTACGGCGCCCCATTATGACGGGGGATGCTTTGTTGGGTTTTAGTGAGTAATACTGGTTTTGCTTGCCGGCGAGTCCCACACAGCCACCTGTATGTATACAGGTGGTATGTGTGAATGCATTTCCCAACCTTAAAAAAAAGGTATTGTTACATACATAAAGGAAATGAATACAGATGTTTATTCAGTATCTCCACCTTTTTTTCTCCTTTTTTTGTGTGTATTATTAAGCATTTCCATTTTCCATTATAACCAAAGAACCTTGCTAATTATATACTTGTTATAAAAAATGAACTATACATAGAAATATTAGGCCTCTGGAGACATTTTGAAGTAATACTTTCTAATTTACGCAAATATTTGACTTTTTAAATAAAAACTGTATTTTTTTGTTTTTTGGTTCCCGACGTTTTGAATGCCTTATAGCACTCAGTCTTTCCCGTGACAATGTTTATGTAAAGCTTAAACATCAGCAAAGAAAAACCAAAAAAGTATACCGAAAAAAAACTGAATAGACAGTTTTATACACCACTTATTTTCTAGATATTACCGATATTACCGATCAATATAAATAATAAAATAATAATCGGTAATGATCGGAATGTAAGTCAAACACTAATTCAGAATAGTATAAAAAAAAATATTGACATCTAGGACTCTACATCCTACTTTTCAAGTTAAAAAGTAATTATTATACCCAAAAACTCCCAGAACTCGTTCGGCTCTTCTCCCTGATCCACTTCGACAGTCTCTTTATCGTCAACTAATAAACTAACAAAGTTCTTTGAAGCTTCAAGCTCTTTTTTGTTTGATTCCTGAAATTAATTATTTATTAATTATAGTTTGAACTTTGATCATACATAGTAAAACCTAACATCAGCCTATATCTTACTACAGCTCTATCTGTGCACTAAATTTCATACAAACCCGTCCAGCCGTTTCAAAGTGAAGAAGTAAGAAACATACACACACTTTATAATAATAGTCAAACAATAAAAGATTTTGTGTTTGTTTGTTTATTGCTACTTTATGATATAAAACAATATTAAGGAAACTATTAATAAGTATATGTGTAAGTTAACATATGTATAAGTTTCCCTACTAATGTCTAATTTTACCAAAAAATCTAATGAATACAAAAAATTGCTAGATTATGCAAAGAATCATTTTTATTCACAATGTATTGTAAATTATTTTTGTATATGATACTTTTTGCGCTAAACCGAATAGTTTTTGAAATTTTTAAGAAAAACTGATGAAAACTACTATTTTACCGAAATATAACGATCTCCCACCCGAAATGTTCAAATGAGCGCTCATTCGATGAGGACATTTCTTGTCGTTGATTTTATATCTACCTAGCACTTTTTTGACAGATTTGTTATGATAATAAAATAAATAAAATGAAACTTCGATATTTAAAAGAGCAACTCTTGGGCTCTTCGCAGCAGTTGTAGCTTCCTCACGGACTGACATACTGACGCTCTTTAAATTAAATTAACGATTCATTGAATAAAGTCTATTTCATTGAAAGACAATATACTCGTAGCAAACCTTTCCAATCCACAAATATACTTTGTCGGGAGTCTCCAAAATGGCCACATCATCATCTTGCAAGATACCGGAAGATTCTTCTACTTGCGTTGCTCTCATATCTACACCAATTTTTGTGCCTTCCACCTAAGTTTATCATAAAAATAAACGTTTTAGCATGATTTTTTCAAAATGTATATAAGGTATATATATATATATATATATATATATATATATATATATATATATATATATATATATATATATATATATATGACTTTATAGGTTGTCTTAAAATAGTTATTCTGCATAGTGGTTCTAATTTAAAAGAACACCGTTTATTTAAGCCATCTTTCTGTCAGAAAATGTACGTATATATAAAATACCTACTAGCGACCCACCCTCGGTTCACTCGGGTTCGTACCTAGGTGATTAATTTGACGTAATTTTTTTATTTAAGAACCGATTGAAATAAAACAAATACTAAATGTTAAGTGAAACTTACCACAATACATTAGTAAAAACCGCACCCAAATATATTTAGACGTTTCTGAGTTTATAGCGCACAAACGCACAGACAAAAATTCTAAAAATCATTGTTTTGGGTTCTATTGCGTTAATAAAGTCCCCAATAATAGTATTTCTCAAATATCTTCCATGTACAGACAGCGATCAGTTACAATTTTATTATAGGTATCAACAATACGCATATAACTTAAAAATTTATAAAATAAAAATGAATTAAGTCTCACTTTGAAGAGGCGAACTCCATCATCATCGAACGACCTTTTAAAGTTCTCAGTTTTATATTCACTCTCTTTATCACCGCATAGAATCATGAGGTTTCCTGAAAAATATATTAAATACGTTTACGTCAAAATGACAATATCACTTGAAAAACTAAGAAAAGCGGGGTTGAACGCCTTACATACGTGTATTATCGTGTGCAAATCGTTCTCAACCATCGTGAGAAAACCTGTATGTCTGAGAAAACCTGGTTTTCGCAAGTTATGTGAAATTCGTCTACCAGCACTTGGCCAGCGTGGTGGACTATGGTTTGATCCTCGCATTGAGGCAAGGCCCACTCTCAGCAGTGGGACGTTAAAAAGACAGAACGATTATTATTTTAATATACACTAATATTTTAAATTGAAAAGTTTATATGTGTGTACATACACACTCCTTCACGCTGTAACGATTGGACAGATTTGGATGAAATTTAGTACACTGATAGACTATGAGCGTGCGAGCGTATGTGAGTAACATATAGGCTATTGTTAAGAATTTGACGACACGTTTGGCTCAGTTTGTGACCCTATGTATGTATGTGATGTGTGATGAGCACGAATGTTTGTACTCCAGTCATGGATGTTTGTATTTATAATATGTATGTATTTAATAGTAGGGGAGACCACGATGCTAAATGGGGATTTACTCGAGCGTCGTAGAGACCTATCGGGATGCAAAGCTTAGATGATAAGAAGAAAAAAATGTTATATGATATATACCTTTACATCGGTGGGGGAAGCGGCTATAGATTTTTAAATATGTAAAAAAAACTGTTGCATAGACATCCTCGAGCGCGTCAGATATTGATAGCATCAATGCCCTACGTATTTTTAATAATGTACGTATGTTAATCTGATCGTTTGCATGATGCGGGTGGTTGTATTTAAGGGTTGAAAATGAAAAAAAAAAATTTAATCGAGCGCGTCAGATTTTCTAAGGGAGTGTTAAGTGCACCAAAAAAAAGCTCTCATTCACTAATTTCGATGGGACGCAAACTCGCGGCCATTTTCATAATGTGCAAAAAAAAATCGCCATTTTGAAATACTCAAGCGCGTCAGATAAAGATATATATGGTTCATCTTTATGTTCTAAACGTACTGTCTCATAATCTGACGATTATCTAGAGGGATTCGCCTGATCTGACAAAAAAAAATTAGAAAAACGGTTCACCTTAAAGGCCATAACTGCAACTTCCCGCTAATTCCATTCCTGGGCGCTTAAAATTGTACTTATGACATTTTTGAGCTCAAAATATAATTTATGTGATATTTTGAACTCGCTGAGTTCAAAGAAATAATATTTCTATGCATTTGAGCTCTCCCAGCTCGAAAGTCTGATAGAAGTTTCATAGAACACTATTTTTTGGATTTTCAAACCGCAATAACTTTTGAATAGATCAAGCAATTTTATCATATGTTCCTTGAGACTTTCGGATTTGCCCCGACGATATTCCAAAATATTTACACATTTTTTTAAAGTTTCTACCGTAAATTTAATTGTTTTTTGTAAGGTACTTTCACCACAAAATACACATTTCAAATTAATGTCACTCATATTAAATATTTATAAACTTTAATTCACACAAATAATATTAAAATAGCAAAAAAAAAACCAAAACGTTGGAAACACGTTGTAAACAGTATGCCACGAACGAGTCTTTATGATCAGCTGTGATGGCGTCATGGCGGCAGAAACCAGAGTGGGGACGGAGTGAGAGAGTAATAGATAGAGAAAGAGTGAGAGAGGAATAGAAACGCGGAGAAGGAAATGTAGGCATCACGCAGCTGCACGCATTTAACTTTATCGACGAATCATATATTTTTCATTATACTTGAATTATTTCCTTCAAAATAAAAAATAAATTAGCTACGCTCGAGAATGTCGAGATGACGTTTTTTTTTACAACTTTGTTGCCCTCCCCTTTTTTTACGTCACTCTCAAATTGTCAGATTAGTGGAATATACACTTTTTAGGATGTAATTAAGTCACCCTACCTTAATCTGACGCGCTCGAGAATTTCTGATGGTCAATTTTTTTTTACTACTCTGATCCTGTATCCTTCACGGGCGGCCTTATATATGGGCCTCATGTTTTGTGGAGGTACTTAACCGGGTACAAGGTATCCCCCTGTATATTAATCTGCCGCGCTTTAGTAAATCCCGAAATCCCCGCTTGGGCTCCCCTACTATAAAGTTATATATGTGTAGTGTATCAACTATCCGGTATCCATAACACAGGCCTCGTAGCTTACCATGGAACTAGATGGTGCTGTGTTAATGTCCCGACATATTTATTTATCCAGAGACGCACGCATGCAAAGCCAGGATAAGTTACTAGTCTAAAAAAGTAGCTAAAATATAATTGTTTCTACGTAACCTTTGAATATACTCAAGAAGTGTCTAGTTTCTTTTCCTTGTGGTATCTTAACTAGAATAACGTCACCCTCTAACTCTTCTTCTATTTTTGACACTATTTCTAGACCGGCTGCCACAGCATCTTCTCCCGCTTGTGCACCCTAAAATGTTATATACATATATAAAAAAACCAAATATCAATGGAATTATAACTATCACTATATAGTATAAAAAAAATCGCTTCCCGCTGTCTGTCTGTCCCTATGTATGCTTAGATCTCTTTTTTTTTTGGATTTCTGACGGATTTTGATGCAGTTTTTTTAATAGATAGAGTGATTCAAGAGGAAGGTTTTAGTATATAATTTGTTAAGTTTTTGTATACATTGGCTAAAATTTAATGATGTTTGTTGGAGGTGTCGGAAAAAAATAAGCCGTCTGGGAGCTTTCAACGAAAACGCTGTCTAAACCCTTGGAGATATAACAAAATAATGTATGGTGGAATTGTGTATCTTATATAGGTCTACAGAAAAGTCCGCGATGGCATATATCTATCTCTTAAGGATTAGTATGTTACTATATCTATTTTAATTTAAAATGTACCTAGGGAATGACCCGAGCGAATCACTCAATTGCCATTAATGTTTTGCCTTCCCGGAACCTCTCCACTAACACTTAAACTTTATGTTATGGTATTAAAGTTCAAATAGACTTTTAAGTATTATTACGAATCTTTTGTATGGGAGTATAGAAAAGTGTTGATTTTAGACTTTTCAGACTATTTTTTAAATTTTTCTCTCCGTAAGAAACATTCTCGTACTTCAAGGAATATTCTAAAAAAAGAATCAGCGAAATCGGTTCAGCTGTTCTCGAGATTTGCGCTTACTAACACATTCAGCGATTCATTTTTATATTATAGATAAAGATAAATAAAGTATAAAATATAATAATAATTTTCTTAAAATTCCGGAGATTAAAGAGTTTAAACCATTTTTTTCTTACAATCCACAAATACACGACGGTTGCGTCTTCATCGTTATCGTTCTTGTATGAATACTTCACAGCGTACACCTCGCTCTGATAGAGTTTGGGTGTCTCAGCTTCTTTCTCTGTTATATCTTCTGGTTCTTCTCCAGCTCTGGTTAAAAGAAGAAAAATATAATAAATACATTTACTAAATAAATAAAAAAAAAACATGTCTAAACAAGTTTCGGTTTCGGTTTCGAGAGACTCTCCCGTGTCCATGATTGCTGTAAAGCATTCGAAACGTCAGAAACCTAAAATCACAATAAAATCTGCGAAAAAACCCGAAAAGACAGTTTTATTTAAAATGATCTTCCAAGATTTGATTATACTACTAAATCTGTCAAACTAGTGAAGTTACTAAAAATGTGTAAAATTCTAACCTTAAAATAGTAAGACTAGCAGACTCCTCATCAGGCATGTATGCTCGAGCTGCTGCACTTTTGCCAATATGCTTAGCAAGAGCCTCTGTGTCATCAGCATCTCCAGAATAGTAACCACTTTCTGAAAAATGGGAATATATTTATAAAATGACTTCGTTACGTTTTAACTTTAAGTAAAGATTTGTTAGAGATAAAATATTTTCTCGTATTAAAAATTATCCTTTATCTATATAAAGATCTATATCCGGATAATCAGCTATCATCGTATTATATTCATCAAAGTCTGTCCAATGCTTTTCTTGTGATGCTTCTGATCTCGTGACATTTCATGTACAGATTCGACTCAGTTAGAATTTTATTATATGTATAGAAGAAGATGGATAAAGTTCGCCTGATATATATATTTTGGTGACGGCGACCATTTTCACTAACATTAGCCAACTGCAGAAGATAGCACTCTCTATTTCTTTCACTTTCACCGGTGGGACGACAATTGGCCTTGCTTCACTTGCTTGTTTTATTTGCCCTCCGAGACACGAGGGTGTAACACTGCGAACTTCCTAGGGTTTGTCTAAAAAATTATTTACAGATGAAACAGTAACTTTTTTAACCGGTTTGGGGGTTCGAACCTAAAACCTCCGGATTTGTAGGCGTATTGCTAACCACAAGACAAATTAACAAATATAAGTGTCTGCACATGAAGACAATCTCATATCCATTGTGCTAAAACTCGTCACACGACGACTTATCAACGTTGATACCGTTCACAAATCGGTAAAAAATACTTTTTTTGGTTGTTTTTTTTTTTTGGAAACAGAGTTATTTGAGTACGTAGAATATTTTTATGTTATCCATTTAAGTGGGCGAAACTGCGAGCCAAGGTTAATACTAGCCAATAACTTACCTATATCAGATGCAATAGACTTGACAGACCCTGAAGATGGCACAAATGAATCCCATTCGTGGAAGTATTGTTTAAAAGTGCTGTTCTCTGAACCCTCAGACACCCTTGTTACTGGTACCTAAGACAAATATAAATTATATTATCATTATATACCCGATTATTGTTGCTGAGTCCAAGCTTAACCGACTTTAAAAAGAGGATGAAATCAATTTATCTGTATTTTTTTATGTATAATACGCAATGTCTTCGATACGATTTTTTAGATAAATTAGCGCTGCTTGCTTCGAGTATTCTTCAAAAAATATAATATATCCTTGGATTACATATAGTTTTAAGAAAAAAATCAAACCCATTCTTCATCTACCTCGATGAACAAGCACATTGGGTCATTGCTGAGTTGTGTGAAAGATGGACGGAGATACACACACATTTTGTATATTTTTTATTACTAGCGACTTAATCTGATGAATAGATGGATCTATCCACTTGAAATTACATAGATCTTACCCAAGCAGGATACTCCTTAACTTCCAAATACTGTTGAGCGATTTCATGGTATCTCTTCTTGACGTCTGGGTCTACATCGTTACCCAACCAGATGTAGATTCCGGAACATGGAGTGTCTAAGATGAATACATCCTGAGAGACAAATAGAATTAAAAAAATCAGCACAAAAAAAAAATTTTTTTTTGGAAAATCTTATTGAAATTGTCATTATTATAGAAACAGAGGCCGAAACTATAGTTTTTAGAATTCTTGTCTGTCTGTCGGTCTGTCTGTGACCGCATCACGAATATACCACTGGACAGATTTTGATGAAATTTGGTATGATGATAGCTGGTTATCCGGGCCGACATATACTCGTAGGATACTTTTTATTGCGAATAAATATCTCAATTTGGAGCTAAATTTATAAAAAAGGCTTTTTCAATAAGAATTGTCTTATCACCTCAGAAGTAAGCTTCTTTTGCTTGAACGGTTTGTTGACGTCAACAATTTCGAGTTCATCTCCCACCAGGAGCTTAGACAAGTATACAGTATTAGAACTCGCTCGGGAGTAGCCCTATAAAAAAAGAAACTAATATTAATTAAAATAACGCGATTTTTCGACATTTGAAATAAAACTATCATTTTGTCTTATTTTGTAATTTACGCTATATTTTGATTTTTTGTTTCCTGTGTTTTGAATGCTTTATAGCAAACAACATCGGAATCGAAATAAAATTTTGCCAAATTTGAAAAGAGCTAAAGACATGGAAACAAGTTGAAGAAGGAACATGGTATAAGGAATCGGAGACATCTGTACAAGTTCTATCTATACAAGTGCAACGAATTTTACTACATGCATGTCTCCGATTTCGTAATATTAAATTTCGTAATTTATACTTCTTTTGGCATATTGGGAAAAAAATATGAGAGTAAAATTTAGAGAGACAGCCAAAAAGCGACATGTTGAAGTTAGCTGCATTCCTTTTACATACAGAGAGTTGTGACATACGGGATGAAATCTTTAGCTATTTTTGTTCTGTTACGCCAAAGAAGTATAACTTCTTACGTGCGTACATAAGTACACACACACACAAGTTTTTTTTAAATTAAACTTGATTCATTAACACAGGTTGAGCCCTTCAGTATTTACGAGGGAACATAAGGTCAGACGTATACACACACAATCTCCTTTTGGGCTTCACCGCAGTTGGGTAAAAAATACTCTATCTACGTTTACTTTTTAATATGATACAAATCATGATATGGAGAAGGACATGTATGAGGTCGAAGACTGCTTCGACTTACCTCAGAAGAATTGTCATCGACTAAATCGTCTTTGGAACCAGAGCCAAGAGCTTCAAAGAACTGATCTAGGTCTTCATCAGATGAGAATTCGTCTAAAAACATAAATTGACGTAAGTTAAAAGAGAAAGTTTGTTCAAAAATGATGATATTTTAAAAGGAATTATTTCTTCTATTTGTAACATCGGCCAGAAGGAAAAATTCAATTTAATATTTAAATGTCAACGAATCTTTTATTTTTTTGTTCTTTTTTTTGCAAAGGTATAGTTAATAGGATAAAACTAACTAATAGTGCATTAAATAGTTCTTGGTAAATAAGACTCTATAAAAAACCCAGGAGACGTTAGTCTACATCTACACTAATATTATAAAGAAAAAAGATTTTTATTTTTGTATGTAGAACTACTAGACCAATTTAGATGACATTTGTTTAGAAGATAGTTTGAGACTGTGGGAAGGACAAAGGACATTTTTTTATTCCGGAAATCATCCCTTAAGGGGTTAAAATAGTGATGAAAGTTTGTATGGGGAATCAACCTAAAGATGAACCCGAGCGAATCAAGGGTGAGTTGCTAGTTACCAATAATTTCAATAGTAGCTCTTCCATTGTGATAATCATCACGTAGAGTGTTGGCGACACTTATAATCTTCCTCCTTTGGGTTGCTTTAGCACCTTCTGGCATCAGAACAAAAATGTCATGGTCAACCTCTAGTATGAAACAGTGGTCTTTAGTCAAAGACGAAGCTTCTGCTGGTACCTGAAATATTATCAAAAAACGTTAGTATTGTTGAGCTGTTTTGGTTTTATTACTGTTTATAACATTTTCATTTTGATGAATTTTGGTATAAAAGTACATTAGACCTTGAAAAATTATATTTGGGTGTAATAAAATCTGAAAGTTTGTATGGGGGTGGCATCATTTCTCAAGTTCTAGCGTCGGAAGGCTCAAGAGTGTTGTTTTTTAGGAACAAAGCTGACAAATTATAGGACATAGTCAAGTCATAGAATGTGGTCAACTATAGTACCTCTTATTCCTTCAGTGTCGAACCGTCTGAACTGATTTGGATAAAATGTAGTGAATAGATAGATTATGATTTGAGCCGCATCCAAGCGAAGCAAGGGTAAGTCGTTAGTATCTTAATACAAGAGTCCACAAATACTACGATCGTGTTTATGTGACGGTATTGTTTTTATGACGATCGCTATCAAGTATTGATCGTATAATGCGCAGTACTGTTATAGCATAAATTAAATAGTAGGTAGCTGACAACTGTACAGTCATGGTCGCATAAAGGTTATTAGGTGGAGTAAAATATTACCTCTTCGATTCTTAGATTATCACATCCGGAAAGTTTCAGTAATCGCTTCTCAGCTCCAGCATTTGTCTCAACTTCAGTGAAACCAGATTCATTTCCACCCTCCAAGTATCTGATAGCTAAAATATAAGAAATGGTCCTGCGTGAGCCAGATTTGCGTCTTGACGTTTTTTAGTAATTAAAACTTACTGGCAAATATATATATATATAATTTTCTTCGAAATATATTTTAGGATATGGCTTTGGCCTCTGATAATTATTGTCAAAATACGCTAAAATATGCTTGTACGGAGACAATTAAAAAATGATTTTAAATAATTGCAGTTTTTTTGTTACAAATAAATAAGTTATAATAGTATATAATAGTTTCAGAGCATTTTTTGGATACCCACCAGGCAAGAAGTATCCCAAGAATTGACTTGTTTCATGACCTTGAACCTCTCGATGATGGACTGCTCGACCCCCAAGCTTATCATCCAGGGTTATTGTCAGAATTGCTGCAGCTCCCTTCTTATCTTGGGTGGTTTCCTTTCCCAACCAAAAGTGGACATCATAAGAGAGAGTGGAGTTACTATCGCCTGTTGTCTGGAGATAAGAAAAACAATATAAATATAATGTATTAAATCATACTTATTAATTACACTACACATGGTCGCCTTATTCGTGGTGACGTAAAGTTTTGTTATTGGGACATTTATATACGTGCTTTTAATATGGACTCATACATATATATATATATATATATATATATATATATATATATATATATATACACAAAACAATAATTACATGTAAATTCTATTCGTATATGTTTTATTTTTAAATTTTCATTAATGATGATGATCGACTACTAGGCGAATACTATATATATTAAATGAGCAATGCTTGTATATGCATTTTATTTTGTGTAACGGCTCTAACGATTTAGATCAAGTTTTGTATTTAGATAAGGTTTTGCTTTTGAAGTTATCTATATATATAAGTGTCTTTTCTGAAAAAACTAAATTTTATTTCGCGGTGCTGTGTTGCCATGCTACTATAAATTAAAACGTATGTTAGCCATATATGTAAAACAATTGGTATTTCATCTGTGAGAGATTGTGTCACTCAATAGAATCGATAAAGGTGCAACTAATTTTAGTTGTTGATGTCACGTTGGCAATTTGGAGAAAAGAAAGCAAGAAAAGGTTTTCCACGGAAAAGATAAAAGAATATATGCACTAAATCAAATCTATTCTTAAGAAAATCAAAGAAAAAACAATCAGCTTAATTTTTTCAATAACTACAAAGTTACTCGCTGTACAGTATTGAATTTACTACCAGTAAAAAGTATCCTATGCTCTTCCCAGAGTCTCAAACTATCTTCTTATCAAATTTCATCTAAATCGGTTCAGTAGTTTCGAAGTCTATTCGATATAAACAAACAAACAAAAAACATTTTTTTTCTTTATAATATTAGAATGGATTCGAATAGCGAAACCTTACAATAGTACATACATACATAATATGTAGGTATAATTTTGTGATAATGTCCTCCTGATCGATTCTGGTCGTGTTTTCCTCAATAAACCTAGTATCTAAGCTAACTACGAAAAATTAAAGCGCATGAGTGTGTAAATGTATGTATGTAGGGTAAATTTGCCTATGCGTGGGGGCCCCGGAGGCCCCTATAGTGCAGCAGTGAAAGTTCCACTTTCAAAAACAAAATAGACTATCTAGCTATATATAAATAGCTTTTACTCCTCTGCTTGTCAAACGATTTTCTTTTGTTTTGTATAAACAAATTTTGGAAACTGTTAGTTTTTTATATAGATAGGTAAATTCTATTCATAACTAGCGACTCACCCTCGCTCCGCTCGGGTTCGTCCCTAGGGTGGGGTCTGGGAGGACCACCCTGATCCTTATCACTTAGGGGTATGAAAAATAGATAGTAGCCGATTCTAAGACCTACTGAATACGCATATAAAATTCGGTAAAAATCGGTAAAGCCGTTTCGGAGGAGTACGGTAACTAACATTGTGACATGGTAATTTTATATATCATAATATATGTTTTACTCAAATTATCAAATTATCGAATGGTCGAACGAACCACTGGACGCCGCGGCCGGACGGACATTAGTAAAAGTTAAGTAAACAGCCAAAAGTATAATAGGTACCTTTAAGACGATGTAAGAATCTCCGTTGTAGAATTTTCCATATTTCTTCTGTTCAACTGCAACTGGCTCGAATTTCTAAAAAAAAAAACAAAACTTAAAATAAAACTATTTGGTTTCAAGTTTTATTGCGGTTATATTTTGATTTTCCATTTTTATGTTTCGGATGCTAAACGACTCGTTTGGCTCAGTTGGTAGTGATCCTACTTGCTGTGCCAGTGGTCGCGGGCTCGAGTCCCGCTGGGGGAATTCATTTGTGTGATGAGCACGAATGTTTGTACTCCAGTCATGTTTATATTTATAATATGTATGTATTTAAAGTTATATATATATATATATATATATATATATATATATATATATATATATATATATGTAGTGTATCAACTATCTGGTATCCATAACACAAGCCTCGTAGCTTACCATGGAACTAGATGGTGCTGTGTGTTAATGTCCCAACATATATATTTATTTAATGTTTACACCAAACCTGGCCGAGGGATGGACTGAGGTTATTACAGACGGTGTCTACCCATAAAATATATACTTTGTAAGAGAAAAATGACACCGAAGTACTTCACAATATTAGAAATTTCAATAATTTATTGTAATTTGGGTTGCTATAGTTCTTTAATTTTAAATGATATTTCATCATTTAAAGAAAATTATAACGGTTAGTATGGAATAGATAGGCTATATATTATGTATGTATATACATAAGGTATGATGAGTCATTGTGGGTTGTATTATAACTTGTTTTCCCGTGGGAATGAGATAATCTCCCGCGGTAAAAAGTAGCCTATGTCACTCTCAAACCCTTCAACTATTACCACACAAAAAAATCACGCCAATTCGTCACTCTGTTTCGACGTGAAAGAAGGACAAACAAACACCCTTTCACATTTATAATAATATTTAATATAGTATGGATTTTATTCTGCTGTCGTTAGTTTCGAAAATAGCCACTAGAAAGTCTAATATCTATTTATATGAAAGGAAAAAGTGAGTGATATATCAACGCACATGCCAAACCCTTAAGGCTAGAAAATTGATATTTCGCACTCGTATTCCTAATATGACGAAGTGATCCACGAGATAAAAGTTTGTATGAAACTTTTTATTCCTTGGACATATTTGCATAAAATTTCGTGTGAATTTAGTACGGCAAAAATAATGAGTTACGTATATCAGCGTTTTCCAAAATTCAACCCCTAAGAGGGTAAAGTAGGGGATGAAAGTTTGTATGAAACCTATCTTTTTAGAGTTTTTTTTTGTAGTTTCAGCGCGAGCGAAGCCGCAGGTTCTGCTACTCCAACAATAAATATATGTAAATATTGATTAATTTTGTTATTACTTGATAACAATCTAAATTATAATTGTTGAGTAATATTATCAGTTTATATGTTTATTAATAATCATATACCTAATGAAGACGTGTCACAAAAAGACAGGTATACAAGATATGGGTATGTTTTGAGGGTTCCGTAGCCAAAACGCTACAACAGAACCTTATTAATTTTTTATGTCTGGTGTATGCCAAGTGTATTTCATAGCCATTTTTATGTATATACTAGTAGAACCCGTGGCTTCGCTCGCGGTAAAACTACAAAAAAAAAATCTAAAATGATAGGTTTCATGCTTTTCATCCGCTATTTTACTCCCTTATGGGATGAATTTCGAAAAATGCTAAAACACGTATTTAATTAATCGTATTGAAGAGCATTTATACCAAGTTTGAAGTAATTCTGATCATAAATATTTTTTTGGATTGTATTATAACGTGTTTTCCCGTAGGAAAGAGATAATCTCCCGCGGTAAAAAGTAGCTTATGTCACTTTCCAGCCCTCTAACTGTCTCTACACAAAAAATCACGCTAATCCGCCAAGCCTTTTCGACGTGAAAGAAAGACAAACAAATAAACAAACAAACAAACACACTTTCACATTTATAATATTAGTATTTTTGTAGTGGATTCAAACACTTTACTGAAAAAGTTATTATAATATGTACCTACCTACATTCTACATAATATATGTATATGGAATTTATATAGGAAAGATTCTAATATTTTTGTGGAATAGCAAATACATCCTATATATATATATATATATATTATAAATACAAAATCTACCTATGGAATACGAGGAAGTCATTAGTCCATAAAAAATTATTAAGTAAATTTTCTAAACGGTTAGTCAACATTTTCTATAGTCAGAACTTACATCTATAGTCCACACTTCGATTCCTGGTTCCTGACCAGCTTCTTCAAAGGCAGGATGTTCCATGTTAGGAGAGACGTGCGTCAAGATTCACTACACTGTTATGACTTCATTTTGTTGATAGCTTCATGTTTGTTTTATGTATGTATATACAGGCTGATAAGTTTTGAAAATATTTTTTTTATATATACTGTACACGTTTGGCCTCGGTGGTGACATGTTTGGCTCAGTTTGTAGTGCTTGAACTTGCTGTGCCAGCGGTCACGGGTTCGAGTCCCGCTCGAGGCATTCATTTGTGTGATGAGCACGAATGTTTGTACTCCAGCCATGGGAGTTTATATTTATAATATGTATGTATTTAAAGTTATATGTGTAGTGTATATATATAGCATTATAAATGTGAAAGTTTGTATGTGTGTATGTTTGTTCATCCTTTACGTTGAAACTGCTGCATGGATATGGATGAAATTTAGTGCACAGATAGATAGACTGTGCTGGAGTAAAACGTGGGATACTGTTAGTAATAATATTTTCCGAAAGGTGTCGCTAACGCAGTCAGTATGTAATATCTATAATAAAATATACACATAAAAAATTCTGAGACAAATCTGTACATAAAATATTTTTTTGGAAAATCTTATTGAAATTGTCATTATGATGATATTGAGGGCGAATCTATAATTTATTGAATTTTTGTCTGTCTGTCTGTCTGGGAACGCATCACGAGAAAACCACTGGACAAATTTTGATGAAGTTTGGTATGATTATAGCTGGATATCCAGGTCAACATGTAGAATACTTTTACTGCGAGAAATATCTAATTTTCGACAAATCTATACTAACTTAAAAACGTACTGTTATATTACGTAACTACGTATCTAGGAATTCATAACATTCTAGTACTTATACTAAATAATTCGGAGAATCAAACACATTTTTATATACAAGTATAAATTTGCTTATGAGAATGTTTTTAATTGCTAACATGATTTTTTTATGACCTTTAAAAACATATTTTCTAGCAAACATCCTGTATAAGCGCTTTATCTATACATCTATTGCTATCAGTCATATCTACAAATTATATCGTTGCAGTCACCAAACTTAGTCATTATGATAAAAAAAATCGATAAGCTCAAGCCTCATACTCTATTTCAGTATATTTTTGATATATTTTTAAACCTGCTAGCAACTTATCTTTGCATACTTAAATGCTTCGGTCGGGTTCATCCTAAGACGCTTTTTGTACTTGAATATTACATACTGTTAACACGAATTTTGACTTTGATAAGAGAGTATGAAATTTCAATAGATTTATCGATAAGTAAGACAATATATATATATATATATATATATATATATATATATATATATATATATATATATATATATATATATATACATATATATATATATGGGCTGAAAAAGTTTGCTTCTGTATCTAGGAGAACGGTTGATCAATATTTTAGAAAATCCATACTTTAAATTTTTATTTATAAATTAATCAAAACAAATATATTTTTATATATAATTTTTTATCGACTTTAAATACGACATACATGTAGGTATGGAACCGCGACCGCGTCGTAACCTATTGAGTGATATTTCTATAACATGGTTTTTTTCATATAGGTATAATACGTCAATATATCTATACTAATATTATGAAGAGGTCAAGTTTGTGAGTTTGTGAATTGTGAGTTTGTGAAGTTGTAGGGGGTAATCTCTAGATCTACTAAACCGATTTAGATGAAATTTGGTAAGAAGATAGTTTGAGACCCTAGGAAGGACATAGGATACTTTTTATCCCAGAAATGAGTCCTTAAGGGGGTGAAAATGGGGATGAAAGTTTGTATGGGGAAGCAAGCTAGGGACGAACGCGAGCGAAGCGAGGGTGAGTCGCTAGTATCATATAAAACTACAAAAAAATACAAAATAGTAGAAAAAAGTTTAAAAGTGAGCCCTATTACTTTCATGTGTATAAGTACTTTCTCACACTAAGCCCCAAATCCCATCATATATTCCTTGTATTGACATCGATAACGGTGTTCGAAGTCCATGATGTCTTGATGAAAACTCTGTGCTTGTTCTTCTGAATTAAATGAATGAATCTGAATAAAGTATGATAACTCAAGAAAAAGGATTTAGGAGGATGGGATTGATAAATAACTAGCCACTCACCCTAGCTTCGCTCGGTTTCGTCCCTAGGTTGATTTCCCATACAAACTTCCACCCCCATGTTCACCCCATTAAGGGATGATTTCCCGGATAAAAACTATCCTATGTCCTTTCCAGGATCTCAAACTATCTCTATACCAAAATTCATCTAAATTGGTTTAGTACCTAGATCCAGAGAATACCCCCTACAACCTCACAAACTCACAAACTTTACCTCTTTATAATATTAGTATTGATTATTAAATTACAGAGAACGCTATGTTATGACAAAACATGTTATTACTAACAGACAACAGTAGCTTATAATATACATATAGTCCCGCTGCGTATTGAACTTCACCAAACCGCTTCGGCCGCGGACACGCCGGCGTTACAGTTAACAATAGATTTCTTAGAAATTTAATTAATTTCTTAGAAATTTACCTGGAGGTGTTAAGGAGGAATAAACATACAGGAAAATAATAGTATTCTGATTAATAATATAATATACTAGCGACCAGTAGTGGATTTAGGTTCGATGGCGCCATACGCCCAAGTCGATATGGCGATATTTTTACTGAGGGAAATATCTCATCTCTGAGAAACCTATACTATGTAAATGCTAGTTACAAATAAAAACACATTTCATCATATATAATTTATTATTCAACAATATTATTTAAATAAAAATAAACAAATGAATCCATTTTGTTTCATTTTAACTGTAAGTAATTTTAAAAGATAACACAAAATGTAAAAGCAGTTAGAAATAAAATATCGGATATTACTCTTCTACATCCTGATGTTGGTGCTTTAGTCTGTGAACGGAGAGATATTAAAAAATTAACAATTTTTACACATATGCATTTCATAAAAAAAAATTAAGTGAAACTTCTTTAGAATCGTTGTGATTTGAAACTCTTTGAAACGAAAATACGACTCGAGAAAGAGACAAACACATCAATATATAAGATTAAGCCGGCGAGAGAATGAGATAGAATACATTACACAGGAAGTGAAAAATAATATGTACTCAATAATATGTTATGTAATATATTATGTTAAATAAAATGTAAAATAAATTTTAAACTTGATAAAAAAAACTAAACCTTACAATTATTTTAAATATTGTATTTATATTTTTATAATAATTATTACTTATACAAATGAATATGTATTGATTACTGTGGAACGAATATGCTTAAATTAAATAAAAGCTATTATGACTAATTGTTGCCATGGTTACCGTTGTTATTGTCTGACAAATATATAATATTATATTCTTTCCGTATATGATATTTTATAAATATATGATTGTAATATGTTTTAATATGCCTTATTTAATTATTGATTTGTTTTAATTACGATAGTATTACTTCAACCGCGCGTAAAGCTTATCTGGACAGATTTTAATCTTTTTAATTATATTTTAGGGCCTGTACATACGAAGAGTTTTTAGCGTGCCTTCGCACAGGTTCGATGCCCGTCCAATGCGTATTGAACACGCGTTTGTATCGATATAAAGCAATCAACATTTTTTAAATATCAGCGAATGTGTGCAGAGGACGTACGTACGTTCGTACGCGTGCTATTAGTGAGTATGAAGTGAGAGTATGAAGCGTTGTGTGCATATAGTTTTTACCCTTCGCCTTATTCTTCGTAGGCGCTCGTCGAGTAGGTAATCATCCATTGGCGACAATGCAAACCACTAACATTTACGAGATGGCGCTATGTGACATTGTCTTCGTGAGAGCAGATAGAGAAAGGCTCTAATAATAATTAGATATAAAAAATATAATTTAAATATACATACATACATACAAGAATCACTAGTTTAATATTATAACATTAGCGCAGGATACATGCGCTGCTTTCTAGCATTTCTAACTGTCATTTCATTTTGACACCATCTCACTGTTCTGATGCTGGTCGCAGGAGCTGATAGTGGAACTATGGCTACCAGTTACACTATAGAGTTTGGGCATTGATTCGTTTTTAACTCCATTAAAGACATACATTTAAGCTAATGTTTTTTTTACAAAATATTTTTAGTAGATGTGTGTTTGTTTGTTATTTCTCCACGCTGTAACTGCTGAACTGATTTGAGTGTATGGAATGGAGATAGCATATGTCCTACTTTAACGCATATAAACTTATTAACTTGCGTACTATAAGGATAAAACCGCGTGTAAGAAATAGTTTTACTGTATTATGTATATAGGATAGGGTGGAGTGAAAAAAATTTTTCTTAGCTTGGAGGTGGAATTTGTAGATATATTTTTTTAGATAAAAACATTTAAATCAATTTTTGTATTGCACTGAAAGTTGGGTGGAAAATGACTATCGTCAATTCTTGAATGTTTTCAAAGATGATTAGTCGAGAAAAAAAAATCATTTAAACCTAAAATTTAAATTAACTATTTTAAAAATCTGTGGGCCACCTCAAAATGTTGAGATTCTTTTTATTTCAAATATTTTGTTTTTTTTATAAACTGCAAAGTCCACTCCCAAGCAAAAATATATTTTTTTTGCTCTACACTAATATAGGAGAGACTTACAACACCAGCTAGTTTGGTTTTACTGCAGGTTAGGTCGTCTATCGATGTCCTAAATCTTGCAATATCTTCGGGATCATTCGAATCAGGTTGAAACTTGAATCTGTTCACAAACAAATAATTTAGATAATAAAAATGAAAAACAAAGCGCAACGTATCTGTCTGTTCGTGAGTCTAATTCTTCTAAATTATGCGATGGATTTTGATGCAGATTTCACTATTATTTATAGCGAAGTGAGTCAAATATCAAAGTCAAATTCAAGGAAGCAAAGGTGGGTTCCTAATTTGGATAGAAGTTAAATTCTGATATAAGACAGTGGTAGCCTTGGGAAACCCAAGTAAAATGTGTTCAAAACCCGGGTCTGATATTCTCATGTGCGAATCATTTTCCACCATGATTACCACTCATCTTACGGTAAAAGAAAACATCGTGAGGAAAGCTGCATGTCTGAGAGGACCTAGCAAGCACATTGTTTTTTTTTTACATAAATATGTAACCCAAAAGAGTGAGATGATAACTTATAACTTGATTTTGATGTTAATGTACCTTTTTTTGTTTTATATATGAGTACAAAACTAGACCACATTTTTGATGTTATACTTCTTTTGGCAGGTTTGGAAAAAAATTAGAGAGTAAAATTTTTACGTTGCGCACGCACACCGACAGCCAAAAAGCGACATGATGAAGTTAGCTGCATTCCTTTTACAAACAGAGGGTTGGGACATACGGGATGAAATCTTCAGCTATTTTTTTCTGTTACGCCAAACAAGAAGTATAACTTTCTAATTGCGTACATAATATACACACTCTTTTTTTTGTTATGGTATCCCTTTAATCTTATTTCAATGACGTCAATGTCTTGAAATTAGCGTTGGCGAATAAAAAAATCACCGCAATATTTTTTTGTCTTTCACATAAGAAAATGCGTGTAAAACAAAAACAGCCACAATGCAGGCATACATTTAAACAAAACACGTAAGTTAAATGGACTTACTGATTTCTTGCACGAGCAACGGGTTTTTCAGTTTCCACTGTAACATTTTGTTTAGTTGTGACTGTGACCTCAGCACTGTCAGCTTTGTAATCTAAAAAAAATAACAAAATATTATTGCATAGATTACATACTAAAACAATAATAATTAATTGATAATAACCTATTTTCCGTACTTTCACTTACGAAAGTTGGTTTAAGAATCTCGAAATAATTAAAAAAAAACACAAATAATAAAATGATAGGTGTATAGATATAAAAATAAAGTAGAGTAAGTATCGTAATAAAATAAATAATTTTTAAATAAAGCTATCTTTTTAATTTTTTTATCAGATATCCCTCCCGGTCAGACGGGATGTCTCTCCCGTGACCATGATTGCTATAATTAAAGCATTCGAAACGTTGGGAATCAAAAATCAAAATATCTGCGAAAAAATCCGAAAAGGTTGTATAAAGCATTTGTTTATGCAACCTTGATCAATAGGAATATATAAAAAAAGGGCGGACATTTTGATATTTTTCTTGGGATTTTATAGAAAGTGAGAAATTTTCGTGTTTTCTCCATTGTACATGATATTGGTGAAATAATCTGTGCTCACACGCTTTGAAGCCATTAACAGGAGAATTGAATTGAATTGAGATGTCGGTAAAACCTTGGAGTGATCATCGAGTTGATCTGATAATAAAGTGTTAAATGGAACTTTTTTAGTGGCTACTAGTAAAATCTTTAAGTATAGACTCATTTAATTTATTTTGACGAGTTAACTTTCTTTAATAACTCTTCAACTCTTACATACCGACGGAATCTTTGTAGATATCAGCAAGTTCCTTCTCAATCCTCGCCTCGTCATCTTCTTGCTTCTTTCCGTCTATTTTATCCACATCTTTTACTTTCTTATTTATATCCACCTGAAAATACGTTATTAGAATAAAGTCGTCATGGCCGATTTACAATAGAATAAGTAGTTACAGACATAAATAGACTTAAAAAAAACGACTAAAAAGTAAAAAATAACTGATCGGTGGTTTTCATTTACTATAGATATATAATCAGATATCTTACAAGTCGAACTACAATAGCAGAAAAAAAAACAAACTAATATATAAAAAGAAATGAATGAACAGTAAATGATATCTGCACTGCTGTGTACTATCAATTTTGCAGTAATTTTCAGTGACTGTCTTAGAGAGATCCTACGAACAACTGGATTTCGACTGCAGGGACCAATTTCAATGAGACTAATAACTTCGCAGGAGATATTATAGTGCAGACTCCGGTAGGACTACACAAGACACGACCAGGTTCAGGTTTATATAGTTTAGAGTTTTTTTAAATCAAGGGAAGTAAACACCATCAATTTCTTAGGTCTGTGACTATGGCTTGACCCAGGATTCGCCCAGCACCAGCAGATCTGTAGCCGTGATTGCCCGAAATACTTAAAAGATATTAACATATTAAATGAACAAGAGCATTTCTCTCAAACTATGTATTATAATCATCATCGCTGAAAAGATGAAATCTATCAAAGGCTGAGTAGTGACACTACTCATTGCCACATCTGGTCTGCGTAATATTATGCACGTCGTCTCCTCCATTCTACGTGACATTAGCGAAGTAATCTGTTCTCAACTGGCACTTTGAAGTCACTAACAAGAGAATTGAATTGAATATGTATAACATAATTATTACTAACACTATATTTCCTCATATCCTTTTTGGTTGCAGCTTGGATGGTTGTAGTGGTTATTTTATCTTGTTCGTTCTCTACTGATGGCTCTTCTTCTAAGTCGGGAAGATCTGTAGATTTTTTAAAAAGACCATTTCTCAAATATACCTTAAGTTGATTTAAATCTATACAATCTGTAATCTAACATCAGTCAGACTTATAATCAAGGGAAAAAATGATATTTTAATGAAGTAAGAATATTTTAAATAAAACTATCTTTTTGTATTATTTCGTGGATTTACTTTGGTTTTTGGTTCCCGGCGTTTCGAATGCTTTACAGCAATCATGGTCAAGAGAGGAGAGCTCAAGACTGAGGTTTAAGACGTCTCAATGGCACCAATTACAATATTTGTTGATTTTAATTCTAAGCTTTTTCTTAATAAGTATTATAATTAAATGTGGCAATGTTATTTATATAATCTTAGCTGTTATTGTTATAAACATTACATTTTTTTAAAACTTTATTAATTAATAATATTATTCAGTGTTGCTATTATTAAAATTAAATATGTTAATTATTTACGAGTATGTAAGCAATATTATTCTAATATGTAATTTAAGTAAGAAGAATAAAGAATAGTGCCAAAATCTATCTGATCAAATAAAACCTGTTTATCTGTTTGTAGCATCGTAGCCCACAAACGGATTAACTGATTTTACTTTTTTTTTGTCTTAAAATTCGTTCAGCCGTTTGTTTGTAGATTATCAGTTCTATTCTAGACGGTAAAGGGATATGAGCAACCTCCATAGATCTAATCGATTCGAAACTTTGTATCCCGTTATTTTAATGACATTGCAACGATATGGTAACCTTGGTCTGATGCTGCAGCGTCATCTGGAATTTTCAATATACTCCACTCCTTACTAAAATACTGCAGAGATATCGTGTTTAGGTTCATTGAAATGGCCTAAATTTTTTTTTCGCTTCGGGTTAATATTATAAAGAGGTAAAGTTTGTGAGTTTGTGAGGTTGTAGGAGGTAATCCCTGGATATACAGAACCGATTTAGATGAAATTTGGTAAGAAGATAGCTTGAGACCCTGGAAATTACATAGGATATGTGTTATCCTGGAAATCATCCCTTATGGGAGTGAAAATGGGGATGAAAGTTTGTATTGGGAAACAAGCTTGGGACAAAACCGAGCGAACCGAGGGTGAGTCGCTAGTTTTATATATATAGATGTCAATATAGTAAGTCCGTGAAGGAGCTATCACCACCTAAAAACTTACCTCATATCGATATCGAACCGACTATATACGTACCTTTTATAGGCGCTCCAATTTCAATTACCTCCTGCCCCATAGATTCTGTTAGAGATTTAGCGTTTCTCGAACAGAATACACATAAAATGTATAGCGAAAATATTAGAAACGTACGCATGTTTTATTTTTGCGTATTTGGTCTCTTAAAACAAAATTTATTTTGAAACCAACTTGATTTTGCTGTTTTTTTTTTAAATTAATTAGTAGGTACAATAAGTTCAATAATAACTTTTTTTTACTAAAACCTTAAATCGACTTAAAAAAATACTCAATATTATGAAGTAAACTATACTAAAATATTATGAAATAAACTATACTAATATTATAAATACGCAAAGTTTGTTTGTTCGTTTGTAAGCGCTAGTCTCAGGAACCACTAATCCGATTTGAAAAGTTCTTTTTGCATTAGATAGCCTGTTTATTGAGGAAGGCTAAAGGCTTTATATCATAGAATATTCTATTTATTCCATACTAACTAAAATCAACTTAGGGACCAACCCGAGCGAAGCGAGGGTGAGACGCTAGTATTTTGATATATAAAAGAAATATACCAACAAAAACTAAATAAGTACGAAATAATTTGAAGATCTACAATTTTTTGAGGTTGGTGCCAGCACAATACCTACCTATCAAATATATTTTTTACCTAATCGATGGCTTTGCTGGATATTGGCTGGTTTTTCTGTTGCTATTGTAGTTCCAATAAAAAACATACATCGGTCGAATTGATAACCTCCTTTTCTTTGAAGTCGGTTATAAAGATACCCTAAGAGTTTGGCTTTAACCCATAACTAATTCGATTTAATTACTTTTCTTATTATGCGTATTAACATATGCGTATTAACATATTCGGGTAATATATGACAATGACATATCCGAAGTAATATATCCGGCTTAAGAAATTCGGGCTTACATAACCGTGTTTACTTATGCGGGCTAACATATTCGAGCTAACATATCCCGGCTAACATATCCCGGCTAACATATCCGTGTTAACATATCCGGGCTAACATAACCGGGCTCACATACTCGAACTAATATATCCGGGCTTACATAACCGTGTATACATATCCGGACTAACTTAAGCTAACGCTAAATTATTTTTCATTTTCTACATAATTATCACTCCCCTTACGGTGAAGGAAAATGTGAGTTCTTAATTCTATCAATGCGATCGATGTTAAAGAGAGCGCACATACGACGTGCATTCTCTATCTCTTCTAATTCTAAGGTTTTACGTACTTCGTTAATGTTGGACATTTATAGATGACTTCGTGGAGACTCACTGGTAAGAAACGCCCAATTCACCCAATAATTATTTTCGTCCCTTGGCACCAAAAATGTGGTAAAGATGGCACATCTTTCATCAACATTTTATGTTAAATCCTTGTCAAGGGGAGTGCTAACCGTCTCTCCTTTCAATAGACACAACCCAACTCAGACTCGAACCCAGACCATTTCTGTAACACAGCCACCATCAGACCAAAGAAGCAAAGTTCTCATAAACAGTGACATGTACTATATAGTATATGTGCCAAATATCAGAATTCTTTAACGTGAGGCCAAAACTTTATTTTGGTGCCAACCGATTGATTATTTTTAAATCAATCTAATGTCAATGTCAGTGTATTAAGCACTTAACCTACTTTAAAAATGGAGTAATAAATTAGTCGATAACACCACTATATCGGTCAGTATAAAAGCAAATTTATATATATATTTTAGCAGAAAACTGTTTGTTTTGCTTTTTGGGATATAAACAAATCTATATATGTATATAAATAAAAATGAATGTTCGTATGTTTGTCCTCAACGCGTTTCTAAACTATTGATCCGATTGTGATGAAACTCTGGTGGATTATTCTGTAATACGCCTGCGAAGATTCCTGGTGCAAATAAAAGTTTTTCTCGCACGTTTGTCTTTTAATGCGTTCCTATACCATCCAAGCTCATACCCGGACAGTGTTTTGCATTACTAACTCTAGACCGATTCCAGCTTGGCCAGTGTTATAATATTGGAAGGCTGAATAATTCTTTTCATTTCACAAGATTAATTTTGTGCCATTTTTTGACTTATTTGTTAAGAAAGATTTTTGGATAACAATCAAAACACAAATCTAATATCACGCTACGGAGAGCAATATCTGTTAAGCCCTCTGGATAGTTCTAAAAGCATTCACCATAAAATACCACCAACTAGTAGTTTATTTTCCCTCGGCTCGGGTACGACTTAGATCACAAATATCATCATACTTCCAGATTATTTTGCCAAATGTTCATGTATTACACTTCCTAAATAACCTCTCTATCTATTAGGGAAAACCGTATGAAAATCGGTATATCAGTTTCTGAGACAAACACAAACTCAGCGTGAACAAAGACTTTATAATTTGTAGTGATCTATAAATTAAAGCTAGTATATATAATTGTAAAGCATGAGCTAATACATCACGTAGGAAGTTGGCTTGATCTCGTATTTCATTTGATTGTAATGATTGACTTATTGTTTCTGATGCAAGACATCTTCCCTGTTTACCGACTACTAGCAACTCACACTCGCTTCGCTTCGGGTTCGTCCCTAGATAAAAATAAATCTATTCCATGGGAACCGTACATTTTTCCGGGATGATATATAGCCTATTTTTCCGGGATGATATATAGCCTATTTTTCCGGGATGATATAATATTCCTCAATAGATGGGCTATATAATGCATTTTTTTTTAAATCGGATTAGTAGTTAACTAGATTAGCGCTTTCAAACAAACAAACTCTGTATTTTTATAATGTTAGTATAGATAAAAAAATAAAATAAGAACCGACTCCAAAAAAAAGCAATAAAAAGTAAATAATAACTGATTGGCATAATACTTACTGATTGGCAGTTTTCATTTACTATAGATACATAATCAGATATTTTCTGAGCGGCTGGCGCTACAAATCAAAACACACCGACTTCTGTGTACTAGATTAATTTTCATCCAAATCGATCTAGCCGTAGCGTGACAGTAACAAACACACATACATATATACAAACATTCGCATTTATTATAAATAGTAGTCTGATAAAGAAAAGTATTATTTTTATATCGAATCGAAAAATGCATCTAGGGACGCTAGAGTGAAGCGAGTTTAAGTCAGTAGTTTATATCTATACATATAATAAAATTGTAACTGATCGCTGTCTGTACATGAAAGATATTTGAGAAAAACTATTATTAGGGGTCTTTATTACCGCAATAGAACCCATTATAATTATTTTTAGATTTTTTGTCTGTTTGTCTGAGCGTTTGTTCGCGTTATTCTCAGAAACGGCTAAACCGATTTGGGTGTGGTTTTCACTAATATATTGTGGTAAGCCTAACACCTAACATTTAGTATTTGTTTTATTTCAATCGGTTCAAAAATAAAAAAGTTATGTCAATTTAATGAATTACCGAAGGAAGAATCCGAGCGAAGCGAGGTTGAGTCGCTAGTTGTTAATATATTTTTAAAAGCAATCACGAAACAATTGATTTATTTATACATCTGTGAGTCACATGCCAAACATCTCTGTTACAGCTTTGAGTTTGACAGTGTTTTATCGTTTTAATTTCGGTGCGCCGGGACCCTAACCTGAGTAATATTCTTAATATAGTGTCAATAAAATAGGTCAGCTCTCCACTGAAAGTTTGCAATAAAAGATTTAAATTAGAGTACCAAATAAATAGACTCGGCTCAAATAAAATAAGCTTGTTTTACTTTAGCCTTAAACGGACTATTAGCGTACCTACAGCATTTCACACGGTTCTGAAGCCAAAAAATACACTGGGATGCGACCCACATTGACCCTAGGGAGCAACCCCTTCATCGTTATGGTCTGCTTCTGCAGGCAGCCATCGGGGTGTTGAGGTTGCGAAGCGATCCTGCAATGTCCCATGACCCCCCCACGAAGGGGGATGGAACCTTCGATTGGGTTTTAGTGGGTAATACTGTCTTAGGTCAGTTACTCCTACATTACCATGAATATGTATGAAGATGGTATTCGTAAATGCATTTTCCATTCCAATAAAAAAAAATATCATTAGTTAAAAATTTTGTAACACCTCCAGTCAAAAGTCTATTGCTTTCATTCTCAGTTACATTCTTTGATCGACTTCGACAGTCGATCAGAGAATGTAACTGCCAGCAGTGGGACTTTAAATAAGGGCTGAACAATTGTAAAACATAGAACACTGTTGGTACTAAAGGGTTTTTGAGTTCAGTATTGAAAAGTCCAAACGAAAAGGGTAAGGCTAATTCATAGTATGTATTACTTTCTTAGATTTACGCGAACATTTAACATTTTAAATAAAACTATCTTTTCGGATTATTTCGCGGATTTATTTTGATTTCTGGTTTCTCGGCGTTTCGAATGCTTTACAGCAATCATGCTCACGGGGGAAACTGAGGTATTAGATGACTCAATGTCATTATATACCTACCGAATCGGAAAATCCGAAAAGATAGTTTTATTTAAAATATTATAATATGTACTTATAGCATCACAATATCTTCGCATAGCTTCTGCTGGATAGCAAGCATGTTGGCAAACTGCAAACAATACTATATAGTAATAGCGCCCATTCAATCGTATGTCGAATCAGTATTAAATTCTTTTTGGTCATTTCAACATGCGTTTCTACTTGCTATATAAGAATCAGTAAGAAATTTTTATCCTCTTTTTTGTGTTTTTATTCAAATTTTTAACAAAATTGGGCTATTTGGTTTAAAATATCGCATTTTTTTTCAATTTTATTTGTGTTGTGATGAAATTTAAGCGTGCTAACGATAATGATAGGGTCAGTGTGTCGATTTTTCGTCATTTTGGTGCGGTTTTTATGTTTTTTTTTAATATACTTAGGTGATTTGTTAACAATGTGAAGTGAGATATTTTACGATGTATATATTAGGCAAAAAGTAAGAAGGTTGGAAGTATTAAAAGAACAATAAAAAAACTGAATATTAATTACCACGTATCTTTATATATATAATTCTTCTGTGAGTGTGTATGTCACTGAACTTCTCTCAAACGACTGGACCGATTTTGATGAAATTTTTTGTGTGTGTTCAAGGGGATCTGGGAATGGTTTAGATTCACAATTTGAATAATAATTTTCATCAAAAAAATTATTAAAAAAAGTTTGAAATTTTCAAATTAAAGACGTGTAGACAGGACAACGTCTGTCGGGTCCGCTAGTTATTATATAAAAACTGAATATTAATTACCACGTATTATTTTACCACGTATCAGTTATTCTTAAATTGAAATATTATACATTATAAACCAATTCAAAGTTAATATTTTAAAAAATTTGTATCATTTTTTAGTTATGAAAGTTTTTAAAATTACTAATTTCAAAGGATGTTTTGTATTGATTTCCGTTTTTCTTTATATATTATGCATGTTGAGTTAGCCTGTAAGTGAGGTATGCAATTTCTATCACAGATACATAAGAGTGTGTTCTAGAATAAGAAATATTATTGTATACAACGTTGGCTTCCTATTTAAATAAATAAATAAATAAAATTAAAATAGTATAAATAAAGATATATAACTCTTTACTGTACACCCAAAAAGAGAAAAGAAAATATACAAAATATAGCACAAGGTAAAGAGGCGGCCTAATCGCTAAAAGAGCGATTTTTTCCAGGTAATCTAATAAAGGTAATAAAAAATAGGAAATAGTACTAAGATAGAAGGGACGCGAATGATAAATAAAGAGATAGTGGAAAGAGTATATATTTATACTTAGTTTGGGTTATTTTTAAAAATCTTTTTGGATTTTATAATTGTTAAAAACAGTTATAAAAACGTTTGTGAAGTCTAAAACCTCAGTCTCTTCCGTCACCGTGATCGCTGTAAAGCATTCGAAACGTCGGTAATCAAACATATATCCGCGAAAAACATTTGAAAAGATAGTTTTATTTAAAATGTTAAATATTCGCGTCAATCTAAGAAACTATTAATATAGGTCATTTTTTACATTTAGTCAGGTTTTAAGCTAATCTAGATTAAAATTAAAATTTAATTTACAATTAAAATCTCTCGAACTTTCTCGTTAAAAATGTTTGACTCATACTTTGGGTTAATTTTGCAAGTATTTTTTATCTTTAAGTGGGTAGAGTTTTAAATTAATTTCTTTTCTTCTTGGTTGACTTAAAACACTTTTTAGTAACTATTTTATTTATTAGTTTTATGCAAATACAATGAGTAAAACAGTAAGATTTTTATAGATCAAGGACTTCTAAATATTGACTTTTATTTTTTTTATTTACAGTGGACTCTACGATCCAGTCCTTGATGACACAGAGTATATATATGTCCCGATAGATCCATATTACCTTGAAACTAATAAAGGAGATAATGGGACGACTCAGAACGCAGAGACAAAAACGTCAGAATCTACAGTTAAAAATGGCACGTCTCCCCTATATATACCCGAAAATGAAAAAACTAAATTTAAAGCTAATTTCCATGAAGCATTACTCAAACTTAGTGCTGGTGATTTACCAGAAACAGCCAGGTTTAAACTTCCTATATCTGAAGAATATGATCCGGATGGAAAGAAAATTACGAAGCTGCAGAAATTATACACCAACAAGATGATGGCAGTTGATCTTAAAACGATAATGGACAAAATAACAGAAGAAGAATGCAAAACTGTAGAAGGATTAGAAAAAACATATAAAGATATATTAGAAACCGAGTTAAAATCTCAACAACAAGATGAACTGACCAAAAAAGAACTTAAATATTCACATGAAATAAAAGATCTCAATTTAGAATCTTTAAAAAACACTGCGTCGCGTATTGTTAATGATAGCATTGATAAAGCCGTTTCTGTGGCTACGCAAATGACACATAAAGTTGATCTCGAAACACTACAGCAAATAAAAGGCTGTAATCATAAATTAGACATACACAACGAGTACTTAGACGTTAAATCTTCGAAACAATCGAAAGCAGAAAAAAGTAAAGCTGACTTAAAGCTGATTAAAGATAACTGTGGAAAAGATGAATTGACTACTGAAGAACAAAAAGAAAGGCCTAATGTTGCTGAAGAAGTTAAAAAGTTTGAATCATTCGAAACCTCGATGGATTCAAAAGTCAATTTAGAAGAAAGAAAATTATGGACAAAGCAAGATATAGAAGAAACAATAGAAGAGGGAACTGTTCGACGTAGATCAGAAATGTTTGCCAAAGAAATGAAATCGTCGGAAAAAATGACTAAAAAATCTGATGTTTTGTATGAAAATTTTTATAATACAGATAGTCATCATGAAAGAAAACAATCTCTGTCAAATTTTGAAACAACTAAAGTTCACAAAACTGTTAGGGATTTAAGTAGTGATATTAAAAAGGCAAAAGAAAAGGCTTTTTTGCTAGGATTACAAACTGTGCCTCGTCTACAAGCTTTATGTTCGTCATCTAAATCTAATTTATTAATGCGAATATTTTTCTTGCAATTGACTAAAATCATGGTGGCATTATCAAAATATTTGATGTTAGAACAAACAATAGCTACCATACCTCTAGAAAGAACTATAACAATACAGCAAAAGGTTGACGACGAACAACAAAAAAATGAACATAGTAAGAATAAAGACGAAACTGAAAATAAACTTCAAGAAGATACAATGAATAAAGGAGAAGAAATTCCTGAAAACTCGTCTTATGAATACACCAAAGATTATTATAGTTCAAATTCAAAGAAAATGAACTTTGAAGGAGAGATAATAAAAAAAGAGAAGTTATCAGGTGCTAAAATAGCACAAATTGAAGGAAACAAACCTGCAGAGTTGACAGATAAAATGAATGTTGTTATTTCAGAACTGCAACGTAAATCCGTCATTGAGGAGCAATCTGATAATGAAGAGTTTTTTCGGAAAAGTAGTCAATCTAGTAATAAGAGAACATTAGATGAGGATGTAAAAAAAAGTAGTGTAACTAATGATACCGAAGATCATTTTTTTGATCAACACAGTAAGCACTTCGATAGACGAAAATTATTTGAAACTATAGAAGAGAAAACCACATTAATGGATATCAAGGAAATGATATCTAAAAAACATACCACGGAGTACAAATCAACTAAAACGAGCAAACAAAATGGAAATATAGTTTATGTTGCTTTTGTCGAAGCCAAACATTTCCCCAAAATGGTAACTGAAATAACGTCTACCAAAAATCTATTTGAGCACGATGTCAAAACGGACATGAAAAATAATGAAAATATAATATATGTTGCCGTTGTAGAAGCTCATGTTTATACTAATAAAGATGCTATTTTCGAAGAACAAATGATATCGGAAAGTAAGACTTTGGTAGAAGATTCAAGAAAAAAGAGTGTTGATTTAGAAAGTACCAAAGAGGTAAAAATAATTGAGTCAGATTCTAAAAAAATATCTTTAGCAGATACTAGTATCATAGAACCTGTAACAGTATCTTTAATGGTGCAACCATTGCCGAATAAGCTAGTAAAATATGCACGAAGCGCAACTGATATAGAGCAAATATCAAAGAAAATTGCAGTACAAAATATAGTTGACGCCATTGAACCTTTACTTCGACTTGAGACTTGCAAATTTTCTGATAAGCAAGCTCAAGCTGTTATAGAAACACCTATGAAAGCTATAGCTGAGACGACAGATGTGAGTACAGAAGAACAACAAATTTTCTTTAACGCAGAAGTTAGCTTAACTCAAAAGTCGTTTGTATCCATAGAAAAGCCAGAACCAGTAGTTGAAATTACTGAAATAACAACTGAAGAAAGCGAAAATGTCCCCGTAGAGAGCTTAAAGCCGATTATCGCGGAACCAGAGTCTATCATAGAAATAGCTGGAAAGATAGTTGCCGAAATTTCTGAAGTTAAAACTGACGAAGCTAAAATAGAATTATTCCAAGTTCCTGAAATAATTAATAAAAAACCTAGCATCGTATTAGAGAAACCAATATTATCAGTTGCAGAAACAATAATGGCAACTGCAGAATATAGCTGTGAAGAAATTATTGTACCTAAGATAGTCACAGATCAAGCTAAAATAAACATTGGAACAAAATTTGCTGCTGAAATCTCGGAAGTATCTGTTATTGAAAAAGAACATGATACTCTTAATGCACAAAAAGTCACTCAAAAACAAAATGAAACTTTACATGAATCTTCAGCCCTTATGGTTGCAGAAACAACGGCAACCTTTGCTGCTGAACCGAAAGACGAAGCATTAGAAATAACTAAAGCAGTAGCTTGTCAAGCTAACATAGATATTCGGGAATTGAAGGCTACTGAAACAACTCTTGTATTTACAGAGGAGCCACATCATAAGAATATTGAAGTGCTTAAAATTAACCAAAAATTCACACAAGCTACATTGGAAAACACGGCTTTTCCAGTTGCTGAAGCTTTAACTATATCATCAGAAGAGCCTAATAGTGAAAATCTCATTATTCCTCAAGCTATCACTACTACATCTGAGCCATTAATAGAAATTCCTATTTTCATGGTTCCAGAGTCTATAACAATTATGCCAGAGGGCCCTAAAGAAGAAAACTTTAGAGTGTTGGAACCAGAAATAAAAATACCTAATATTAATATAAGGGAACTCAACCCTGTTGTATCAAATGTTGTTTTCCCCGAAGAGCCTAAGGAAGAAAGTTTAAACCTGCCTTATGCTTCTGAAAAATTGCCACAAATTTCAATGCAAAACTGTCCGTTAACCGTCGCTTTAAGCCTAGCGATATTGCTTGCTGGACCAAAGGACAGTAGTTTAAATATTCAAAGTATTATTACAAGTCAAGCAAAAAGTTTTATAGAAACGCCAAATTTAACAGTAGCTGAAGTTTTAACTCAGTTTGTTAATGGTCCTAAAGATGGTGACCTTCAGTTTTCAGAAATTAAAAAAGAACAAAGTAGGATTACCATAGAGGAGTTTATATCTTTAATTCAAACCGTTGTTGTCCCTTTAGATCAATATACGAGTTTAGAACTGTCAAAAGTAGGCCATGAAAGTCCGAAAATTTCAATAGAAAATAATTTCTTGACAGTTGCTACTGCGTTAGCGATTTTACTTACAGGGCCTAAAGATGGAAATTTTGATATTGCTCAATTTAATACAAGTGAGGCAGAAGCAGTAATGGAAATGCCAAAATATACACTTCCCGAATGCTTAGTTCAACTTCCTTATGGTCCGAAAGATGATTCATTTGAAATACCAGAAATTATAAAAGGCCAAAATAATATTACCATTCAAGAATTTATATCACTTGTCAGATCCATTGTGATCCCTTTGGATCAATATACAGATTTAGAATTATTGAAAACTGATACTAAACTCCCACTTATTTCTTTGGAAAGCATTTTTCTATCAGCTGCTGCGACTACGGCTGTTTTTCTACTTGGTCCAGATATTGATAATTTTGAAATTGCCAAATTAACTCTTGAAAAAGCTAACATTAATTTTGAGCAATTAAGAGCACATATAACAAATTGTGTACACTTTTGCGAACCTAAAGCAGAAAATCTAGAAATACCACCTGTCATTGGAAAGTTACCTCACACCACTATAGAAAATTGTCTTTTTGTTCCTGAGTCATTAGTAGTTAAAACTGAAGACCCTAAGGAAGGCAGTATTGAAATTTCAGAGATAAAAAAAGAAAAAGCTGACACAATTTTGAATAAATTCAAAGCTATTCAAGTAGTAATTGTATTATTGGCAGAATATTTAAATGAAAATCTTAAACTTCCGCAAATAATAAAGAGACAGCCGCAAGTTTCAATACAAGAAACTATATTACATATCGCCAATGTTCTTGCCGTGTATACAGAAGAACCGATAGATGAGCACTTTGAAGTGACCAAAACGACAAAGCAAGAAGCACGAGTTAAAATAGAAGAAATGAAAGCTGCTGAAGTCAAATTTATGCCTCTTGAAGAACCTGAGCCAGAAGAGTTAGTGATATCAAAGATAAATAAGAAACAGCCACAAACATCTATTGAATCCTCTCTTTTAACAGTAGCTCAAAAATTAGCAATATCTTCTGTAGAATCGGTAGAACAAAGCGTTGATATCCGCAAAGCTATTAGTCAAAAAGCTTCGTCAAATATTGAAACATTAAAAGCTGCAGAAACGTCCATAATAATTTCAGAAGAACCAAAACAAGAAATATTTAATGTTAGTCAAATTGTAGACAAAAAGGTTAAGCATTCATTAGTAGATACAAATTTGGTGACAGCAGAATCTTTAATTGTACAAGCTGAAGAAAGTACAAGAACAGATTTAGATGTTAAAATGCAAAAGAATCAACAAGCAAAAATACAAATCGAGGAACTTAAAGCCCTTGAAACCACCATTATCAACGATGAGGAATCGAAAAATGAAGATTTCAGGATACCAGCAATAGAACTGCAACAAACTGAGGGCATAATTGAAAAATCTTTAAAATCTGTGGCTCAAGCTTCAATGATTACTACAAATGAAGTTGGAACTGAAATATCTGTCGCTGAAAAAGTAAATGAGAAACATGTAAGTGTGAGTTACGAATCGATGATACCGGTAGCCCAAACCATTGTTACCGCCATTGAAGAAGCGCATGATGTAAGCCAAACGTTCAAATCAATTAGTAATTCAGCCAAAAGCACTCTAGTGGAATCATCTGTTACTGCAAAGGCTGAAGTTTTAGAGAAAGATGTCAATGTGCTTTTAGAGAAGCCACACATTAAAAAACCAAAAATTGAAGAAATTGAAATTGAAGCAAATTTGAAAATTCCAGTAATACCCGATGACTCTGTTAGTGAAGTTTCTGCTGAATATAGCGTTGAATTTCCTAAAGAAGAAAACGTGTACGCGGAATTTGAGTTTGGCGAAAATAAGATGGATGTAGTTTCTGAAATATATGAATCTATAAGGCTAATGAAAAAACAAGCATTTCAAAGACAAAGTATGGAAGCAAGTTTATCCCTTGCAAGAGAGTTACAAACTAAAATTGAAATGGTGGAAATTGAGGCATTAGAAGAAGAATTTATTAGAAGTGGAAGTATTAGCAGTTCTTCTTCAATGGCATCTTCACCACTTACTCCAATACTTGAAGAATATTTCTTCAATATCAAAGGGCCATATTTGAGGTCTCAATATCGAAATATTAAAGATGTTTTTGAAGAAGCATCATTAAAGTTGAAATCTAAAATCCAAAAATCTACGATCCAAAGCTTTGACGCCAGTTTAACATTAATTCTACAAGATTTAGCAATGGCACAGCTTGAATCAGAAATGAATGATATAGAAGTTATAGAAATCGAAGATTATGAAGATGTAAGAAATTTACACTTTTCAACAGCTCTCTTGGCTAGGTCACAAAAACAATCTGTGGTATCTTTTATGTCTTCTGAAGCTAAGTCATTCGAAGCTATGCAGTCATCCTCTTTGTCAGAGAGTGCATATGGATACAGTATGTCCGTCATGGATGCTGCCTTAGAACAATCAATTGAAGCTAGTTTAGGTGGTACTAGGCATGTATCTCTAGAATCAACATTAGCAGGTGAGCAAACATCAGCACAGACTGCGATAATGAACGCCTCCCGATCTATGTTATCTTCAGATTCATCGGAATATGCTTCAATTCAATCTGCATCAACTAAAGTTAAGAGTTCAAATATTTCAGAAATAGATTTAGAATCTGAAATAGATGCCAGTATGCAAAGTAATGCCAAAGTTAAAACTAGTGGTAAAATGACATCTCAAGCATCAACATCGAAAAGTAAATCAAAAGCTATGAATTCGATGCAAAGTAGTGTTTCAGGTTCTGAAATTATGGAAACAAGTATGGAAATGGAAGGCTCTACAGAAAGCAGTTTAATGCAATCTAAGGCTATGGGTGTTACGGCAATAGAAGCTGGAACAATGGAAACGAGCATGTCAATATACTCTAAGGAAAAGAAGAGTGGAAAAGGATTACGGAAAGCAGACTTAAAGCTAATACAGTCAGTTGAATCAAATATTTCTGATTTATCAATGGAATCCGACAAAAAGTTATTAATTAAAACTGATGTGGTAGGAACAGAAGTTAATGGAAATGGAAAAACGCCTTCTCCTCCAATACTTCCTCCAACTCCTCTGACAGATGAATACATATTCAGGCTACAAACAGAAATGCCTGGACCTTCAGAGTTTATTCCGAGAGACTGTTCGATTAGTCCAGAAAGATTGGAAGAAGACATAATTCTAAAATGCGGACTAATTCCACACATCAAGACGAAAATATAAAGAATTCTATACAGTCCACCATTTCAAACTCCTCCCACATCCCCTGATAAAACAGTGCCAATTTACTCTAAGCAAGGGAAACCAGGAAAAAGTGGATTTTTTAAGTTTCTAAGTTAATCCATCTCATTTTAATTAAGAATTTGTGTTTTAGAAAAATTAATTGGATTGAATAGAATTTTCAGTTTGAGAATGTTTTAGATTTGTTATCGGCTCCAGAGATCAGCCATATTTTTAATTTTTTCGGGAAAAATAGATAAAGATAAAAATAGATGGACTTATCAACATGATCTAACAAGTTCTCAGCACAAACTTATATTTCTTCTTTTTTAAAAGAAGAAACTTTAAGAAGAATACAGAGTGTATAAGAGAAAAAAATACAGTGAGAAAGAAATGAAGCCATCTTAATATTTACATAAAATTTTATAATATAATATAAGGCATTTATGAAGAAATATTGCTCAAATAAGCATATGGATGGTGTTACTAGATTTCTTTAGAGAGATACATTTAAAAATAAAAATAATCTTGGAATGTATGTAATAAAAGGAGGATATCGGACGAAATTCACAATTACAGCAAATTCATGTAATAAATTACAGGTAAATAAAAATGAATACTATATCTATGTTAGTAAGTTAGTACTTGTAGTAGTGCAAGAGTCAGAGATCACTTCCAAAGGCCTTTTTTTAATGTTGGGAAATTACGCATACCACCTGATGGTTATGTGGGACTAACCGGCAAAGCCAGTACTACTCACTAAAGCCCAACAGAACCTCCCCCGTCGCAGGATCATCAACCACGTTTTCAAATAATTTTACCTAGTTACGCATTTGAAATATCGGGAACCAATATAAATAAAACCACGAAAAATTCCATAAAAATAGTTTTACTTAATCTGTCATATATTCTGGTAACTCAAATTATAAATTAAAAATTTAAAAAGAACCCATACGCAAATTATTTGCCATTTAACGATTACACTGGCACGCGTAAAGCGAGTAATAATATGCCAAAATGCCTTACATCATTTTGGAAAAGAGCTGATACTCTGATGATGATGATGATGAAATTGATTTATTTTAAATTTAACAGTTATTTTTAATTTAGTTATAATTATAACCAACATTTTTTTTAATACCTAGCTTTTTGTGACGCTCTTACCAACGTAAAGCATTTCGCATTATATTTTTATTTGTTTTGTAGATATTAAAGGCATTTAATTTTTTTTTTCAGATTGAATAAAGACCGATGGCTACAACTTTTACCTTAATACCAAATTATTTCAATAAACTATTTTTGTACTATTATGTTTTATTACACATCTATATCTCTCGTAGCCCCTAATCTATATTTTCTTTCAACTTGTAATAAAAGATAAAGAACATCGATCGAAAAAGTACTAGATACACAATCCCATGCAAAAGTTCTCTTAAAACTGTCACCGATTGTGTTTAGGTAATTAATAATTATTCAAGTTGAAATAAATATTACAACAATTTAAATTGAACCTTAAATGCAAAACTTAAAGTGGTTTTCACAAAGAAAAAAGCGCGCTCAAATGTTCAAACGAGCGCTCATTCGGCGAGGACATGTTTTTTGGCTGATTGTGTATAATAATAGAATAAAATAGAAAAAAAAATAGAACCTATGAAATTGTGAACATAATCCGCGTACCTAACGACTTACCCTTGGATTTTTAAAGTATAAATCTATACATCCATACTAATATTATAAATATGAAAGTGTGTTTGTTTGTTTGTCTTTCTTTCACGTTGAAACGGAGTGACGGATTGACGTATTTTTTTGTATGGATATAGTTGGAGAGCTGGAGAGTGACATAGGCTACTTTTTACCGCGAGAGATCATCTAATTCCCACGCGAAAACATGTTATAATACAATCCAAAAAAATATTTATGATCAGAATTACCTGAAACTTGGCATTAATGCTCTTCAATAAAATTAAATAAATACGTGTTTTAGCATTTTTCGAAATTCATTCTACAAGGGGGTAAAATAGGAGATGAAAGTTTGTATGAAAGCACCTTTTTAGAGATTTTTCAACCGACTTCAAAACGGAGGAGGTTCTCAATTCGACTGTATTTTTTTTATGTTTGTTACCTCAGAACTCCGTAATTTATTAACGATTTGGACAATTTTTATGTTGTTTGAAAGACTGGTCCCATTTAAATGTCAAAAAAAATACTATATGTTTATCTCTTTTTAGTGTCGAATTTTCGTTTTTATCGAGTTTCAAATCACAACGATTCTAAAGAAGTTTCATTTCAAAAAAAAATACAGCCAAATTGAAACCTCCTCCATTTTGAAGAAGTCGGTTGAAAATAATCATAAAACTTCGTAATTGACGAAAGTATAAATAAACATTCTAATATTAGGTGAAACAAAAAATATTATATGACAACCACTAATATTTGTCTTGATGATGAATATCTTTTTGACCGATTTTAAAAAGGAAGAGGTACTATTTTCTGTTGTATACTATGCAATATTTTCGACGGTTTTCACAAATTCTACTTTTAATGGTGGACAGAAAATCGGCTGAAAAAAAACGATTTTGAAGTCAGTAGATCTTTTCTTTTTTATTAAAAATTATATAGGTATGTGTTTTGTAATAATCGTTATTTTAAAATATTAACATTATTTCGGGGTGCGGTGTGAAGAAAGGTTAAGGGGTAGAGATTTCTTGCATGGGATAAGCAAGAATTTTGGTATATTGTAAATAAAAATTCATTCTCACTGAGACTAGCCATGTAATTTTTTTTGTATAATACAGGTATAATATGATGTCCTAATGTCCAATTTCGGCAATACCAATCCATCTTAATGACACTAGCCATCTGCGCAGGAGATATTATAGTGCTGACACTAGTGCACTCTATTCCTGTCACTCTCATACTCCGGTGGGGCGATTGCTCGACACGACCAGTGAGAATTAAGGCGCAGAACCGACGCGACACGTGCTCTGCTTCGTTACGGGGGTGAAACACCGCCAACTTTCCAACTCCGGGCTGTTACCAAGAATTTCTTGATAGAAAACATAAATTTCTACAGTTTGGCCGACTCAGAAATCGAACTCATGATTTCCGGATCTACATACATGTTAGCCATTACACCATCGAGGATTATATAGAAAAGAAAACATAAGTAAAACCAGGCAAAAGGGCTAGTTATATATTATAAGTCTATATTTAAAGAAACAATAAGCGTTTGGCTTTAGTTCGGAATTGTTGCAAAAATGTTGGCACTCAAAGACGAATGCTTTTTAGTACTTATACAGCACTTCGCAGCAAACGTCGTGTTACGTGAGTATTTTTTGTCTAAGTCGAAAAAAGAAAGGGATACTAAATTCAAGTGTAACTTTTTGTGTGTATGTCTTTGTCGACTGTGAAACGATTTTCAAGATTCGGTTTTTATTACATACTATTTTTTTATTACATACGCCTTCGCTTCGCTACGCATCGCGTCGCTAGTATATATAAATAATATACTAGCATTGCCCGCGGCTCCGCCCGCGTTCAGATGACCAAAAACTAAATTCCCAGGTCTACATATTAGTCTACTCTTACAATGCAGTTTTTGTATTTTTTCTGACAAATGAGATATTTTCCCGCGGTAAAAAGTATCCTATATGTTGACCCGGATAACCAGCTATCATCATACCAAATTTCATCAAAATCTATCTAGTAGTTTTCTCGTCATGCTTTCACAGACAGACAGACAGACAGACAAAAATTCTAATATACTGAACTATAGATTCGACCTCTGTATCGATAATAATGACTATTTCAATAAGATTTTCCAAAAAATATTTAATATACAGATTCGACGCCGAATTTTATTATAATATGTATGACGTATAAGTTATTATTAGAGCCTTTTTTCTACCAGCTCTCATGCTGACAATATCACATAGCGCCATCTCGCATTTTTTTCTAGTACTTGCATTACATGCCAATGGCTGAGAATTTACTAAAGGTGAAGAAACTACACCAAGCGAAGCTCAGTCACCTGAACACTTAAATTTTAATAAAACTATGGATACTTCTAAATTTCATTTTAATTTTCAGAGTAAATAAAAAGATGGAGCCAAGAAATCTAACCGATCAAATAATGAGAACACTTGATAATATGATTGGTACGTAAATCCATAATTTAAGATTGATTGCCAAAATATTATACACTAGCATTGCCCGCCGCTCCGCCCGCGTTCAGATGACTAAAAACCAAATTCTTAGGTTTTACATATTAGTATACTCTTACAATGCAGTTTTTGTATTTTTTCTCAGAAATGAGATATTTCCCCGCGGTAAAAAGTATCCTATATATTGACCCGGATAACCAGCTATCATCATACCAAATTTCATCAAAATCTGTCCAATGGTTTTCTCGTGATGCGATAACAGACAGACAGACAGACAAAAGTTATAAAAACTATCGATTCGGACTCTGTATCGATAATAATGTCTATTTCAATTAAATTTTCCAAAAAATATTTAATGTACAGATTCGACTTAGTTACAATTTTATTATATGTATAGAAGATTATGATAGAAGCGTAATATTAACATAAACAATAAATCATTTTTTCTAAAATTGTGTCTGTTTGTTAGAAATTATCTTGTCCACATACATCTACTGAATATAAAAAATCACAGTATACAACTTATTATTACTTATTTTTATTGGCTTATTTTTACTTTATACCGAAAGTTATTTTTTACAGACAGATTTTAACTAAAAGGTACAAAAACATCGTAATAAAAATAACTATTCAGACAATATATTATACTTATACAGTAAGGTGATTAATTTTATTTTAAAATGTAGAAAATACAATAAAATAACAAAACAAAAATTGGTGCGAAGATATTTCATAACGCCGAATCCACGTGTGAATGCATCACAAGCAATTATCGCATATTTCTTTTGGTTTCTAGCCAAAAATTGGCATTGCTTGCAAACTTACACAAGCCAAGCCCTTCTCCAAGCGTTTGAATTTGTGATAACTCATCGAGTTTTGGCAACCGTGTGGATCCGGTATAACATTCACATAATTTTTTTTAGAAAATCAACCGATTTGTCCATCTCCTTTTCTGATCTAAACCAAACCTTGCTCTATTCTCTTCTCTTTTATTCCATTTCAGATCCTCACGCAGATATAGAACAAAGAGTATCACAAATGAGAGCTCAGCTAGCAGCTCTCTCCGAACTGCCTCGTCTCATCCAGGAGAGAGTGGATGCTGTTAAGCATCAGATTGACCAATTCAGTCAAATGGTATGTCTATTAACTTATGATATTACTTAATTATAACTGCCTCGGTGGTGTAGTAGTTAGCATATACGGCTGCGCATCTAGAGGTCCTGGGTTGGAGACCCGGGTTGACCCAAGTTTAGTTTTTGAGTTTTTAAAAAAATTATCAGGAACATCCCGGAGTTTGAAAGATGGCGATGTTGCAATCCCACGTCTCTGGATGGGATAACGGGTAAAGACGTTGGTCCTGCACCTTAACTATCTCAAGTGTCGAATTGACATACGCATATACTGTATACATTGCCACATAAATATAATAACATAAAATAAATATATCACATAAAATTAATTATAATGAAAATTAATACATAATATAAATTAATATTATTTTTGTTCTATACTTTGATATGATTTGATATCGCGTAACATTCACCTGTAAATAATCAGACAAATTAGGCACTTCCTACTCAAATCAGTCAAAAATATTCCTATATTAAAATAAAAATTGTTTTAATTTCAGGATGCATTCAAACAAGTTCACCAAGAACAATATGTCCAAATCACACAACCGGGAAAAGGTATCCAAAAAAAAAAAAGGTTTTGTATCCACCAAAAACTGACCTAACTTATTACCTACCTGTAATAATAACTTTTCAACCGACTTCAGAAAGGAGGAGGTTCTCAATTCAACTGTATTTTTTTTAATATAAAATACACAGACTTCAAAATAAGTTATTCCATCCTTGGGTGGATGAGGGTGGATTCTATTTCCTCTTTTGGTAGAATAATTACTTCCTAAGTGATTATTCTACCCCAAAGGTTTTAAATAAATTAGTTTTAAATGGATTTTGGTGTTAAAAAAAAAGAATAATTAAAATCGGTTCATAATTGGCGAAGGTGTCATGTGTCAAAATATTTTATTCAGCATTAAATTATTACAATTTTTACTGAACGTCACGAGTCTACTACCAGTTCGGAAAGAAGAAGCCTCAGACCTGAGAAGAACTGGCGAAAGAAACTCAGCGGGACTAATATTAAATGATCTTTTTTTAATTGACATAATATACACAACACACAAAAATTACTCGCAAAAAATACTCTTGAATCACACGCATATTCCCTAAATTTTTTATAATCTTAATGCTTTTGAATTAAGCCTATAATATTTTTTTTGTATAGTTTCTTTATGATTAAAAAAATAATTAATAATAAAGTGCAAATATAGGTGGGAAATTCAAAGTAGTTGATTCGCACGCCATAGGTCAGACCGAATGTGACGTCAGAGTATATCATTACAAAGTGATTATACGATTTTGTCGCTACAGGTTGAGTCGGTAATTTTTCTGTGTATATTATACCTACTGTATGAAATGGCGGGCGTTTAAAGTATCCGTATCGGTATATCTAAAATAAATATACTAAATTCTAGATTTTTGCAGATGGATATTTTTTACAATTATATAACGATGTTAGTTATTGTATAAAGAATTAAAAGAAATCACGCATATTCCCTATTATGCATGTGTGCTACTCTAGCTCTGTAAACTAAATTTCATCCAAATCTGTCCAGCGGTTTCAACATGAAGGAGGAACAAACATACACACATACAAACTTTCGCATTTACAATAATAATCAGATATAATGTGATTTAAATTTTAGAAATAATACACCCAATCGAAAGAATACCAGAAGAACCAGCTGACACTGTAGAGATAACAGAAATAGAATCTCCAGAAAAAGAAGAAAGGTTTATTGAAATCCAGAAACCAATTGAAGTAAAAAGCAGAACGCCTGAGAGAGCAGTGGAAATAAGAATAACCAAGCCAAGCTTGGCTGAAGAAGAACTTGCGAAAGAAGAAGTAAAGAGAATGTTAGAAGAGAAAATAAAAATGGAAAAGGAGAAGGTTAGTATTTTTTTTTGAACATGGTTTCTGTACTGCCATATAAAGTACCTATATATGAATAGTCAAAAACAAAGAATTCAGTATCTTTTTTTCTTTTCATTGTTTATTTTTGTGTATTGCAGGAGCTAATACACAAAATTAATTTTGAGCAAGAACAAAAAATCCAACCCATTCCAACATCTATTCAAACACCCCAACGAGCTAGAAGTCCTTCTCCTCGTCCCCAACCTGTCTTTGGTCCAGCACCTAAAGAAAGACCACTAGGGCTATCTGGAGGAAGAAAGTGGAGACGCTCTCATGAAGAATATGATGAAGAACAGATTCAGGAAACTTTGACTGCTCAGGCTGAAGTTATCAAAGGGAAAGCTATTGGGTACGTACATTTTGTAGTTTTATTTCCTAAAATTAAAAAAAAACCTTTTGACTTTTGGGAAATAATTTGGGTCTCTTCAAAACGATTAAAACTAGTAGCCATTGAAGATTTTCACTATCAGCTCCTGCGACCAGCATCAGAACAGTGAGATGATACCAAATAATTATATAGCCTTTTGACAGACGGACGGACAGCGGAGGTTTAGTAATAGGGTCCCGTTGGTATCTTACGGGTATGGAACGCTAAAAACGTGTTAATCAAAAGGGGATGTTATTATAATATAAATATGATATAACAAAAGACTTACCTACGCTTCACTCAGGTCCCTGAGTGCCTGGCGATGGCCTATATGTTTATTCCAGGTCATAGTCTACAATTTTGCTAAATTTCATCCAAAACCATCCAACAATTTTTATGTTGTAGTGAAAGAGTAATAAATATACACAAATACATACAAACTTTCGCTTTTTAATGGATCGATAATAAGTGTGACCATTTTAATTAACAGAGTCAATTTTATGAAATACGAGAAACCTCCTCCTCCCCTCGACCACTTGCAGCACTCTGAAGTATACAAAGTGGTACACAACATGGATGAAACTCCGTTGAAAAAGGTCGCCATGTTGAAGCCAGTTATCGCTGAGGCTGATTATAGAGAAGTGAGTTGATATAAAATAATATTGTTTTAGTATATAAAAGTACTTTTTTATTTTTTGCTGTGAAAAGATTTCCTATATAGTAACTAAAGTATAAGTAAAGTAGACTAAACACTTAGTCTATATCAAGGATGACACTATACTTCGGTAATTATTCTATACAAAGAAAATGAATGGCCCTAATTCGGGCTAATTTCGATCGGTTTCATCTTTAGATTAGTTTTGAATTCAAAGAAATTGGACAGCCCTAATTCGGGCAATTTGGGTTTTCTTAAATATATCATAGATGGCGTTGATACGTTCATTATGATATTTTATTTTTACTTACCCTATTAACCTGTGGTAAGCAATTCATTAAATATAAATAGCGCCATTTTTGAACACACAATACTAACTTTCTATCCAATCACAAATCCTCTTATCAGTAAAACTCCGATTGTTTGATTAAAGAAGAAAAAGAACGAGAAAATTTTGATGATAAAGAAGAAGAAAGAACAGAAAGAAGAAGAAAAGAAATTTCATTTCCCTTTAAGGGATTTTTTTGTAAAACCATAATATCTTTTTGAGGATAATATTTTTTTATTTTATATAAACCTCAAACATTCTCTATTAATTATCTAATAACGCCATCTCTTTATATATATTTAAACTTATTTTCTCCCTCTACGCATAATATCTACGAAAATATTGATCAATTATTATTTCTGTTAAGTAATAATGTAAACAGCCGTCGATAGTTCCAAAAAAATCCACTAGGGAAATCCTATCATCGCTAATATCTTAGATAATATCATATCACAAAAAGCCAATATACGAGTATATAATATTATGTAGTTATTTTGTTAGTTTGTAACAGCTAAATAATAATTTCCTTAGTTTTTAGCTAGTGGTATAATAAATATCTTGAGAGAACATTCGCGAAGACGACGTAGTCCACGTATCTGACAAGCACAGTCTGTGTGCCATATAACAAGTTCGATTCTGCACTGGGTAAATATTATATAGATGAAAAAGCTTCAAAAGTGTGGTGTTCATGGACAACACAAACACATTTTGTCTTGATGTGTCTGTCCTGCTATAAGCATTTGCGGCAAACTGCCACCTAGTATTTAATGTTCGATGTGCTACCATATGTATTTAATATTAAATATAAATATGTTGGGACATTAACACACAGCACCATCTAATTCCATGGTAAACTACGAGGCTTGTGTTATGGATACCAGATAGTTGATACACTACAGATTTTGAGGACATGCATATTATAAATATAAACACCCATAACTGGAGTACAAACATTCGGGCTCATCACACAAATGAATGCCCCCAGCGGGACTCGAACCCGCGACCGTTGGCACAGCAAGTAGGGTCACTACAAATTGAGCCAAACGTGTCGTCAAAACTTGAAATATTGACTTACCCTCGCCTAGCTGATGCATAATATACAGGTAGCGCCATCTTTTGGCAAATTTTATTACACGACGTTTCTTATTTATTAGTTAGGTACTCAAGATCATAGTCTGTTATATTTTTATAACAGACTATGATCTTGAGTATTGAGTATGTAATGAATTTCATCTAAATCTGTCCAGCAACTTCAGTAAAGGAGTAACCGACATAAGCACAAACCCATACAAACTTTCACATTTATAATAATAGTGTGACATAATTGTATGTATAAATGTATCGATATTAATGACTATTTCAAAATGATTTTCCAAAAAAATATTGAATGTACAGATTCGACTCGGTTAGAATTTTATTATTATTATATATTATTCTATAAAGTTAGTACATTATTGGTGTTTCATTTCAGAGAGCACGTTCGATGTCTCCTTGCCCTAATGGACGGTGAAGTCGACCAAAGATATTATCATAATATACATATTTATGCCTTTATAATCTTCATATATGTATTCTTATATTTTTATATTATCATTATTTTGTTAAGTTTATTGTTGTAGCCATTTTTATGAATAAATATTACTACCAGTCAAAATTATTGTATTAATTTTATCCATACGATGATTATAACGTTGTGATAACGACTGTACTGACATATTTATTAACGTATATATAAATTAACTAGCAGAACTCGCGGCAACGATCGCGTTCAATATACAAAAAAAACTGTGGCTTTATGTTATACAATATATATTTGTTTTATATTGTTCATACAAAAATACTATAATAACGATTAAAAAATGGGGAGTAGTGGTAGGAGGTTGAAAAATACAATACGGCCTATTCTCATACCTACCAAATATACAAAAAAAAAACATTACATTCGATCGAGCCTTTCCTGAGGAGTGCAACCACCGTGACACGAGATTTTTATAAGATAATAAATATATACCTAGTTTTTATTACTTTAAAATGTCTATGAAATATGATTAAAAGTTTCTCATCTATACATATAATAAAATTCTAACTAAGTCGAATCTGTACATTCAATATTTTTTGGAAAATCTTATTGAAATAGAGATTATTATCTATACAGAGGCCGAATCTATAGTTTTTAGAATTTTTGTCTGTCTGTCTGTTACCGCGTCACAGAAAAGCCACTGAAGAGACTTTGATAAAATTTGGGATGGTGATAGCTGATTAGCCGGGTCAACGTATAGGATACTCATTTCTGAGAAAAAATACAATAACTGCGTTGTAAGAGTATACTCGTAGGTACTATATAATTATGTAAAACCGAAGAATTTGGTTTTTGGTCATCTAAACGCGTGCGGAGCCGCGGGCAATGCTAGTCAACTATAATATATTGATGAAAATTAAAAAAAAACACTACGTTTTATTAATCTACCATTCAAAGTTACACGGAAATGTAGCCCCAGTTCCTACTGTACCTATAAGTAAAATATGCTTACTTATTATTATACTTTACTGAGAAAACTTAGATCGAAAATGATTAATCGATTTAATTTAAAAAAAAGGTCACAAAATGGGATATAAGATTATAAAAATGGCGACAAATTGAACTAGCCATCTTAAGGCGCGTTCCCGTGCGAAACGCAGCGTTAGCCGTTTTTAGGCTGTTTTTGGGAGCCAACTTCTCTTTATCTAAAAGAAATAACAACTAATAAAAAATACATTAAATTTCTACATAATCTTGACTCCAAAATGGTAGTTTTTTTTTTTTTTAAGCAGCATAATATTTAATTAAAGGGCCACAAAAAAACCACAGAAATGAGAAATAATTATTTATAACATGCATCTCCTCCTAAATTAACCATTATTTTGATTTGCTTCCTTAACTAATGGATAGGTAATTAAATAGAGAACATTTTGGTAGTTTTATTTTTTTCAAACACACAAAAAATTGATTTTATAAAGATTTTATTCTAAATCTAAGCGTACTCGCTACGTAACTCTTGCGCAGAGTTAGTGTGCCACAAGGTCTCGAGGGTGAAACACGTGTCGTTCGTCATCGCGCCGCGTCGGCACTCGTGCACTTATTCGCTCATTTTTTTATTCATTTCATTTAGATTTTTATGAAATGTAAACTCGAAACAGTATACAGAATGTATAGAAATTAATATCGATGATCGAATATGATGAGTATCGTTAAACAACGTGTAACAAAAAGCGTATAGTCATCGTAAAAAAATATCAGCTTTCTTATACATACTTTTTGAATGGGGCCGTTGATAATTTTTTTCGATTATGATGGTGTTCCCATCGATAAAGTTCTCAGTTAGATTGTCCCCAGCACACACTTTCATATGACTATACCCTTACTTACACGTTGTATAAACAAGCTAAAATGAACCATAACATAATTAGATGATTTTTTGTGAGGTCATTGACCACAGTTAATGATGTTTCAGACTAAAACCTAATTTTTTTTTGTATAAACTTCATAGACGTGATGGGTAACGATAAAAAAAATCTCAATTTATTAACAACAGCACTAGTGGTCAATATCACGTCTGCAGCGTTTCTCTAGAATATTTTATTTGACACTGCTAGCAATACCTGTTAAAAAACCTACTAAAAAATAATAAATGATGATAAAATTGACTTGGTTATTTAATTTTTCTGCTTTTATCAATCACCCACGGTCTGAATTACAAATAAACCTTCAATCTAAAAAATAAACACCGCACAATCTTTATTATAGAATACCTTTAATACTTTTAAATGAATAAATGTTAGAAGTATTCATGAACGTAAGTATAGTCACTAGATTCATCATGATCAAAATTATTTTGGCGCACCAATAAACATTTCATAAAAAGATATTTTTATTGAATGCCATAATGCCATGTCTGTGAATTCTTAGGTCTGCGATTTTTACTTGTATTCGGAAGGTGATCGCTAGATGGCGCTAGTACTGCTTTACGAAGTATTATAGAGGTGAGGTGCGGCAAAGAGGGAACGAATGCTCAAGGTTATTTGGTCAGGGTAGCGCCTTAAACAATATAATCTTATTTTACACTTGACAATGCTAGAAAAAAAGGGCCACATTGCCATCACAAAAAAGAATATAATTTTTGACATTTGATTTTTGACTTTTAACAGTCGCAGTACCGGTTTGACGTCAGTCATGAGCTGTGGTTTGTTTTTGTTCTAGAAATTACGCGGAAAACCTTTATAAAGTACCTTTATTAAATTTATTTATTACCGTTTTAGTTAGAAATATTAAGTTAAATTATATAAAAATGTTGACTTCGAAGGTATGTTATATTTTTTGTTAGTTATCATGTTATATGATAATGTACTTTTCGGATTAACTAAGCCCTTCGCCCTTGGCATGATAAGGCATATATTTACCAAATAAAACATTCATGATCAAAGTAATTAATAGTTTTTTTTAATCTATTTAATACGAATATATTATTTATATAATCATATAATAAAAAACGTTAAATTACAGTTATAAATGTAAACATTGGTATTGTGTTAAATATTGTTATTTATCAATGAAATGCAACCTTATTGGTTATAGATAATAACACAAAATAAGTCCAATAATTTTAGGAATATACTACAACAATATAAAAAATTACATAAATTTTGAACTGGAACAATATTTTACTTTAATATTTGGGTTTTTGTTTTTTTTTAAATTATTAGCTTTTAATTATTCTAGCTGGAAGTGTTAGTAGATTTTGGTCCGAAGCCTGATGAAAAACTAATTGATATGACGGTAAATCAACTAAAAGCCCAAGATGGAGTAACACAGGTATAGTATACAATTAAAATATACTATGTTACAGTCAGGTTTTTGGGGCAGCTGTGAAATACAAAGTAGTTTAAAAAAATATAATAAGAAATTTAAAAACTTCAATAAATACATATATAGCATAAAACTCACTGGGAATGAAGTGGTCGCCTCCAGCTTATTTGATTGGTAATTTAAAGATTTAATAAGATGTATTTCGGTGTCAGGTAATCCAAGAAAACTGAGTATCTAATAAGTTGATATTTGTGTATAGATGTTTAAGTCCCATTATTATACAAAATAAAAATATTTAGTATTGAATTATTACTACTTTTTACTGAACATCAAGATTCTACTACCAGCTTGGAAAGAAAGCATAAGTCCTGAGAAGAACCGATGAAAAAAACTCAACCAAACTATGAAGTTGTACTTCTTTTGGCACACTTGGAAAATATATGAGAGTAAAAATTTTACGATGCGCGCACACCAAAAAGCGACATGATGAAGTTAGCTGAAAACAACATACATTCCTTTTTCAAACAGAGAGTTGTGACATACGGGATGAAATCTTTAGCTATTTTTGTTCTGTTACGCCAAAGAAGTACAACGTTTTACGTGCGTATAACTCGCGTCATCTAAAAAGAACGCTGGAAGAAAGTGGAGAGGGTATGCATTGCGCATGGGTATACTCGCGCACAAAAGTACTAAGCCTATTATTTTATTTTTCATAGCATTTCGCTCGCGGCTTCATATATTAGTTATTGGTAGGGATATTTAAAAATATATTAGATAGAATATCATTAAATAGAATTCTATTCATTATTAAATAATGTTTGATTCAGTGTAGAATATTTAATCTAATTACAAAAAATTAAATTAATACGTTTAATACATTTTTTTTAATTATTAACTGCATTATTATCAGACTCTCTCTTTGTAAAACAATATACGTCAAAAATATTTTTTCTCTTTTCTATATATAAAACCATTTCGTAATTAAAAACTATTGTGTGCGTGATGGTATTTCGAACTGACGAACCAATAGCGCACCGGTAAGCATGCGGCGCGCGCCCCGCTTCTTACCACCAATTTGTCCGATAAATCGCTTCTGCGCAGCTTGACAGCCAGCGTTCTTTTTAGATGACGCGAGTTATACATAAGTACAATCCCACGTTTTTTTTTGTAAAACAGACCATTGTCAGATGAAAAAATGTTTCTTGAAAAAAAGTTTTTTTAAATTCCAGGCAGTTTATAAAGATGGAGCAGTTATGGTGGAAACAACATTACCAAGTAGCATAATATTAGATGTGGTGAAAAAAACTTCTGGCAAAAGAGCTGTTTTACAGGGGTTTGGAGGTAAATCTATGTGATACTAACGGCTCACCCTTACTTTATTCTGGTTCGCCTCTAGAAAAACAAAAACAAATCTATCCCACGGGGACCATACATTTTTTGGAGACAAAAAGCCTGCTTTTCCAGATATAACCTATCTTTGTCTATGTTTATCTATTCCATACTAAGCATCAAAACGTACCTAGGGACGAACTCGAGCGAAACTAGGGTGATTCGCTAGTATTATATAAACTTTTTTATTCAAGAACAAAAAAGTATTAGGTACACAATCAGCGACAAAAAAATGTCTTCACCGAATGAGCGCTCATTTGAAGATTTGAGCGCGCATCTAATTCTTTGTGAAAACAACTTGAAGCATTGCATTTAAGGTTCAATTTATATCATTTTATTTCAACTAGAACAATTACCTAAACACAATCAGTAACAGTTTTAAGAGAATGGGATTGTGTATCTAGTACTTTTTAAATAGATGATTGTGATTAAAAAATTTTTTAGACACTCAATCTGCAGTAGCGATGGTCTCTAGCCAGTCGTGCTGTAAAAGCCGTGTCTTAGGGGTCATTAGGTTCCAACAGACCCCCGAGGGGCCTCTAGTAGCCGATGGCAGTATGGACGGGTTAAGTACCGGACCGCACGGGATACATGTACATGATGCGGGGGATCTCAGTTTGGTGAGTCCTGTGGAGTTTTCATAACAAAATTATTAGATCGGGTGTGTTTTTTTCTCTCTTTTTTTTTCTTTTTTTTAGTCCTCTTAGACACGAAGGTTTCCTCCCGATGTTTTCCTTCACCGTAAGACAAGTGATGAATTTTCATGTGCGCATTTCATGATTCGCACATGAAAATATCAGAAGTGTGAGACCTGAGATTCGAACCTGCTTGCCTCTGTTAAACTCACTCGGTTTCTGGGCCTCTTAAATATAAAACACCTTGAATCATTTCAGGGCTGTAATTCCATAGGAGATCATTTCAACCCCTACAATGCACCTCACGGGAGTCCGTCAGACCCACCGAATAAGAGACATGCAGGAGATCTTGGTAATATAATGGCTGATGAAAATGGACGCGCCACTTTCAGAATTGTTGATAATGTTCTTAAGGTTAGTTTATTTCTAAGGGGTCGATTAGATCTCTTCATTGATTTTTATGTATTTTTTTATAAAGTCAGTCAAAACTAAAAAAATGCATTTTTTGGACATCATTTTCACAAGACAAAATTAATATATATCTTATTTTTTTTCTCTCACAGATACACGATATAGTGGGTAGATCGATAGCAGTCACAGAGAGACCTGACGATTACGGTCGGGGTTCGAGTCCCGAGTCCAAAATTAACGGAGACTCCGGTGAATCGTACGTATATTTTTTATAATGAAACATTTTTTTATTAACTTTGAAACTTTTCCAAAAAAAAATAATTTAAAAAAAATAATTTCAAAATTGTATGGGGGCCTTTTAAGTATTACGTAACTAGAATTTTAGTATTTTAAATAAAACTATCTTTTCGGATTTTGTCGCGGATTTATTTGTATTTTTGTTTCCCGACGTTTCGAATGCTTTACAGCAATCATGGTCACGGGAGAGACTGAGTTGTTAGATGTCTCTAAGGTATTATATAGTTGACATTTTTATATAATTTTAATTAGCTTTATAATTGAATATAGAATATATTACAATTTAAAAAAATATTAATTTTAATCTACATTTTTAGTGTTGCCATTATTATATTTATAACCATAAAGAAAAAATCATAATATATTAATTATTTAAGCCACAATTGATCTATGTGTAATTTGAAAAAGTTAAGATTAATTAAAAATAATAATTTTAATTTAAATTTGCTATTATTTAAAAAACAAATTATTAAGCAACACATTACTACATACATTTACAAATCCCGTGACCATGATTGCTGTAAAGCATTCGAAACGTCGGGAAACAAAAATACAAATAAATCCGCGACAAAATCCGAAAAGATAGTTTTATTTAAAATGTCAAATATTCGCGTAAATCTAAGAAAGTATTATAGAATTTTAGTAGTTATTAACCCCTCCCTCCCCCTTGTCAGCAAAAGTAAGCAAATCTCTCACTCTCTCCTCCTATTTACGTGAATATTACGTCTCAATTATTTTGGGGAATTCCTGAGCATGCTTTTCGCTCTTGACTTTTGAGCATAGACAAGCAGAGTTGTAGGCAAAATCTACTAAATTTTAATTAATTATATAAAATACATAAATATTGCTGACATCATCCAGACATTTTTTTTTTTAATAATGGAAGATTTTTATTGAATTTAAAAAAACCATAAATAAACCTTAGTTAGAAAAAAATCTTCTATTCTAATTTTTTTTTAAGACTTTTTAAAAAGATATTTATTAGGAAATGTGTATGTTTTTATATATCAATGACATTATTATTATATATTGTTAATTTGAAAAGATGAGTTTTTTTACCATTTTTTCCATTTTTCAGTGTTGCCTGTGGTGTAATAGCTCGGTCTGCGGGAATATTTCAAAATCCAAAACGCATATGCGCATGCGACGGTGTGGTTGTATGGGATGAAAAAGATAGGCCTCTAGCGGGGAAGGGACGGAGGAAGTGTTGCCAGGATAAGGATAGCAATAGCAGGGATAATGTTAAACCGTGTTGCAAGGTGTGAATAATAATTTGAAATTATTGTTGTTTTTTTTTGTAGGATGGGATGGGATAAATAAAAAAATAAAAATATTGTTGGTTTTTTTTTATTTTAATTAAGTTGAAGAATGATCTTTTAAGGAAACAAGGTGTAAAATTTAGTTTTTTTTTTTGTTTTTTATTGGGATAAGGATCATATCTAGTTATTTATAATAGTGAATGTGGTGGTAAATAAATGATTGGTTCTATTTATTTAAGTGTAGTGTTAAGTGTATAGGATAGTTTTGTTGCTAAAAAATGCTAAAATTATTATTTTATATATCATCCATTGTGTTGGCTATTAACATTACTCTATATAGATCTACACACACCTGTTTTTCCCTATATCCACACTTGCAAAAAGTAATATCGAATTATTATTAGGATAACTTAAAATTGAAATAATATTATATATAATAAAAATACTTTCTTAGATTTAAGCGAATATTTGAATAATAAAAAATGGTTAGGATTTTTGTTTTTTTTTTTACTTAAATTATTAAATTATATATGTATGTGCTATTTACATTTTATTGCTTATAACTTTTTTGTTTTTTTTTAAAATCTTTTATTGGATTTTTTAATTTTTTATAAAGTTCCAACAAACGACATATTGGATATCTAGAAATGTTTAATATTAATTTGTAAATAATTTTAGTTAGGTACTATAAAATAAACGATTTTAATATACTGTGTTGTTTTATTCATTAAAAACATTTGAATCCTTTTTAAACCATCCGACAATAATAGAAAATATGAAATATGCAAGGTATTTTTTTATTTATATTATTTTATTAATTTAGTTTTTTTTAAAGTCTATTCATCTCATATTCCCTAAGCTATAATGAATTTGTAAAGCGTACTCATAGATGACGCTATTTGCAATTTTAGTTGTTTTTTTGTTATTTTCACGGTTAAATTCGTTAAAATTGATTTTCTTTAATACATATTTTTCAATAATCCCTTAGAGTTTGGATTTACCTAATTTTGATTTAATATGTCGAAATAAATCTTTTTTATAAGCTTATTCTTAGAATAGAAATAGATTCGTCTTAATTTATAAATATATAAAAGAACAAGGCCAATTATTTTTAAGGATAGATCTAACCTTCGTTTGACGTTATAAAATGTACGTAAGCTAGGGATAGGGTATGATAAGGTATATATCAAAGCTAGAGACCATTTAAGGTTATAAAAAAAACAAATAAAACACCTCAAAATATTTTCTATTCCATATATTTTACCACAATTTGTCATTTAGATTTTACGTTGATATAATTGTTTAACTAAATTCATTTATCTACTGTAGATAAATTTATAAGATACAAATTAAAAACAGCCTTTTCACACTGAGACGACTATAATCGTTTAGATCGAGTCGAGATGATTACAGGTCGAAGCGAAGCGATAATTATCGATTTTGTTGAGAATTTAATAAAATAACTCAAAAAAGTAACGACTAAATTAAGAAAAACAATAAATTATTTGATCATAGTCGTCTAAATGTTTTGCCCACTTACATAATATCAATATCTCAGCCAGAACTCTATTCTAAAAAACAGTTGTTATCAATATCTGCTCAGCAATTAGTGATAAACAGAAAATATTAAGTAATATTTTAAATGCACATCAGTCATTTACTATAATTTAAATTACTAATTTTATTATGATAATATGTTTATCGAATAAGTCATCGTTTCTCAACCTTTCATGTGTGGTGACCCGCTAAGCTAAAATATTACGCCAAAAATGTGACTATATAACAATCTTTACATCTTTATTTATTTTTTCCACTAAATATCGAATATAAACTAATATTAACATTCGTATTATAAAAATTTTTCGAGATTTTGAAACTTTTATAAGAAGTAATTTTGCTGTTTCAATATATAGATATTTCGTATTTCGTCTACTAAAAGCTTTTAGCGATCACAATCTTCACGGAGAGAAACGATGATTAAGGTAGTACACTATCTAGATGACTTGAATTTGATTAAGAAAATTAATATTTTAGGGTTTTAGGGTTATAGTCTATATTTGGCCCAATCTATGTCTATTGGGCTATAGACACTCTTTAGGCTAAACCAGTTAGTAAGTACATTTAGGGAGAAATAAATGAATATTAACGTAAACATTTCAAGTACGAACGTTAAATGTGCCTAATAGATGAAATGTCACATTTTTTTTCAATTCTAATATTTTAATAATATCATAATATGATATCTAAAGCAATTCATAAATTTCAAACCCATGGCTTTTTGACATTTGGACTGTATGTTTGTTTCTATTCGATCGATTGAAATGAAAGTGAAATTGTTTAAGTCAAGCCCGGTTTAAGTCTTCGTAGAAGAAACACAATTTCATTGAAATTAATTTAGGCATATTCGTGAATTGATGTTAAATAGAAAAATATTCAGCACTTTTTTAATTTAACTTCATACTAATCATCCCGTATTATAATTTTTTTACTTTCAATGCAGAAACTCAACCTAGTTTCTATCTTACTGTATGTATATTGTATATGTAATAGAATGTCCCACGTACAGACAAGACCGTTATTTAATTATAGTTATACTTATATTAATTTTAGAATACATTTTTATTAGAACATTCATTTATTTACATTAATATTACATTCCTTGGATGGGTAGATACCTGTAGGCATGAACACATCTTGAAAATACTATAATATTATGATATTTTGTTATGACAAAATGCACTACACTTTGAGAAGCTTACCTCAAATGGTACCCGCGTGTTTTAATAATTTCAATATATCGAAATTTCATTATTATTTTTTATTATAATTAAATTATGTAGTAGGTATATAATTTACATATAAAGCAAAGGCAAATTTCAATGACGGTAAAGCATATAAAATTATGAATAAAACAACTAAGTAAATGCTCTAATCGACAAATACCGACATTCTTAAAAATATTTTCGACGATACTTGATGATAAAATTTTTAGTCAATAAAACTGGCTAGGTATTATATTAAAATTTAAACGACTAAAAATAAAAACAATAGATTTAGTGTTCTTCTGTAGTTCTTTTATTCAGCATAAAATGTGAGCGAGACAAAATGATGATGCAAACAAACGGTTGACCACTTTCAATTTTCATTGCTCATTCATCATTATGTGATTATTTGTCTTTAGATGGCTGTTTTTGAAACTAATGGCAATGATTTACAGTTCTACTCACAAGTAACATTTCTAATTATTTATACTTTTAAAATTATTACACTAACTAATGAATTCGCTTGAGTAACATTTGCGTCGATCAAAAGAGAAATTATTCACCACTCATAAACAGGCACAATATATTGATGAGTTATTTAGTAGCACTAATCAGTCCGACATTTCTTTAATATGAGCCTATAGTTTTATTTAAAATAATATATTTTAAAATAAATTTTTATATTCTCTCGAAAAGGTTTTTGCTAAAGCTTAAAAATTCACAAAAAAAATTGTATTTAATAAAGCATCTAATTTTGACGTGATTTTCTTCATTTAAGGTCAAATAATAAATAAGTTAGTACATTTTGTCATTTGTAAGAACAGGTGCGATTTGGTGAAGACGATGAAAATTATTATGAATTATTTGGTTTTTTACTTAAATCTTAGTTATTATACTTCGACACAGAAAAGTGATATTGACACATGCTATACTTATCAAAGAAAGCCAAACTAAAATGTCAATGAACAGACATTTATACATATGTATATATAATGTAACAATGCAAAAAAGGTATTTTACAAAAGACTTTTTGAAGCTCATGCTTATAAAAATATATAAATACCTTTTTTTTCAAATTATTAATAAATATTTTTTCGCTAAAACTATTCAATCACATTTTTTTGCTTAGCAATCAAAATTTTCTTGTATTTTGGAAGCTTTTAAGCCAAATTATTGGTTAAAAATAGGAATTTAACCATATAAAAAAATGTATATCGCCTTACATATAGATATGTCCTCTAGAGTGAAAGGGACAGAGCAACCATTCTATCTCTTTCTTTACGAAAATTACTTAATTCTTAAGAATATATCCATATATCGACGAATGAAAATTCAGAAATCCATTATAATTTATAATGAATTAAAACAATAAAGCTTTTTTTATTTTCTATTGCATAATTTTTGATACAAAACTTGATCAGACATATTATGTAGATTAAATGTAGCAATACAAAAACATTGATAACATGGAATCGAATTTGCTACTAATAAGCATGCATAGTGCCAATCATGTATCCACCATTGTGGACATGTTACTTTACCGCTATTTATTTGTATCACCACGTTATACCCGTTTTAAAGTAAAAAACCTTGTACATATATATTAACAGCTTACAGCATTTGTAAAGAACAGCATTGCAACTCAGTATAGAAATAAAATTTAAAAAAAGAGATCAATTTCTCATATATTTAAAGTCTCAAATACAAAATTGCTACGTTAATGAGTTACAATGTTGTTCCTTACAGCTTTGCACCTTTCAGTATACCAACCACGTATATTGCGTCGATATACAACGCTGCGATTAATTTAACTACCCCAAAAGAATGGTATGTATGGCTTTTACAATTATTATCGCAGGAACACACAACTTTTATGGGTTAATCATAAATCTCACACTCCGACCGTTTATTTTATAATAATAAATAATGTATTCCTACTAACTAGTGCGCAAGTATGTGCGCAAACACAACGTCCTCTCTCTATTTTTAACACTCTCAAACTCTGGGTATGGTGACAATTGGATGTAACCTTTACCCAAGCCAACGGTAACTGTCAGGCACATGAATGACACCTTAACATAATTTGTCAGGCTGTCATGTTGTGACATCTCTAACAACTCCGAGACATTTTTGAAAATTCTTCGTCAGGAAAACCCGACAACTACACTCAGCCCAACCCGAGATTTGAACCGAGGACCAAATCTCTAACATTTATCAATAAGAAAGTCGTCTAGTTTTTTTTTTATTTACTTTGGGTAAGAACGTCTATGAGTTTGAGAAGCGCTGATTAAAATATAATATGCGTGATTGGCACTAAGTAAAATCAATTCTTTTGTGAATGGTTTGTATGAACCGTATCGATATACAGTACATACATAAGAGATATATCACCTTAAAAATTTTTTTTTTTACAATTAATATTAATATTAAATAATTTCTAAATTTTAAGGACTTTCATAGACACATGTTGTGTCATAGATTATGCGAATATTTGATATTTCTAATAATCTATCAAAAAAGTACTAGATACACAATCAGCGACAAAAAATGTCCTCACCGAATGAGCGCTTAGTTTTTTTTTTGTGAAAATAATTTTAAGCATCGCTTTTAAAGTTCAATCTACATTGTTGTATATTTATTTCAATTAGAACAATTACCTAAACACAATTGGTGACAGTTTTAAGAGAACTTTTGCATGGGATTGTGTATCTAGTACTTTTTTATGGATGTTTTAAATGAATAATTTTTTTTTGGGATTTTCGGTGAGATGGTCATGGTCATGACCATTTTTTCTTATGACAATGTTTGCTACAAAGCAACAAAAAACAAAAATCAACAAAAAAGTAAAATAAAATCATATAATGGTATATTTTTTTCTTCAATAAAACGAGAATCATCAAAATCGATTAACACTCGCCAAAAATCTCTTCATATATTAAAAAAACAGCAATTATGAAACAATTTCTTATTGAGAAAACAATAACTTATTAACGTCTTACATTATAAAGCAGACTAGACACATATGTTCTTATTATTCAAACAAATATTTTTATGATGACGTTTTATTTTCATATATAAATTTATTTTATTTAATGGCGCTACTACAAATATCCAAAATTTAAAATACATGAAGACATTTTTTCACATTTTTTTTTTAATTTAGTGACAGATTTTTTATTAAAAAAAAGTGTCACAATTAAATTTTTTTACACTTTTTTATTACATTTTTATTTATAAAAAGTTTCAATATTTTTTTTTTGTGAATGTTAATTTTATTGTTTAATAAAAAAATTAAAAGTCAATCCATAAAACAATACTTTCTTAGATTTACGCGAATATTTAACATTTTAAATAAAACTATCTTTTCGGATTTTTTGCGGATCGATCTTGACATTTAAAATGTCAATACATAAGACAATTTAAAAAAATAAAAAAATAATAGTTAAACCACTACACAAGATGACAGATTAAAAATAAAACGAGGTATAGCTTATACCTCGTCTAAGCTAACGTAAATTGAGAATCAAAATTCCTTTATAAAAACGTTCATACATCATTTTTTGTTAAGCCTGTTGTGTTAAAAATCAGGCAATCCAAAACCTTTTTCTAACATCCATAATAATCATTAATTATTATTTTTACGTACTTTTACTGATATTCAGTCCACCGAAGATTCCGAATCTTCATTCTTAGTGCTTAAATGAAATGCTATGACGGGAATCGAACCTAATACCATACAAGAGCCCATACCATAAAAACACCAAGAATATCCTCCTGTAACATCACGAAGCAATCCTGAAATATAAATGAAAATATTTATGACATACGGGTGGATATAACCAAATTGTATTATATATAGTGACTTACCCCCGTTTCACTCGGTTGCATCCGTAGGTACGTTTTAATCTTTTTTAGCGGAATCCTAATGATTTTTCTAAAATAAAAGTAACCTAAGTTACTCCTTACAACATTAGCTATCTGCCAGTGAAAATCTCGTCAAAATCAGTCTAGCCGTTTCGGAGATTAGCCGTAACAAACAGACAGACAGACAGACAGACAGACAGACAGACAAAAATGTTAGAAAATCTTTTTTTCTTATTAGTGCAGTGTATAATTTCATACGCATTTAGTAAAAAGCTATTATTTTGGCATTACACACAAAATTTCAATTTTATTTATATGTATAGTTTTATAAATATAGCAAAGACAAAACAGTTCAGTACCTTTTTCTCGTCTGTTTGTCAAACGATTTTCTTCTTATATTTAGTAGCTATTGACGAGCTTTAGTGTTATCAATAAAAAAAATTGGAAACATATTTTTTTTTGTAATGGTTATGTTTGAATTTCGACCATTGGTAGAAATTCGAACATAATTAAAGTTAAAAAAAGTTGTTAATAAAAAAATGTATTTAAATTCATACTAATATTATGAAATGCGAAAATAATTCTGTCTGTCTGTTACGTTTTCATGCCTAAACCGCTGAACCAATGCTATGAAGTTTAGTATAGAGAGGTATGGGACCTTGGAAAAAGACATAAGCTACAATTTGTCGAAAAAATATACTTGAAAGGGGTGAAACAGTGATTGAAAGTTTATATTGGGAACAAATCATTTCTCAAGTTAAGGAAAAAAAGCATTATATCCTGTAATTTTGGTAAGAAATAAAGAATATTTCGGAATATTAAAAATATTTTTTTATAGTCCTTAGTCTATCTATTCCGTACTAAGCATCAAAACGTACATAGTGACGAACCCGAGTGAAGCGGGGGTGAGTCGCTTGTATATATAAAGTTCACATTCAGTTAGTAACAATAATATTAAAAATACTTATTCCACACTCACCGGCAGTGGGCGGAACAGAGACGGCGGCGAGACTCTGGAACATTCGGACGAGGCCGTAGGAGGAAGCGATACGAGCGGTCCCGAAGGCGTCCGCCAACAGCACCGGCACCAACAGGAACCAACACCCGAGGCAGAGACCGTACGCACCTATATAATATATTAATAAATATGTATTCAGCCCTCTTTTGCGTCCCACTGCTGGGAGTGGGCCTCCCTTCATTACGAGGGGGATCAGGCCATAGTCCACCACGCTGGCCAAGTGTGGGGTGAGCGTGTCTCATAAACTTGCTAGGTTCTCTCAGACATACAGGTTTCCTCACGATTTTCCTTCACTACAAGACAAATTGTGATCGTGTTGGAAATGATTCGCACATGATAATATCAGTCCGTCCGCACTTGGCTAGCGTGGTAGACTATAGCCTGATCTACTTCTTATTGATGGAAGGCCCACTCCCAGCAGTGGGATGTTAATAAAGGCTGAATACACATAAGTGCACTAATAATATATATGATCAAATCAAAATATACTTTAATCAAATAGACTTTTACAAGCACCTTTGAATCGTCAATTTTACATATAAAATTAAATATCAGTATAGTCAGTCCGTGAGGAAGCTACCACCGGCTCGGAAAGGCGGTACTGCTGGGAAGAACCGGCGAGAAACTCAACAGTTGCTCTTTTAAAATAATAATTGTGAACAATATTGTAATACAATGTACCTATGATCATAGAAACTCACCAGAAGCAATCGCCAAACTCCACCAAGAAGTCAAACTAGGCAGAGACAGTACCGCCGCGCCCGCCACCAGGATGCTACAACGAAATAATACTATTGAAATAAAACCTCTTTTCAAATTTAATTCACGGATTTATTTAGATTTTTAATTACCGACGTTTCGAATGCATACATTGGATGGAAAAAGTTAAAGTTAAAAAAAACATGTGCGCATACTTGTTATATCTTTAGGCTAAAAATTAAGACGTATTTAGATAAAATTTAATACACGGATAGATATGACCTACAATAAAAAAATGTTGGTACATTAACACACAGCACCATCTAGTTCCATGGTAAGCTACGAGGCTTGTGTTATGGATACCAGATAGTTGATACACTACACATATATAACTTTAAATACATACAAAGTATAAATATAAACACCAACGACTGGAGTACAAACATTCGTGCTCATCACACAAATGAAGCCTTCAGCGGGACTCGAACCCACGACCGCTGGCGCAGCAAGGAGGATCACTACAAACTGAGCCAAACGTGTCGTCAAAAGTGACAACATAGGTCTTGGATACCATAAAACCATATAAAGACCATCTAAACACGCATCCGAACAAAGCAATGGTAAATAACGAGTATTAATACAGATTAAAAAGTATTTTACCTTATAATATACGCCTTTCTTCTACAAAACAGATGTAAGTCACACAGCCAGCCCAAACCCAGACGCCCGCAAAGGTCCAATATAGCACTAATGGCTACTAAATGACCTGGAAATATTATAGTTATATTTTAGTGAAAAAAATGACTTAAAAATCTATTTAAGAGCAATTATTCCGCCGTTACGAGTGTTTTTTTTCTAAAACTGTATATTTGAGACAACTTTATTAGTTCTCTATAGATATGTGAAGTTCACCAACCCGGATTCGGTCAGCGTGGTGGTCTATTATCTGATCTCACTCGCATTGAAAGGAGGTGCACCTCCGGCAGTAGGATGTTTAAAAACTGCTTTTTTAATATAAATAAACAAGAGATATATCTGTTTTCCTCTATCCCTCAATCTTTGAGTCTCACAAAAGTCTCGATTATTATAAAGAGAAAGAAGATATCTCTGTCCAACACCCTCCGTCCCCCTCTCACCGGCAGCGGCCTTGCTGTGTCCGGCGGCGACGGTGTAGGCGGGCAGGTAGTACAGCGCGTAGGGAGAGCCGCACGACATCAGCCCCACCGACGCGCACAGCAGACCGAAGCGCCAGGACTTCAGCAGGGACACGTCCAGATACCTTGGAATTAAAGGAACATGTTATGTAAATAAATAAAACTATCTTTACGGATTATTTCGCGAATTTATACAGATTTTTGATTCCCGACGTTTCGAATGCTTTACAGCAATCGTGGTCACGGGACAGTCTGAGGTTTAAGACGTCTCAAATGCGTTATACGTACACTTGTTACAGACAGTGTCTACCCACAATTTTACAATGATGATTTAAAAAATTCAAAAATGGCAACAAAGTAACATGCATATGGTATATGAAAAAGATAGTTTTATTTAAAATGTCAAATATTCGCGTAAGTCTAAGAAAGTATTACTTCGAAAGTAGTAGGTTCACTATTAATTAAAATATAAAAGGGGTTCGAACATTTCTATAGAATCTGGACGCCGCCATTTTGATTTTTTGTTTTTTTTTTTTATAAATCATACCCTATGCGTTACTGTGATATATAAATACATAATTGCAAAGTTTCATCAAAATTTGTACAATAGTTTTTGCGTGAAAGAGTCACAAATGTCAAAAAACATCTATGGCCTTATACAATATAAGTAACATACCTAGAAATCTTCTCAACACATCCTCTTTTATCTTCTTTCTCTTCTACGTTATCTTCTTTTAACTCTTCTTCGTCCTTCTTCACACTGTTCACAGGTTCTGAGAGTTTGCTTTGTATTATTCTACTGGGTAATGGCGGCTTGATGTATAGGGAACTATAATAAAACAAAAGATAACAAAGTTTTAGGTAGCTTTTAAGCTTGGTATTAGATAGCGGTAAGTGTAGTGTTTTTATTTTGCATATTTCATATATTTAGTTTTGCAGTATTTTAACTATACATATAATAAAATTTTTACTAAGCCGAATCTGTACATTAAATATTTTATGAAAAATCTTATTGCAATAGATATTATTATCGATACAGAAGAAGAATCTATTGTTTTTAAAATTTTTGTCTGTCTCTCTGTTACCGCATCACGGGAAAATCACTGGAGGGATTTTGATGAAATTTGTTATGATGGTAGCTAGTTGTCCGGGTCAACATATAGGATACTTTTTACCGCGGGAAAATATGTCATTTCTGAGAAAAAATACAAAAATCATCATCATCATCATCCATAACACAGGCCTCATATCTTACCATGGAACTAGATGGTGCTGTGTGTTAATGTACCAACATATCTATCTATTTCATATATTACTTACCGACTTAGTTTCCTCCCTCTCGCCTTGTACACACACGTGCTGTCCGTTGAGAGATCCTCCACCGAGTGAAGGATGGAGGACGACCGCGTCGGTCTGAGGCGGAGTCGGGCCACTTCCTTCGGCAATCCTGGAAAATTATAAACTTTATGTAAAATAAAGCAGTGGACAGTGGTGACACACTCGCTTGGGAAAGCGAATGATGCGGGTTCAAATCCCGGGTCTCGCACCTCTGATATTTTCATGTGCGGATCATTTCGAACATGATTACCACTTGCCTTACAGTGAAGAAATCATCGTGAGGAAGCCGGTATGTCTGAGAGAATCTAGCAAGTTTTCGAAAACCATGCTCAGTCCGGCCGCACTTGGCCAGCGTGGTGGACTATTGAAGGGAGACCCACCCCCAGCAGTGGGTCCTTTATAATGGGCTGGATATAATGTAAAAACGCTTGGGACTGGATAAAAAAAAAGATTAGGCGGAGTTTAAAGAAATAAATATCATTTTCATTTTAAAAGCTGATTCAAGAGTGAATGGACTTAGCGAGTCTTTGAACTGGACTAAAGTAAAATAAAAAATCGTTTATTTAGGATTAAATTGTTTATGAACGTCAAGAATCTACCACTAGTTAGAATAAAGGCTGTCTTGGAGCTGATAAAAAAATTTCAACGGGACTAAAAAAAATTTTTTTTTGTAAATTAAGTAATTTATAGAATTACGGTTCACTTACTATTATAAATAAATCTATATTTTCGGATTTTTTCGCGGATTTATTTTGATTTTTGGTTCCCGACGTTTCGAATGCTTTACGGCAATCATTGTCACGGGAGAGTAGCTCTCCGACCCGAAAAGCTAGTTTTATTTAAAATGTTAAATATTCGCATAAATCTAAGAAAGTATTACGTACTATTATAAAAAATAGAATATACAACTGAGAAAATAATGTATAATTTTCTAAGCATAAAAAAATATTATTAGCAGTCTCTCCCGTGACAATTTTAGCTGTAAAGCATTCAAAATAAATCAATATATATATATATATATATATATATATATATATATACATATATATACATATATATATTGCGCGAATACACCCGAAATATAGTTATAATTAAAAAAAAATGTCTTACCAACTACTCCCAAAACGTCAAGCCCTTCAGAGTCTTCGGAGTCTGACATTTGCGATTGTAATGGAGGCCGCGCCACCTTCGATAAAATACAAGTATTATTTGTTTATCTATTAATATTTAATCTATTTAAAAAAAGAAGAGATATTTGACTGTATGTTTTTAGTATGTTACACCATTTTTTCGATGGCTCAGTTTGTTGTGACCCACTTGCTGTGCCATCGGTCGCGGGTTCGAGACCCGCAGGGGACATTCATTTGTGTGATGAGCACGAATGTTTGTACTCCAGTCGCGGGTGCTTAAATTTATAATATATATGTATTTAAAGTTATATATGTGTAGTGTATCAACTATCTGGTATCCATAACACAAGCCTTAGCATACCATGGAACTATATGGTGCTGTGTATTAATATACCAATATACTTATTTATTTCTAGATTTATAGCAATGAGTAGGTTAGTTTTAAATACACTACACTTATATTATAAATGTGAAAGAAACTGTCTGTTACCTATTTACGCCCAAACCGCTGAACAGATATCGAAAAAATTTGCCTAGAACATAGATTGCATCCTGGGATCGAACATAGGATACTTTTTATCCCCATCCCGATTATTAAGCGAAACCGCGGGCATTAACTAGTAGTAAAATATACATATATTGTTTTAGATAGGTACTTACTTCTATCAAACTTGGATGAATAATTTCAGATAGGAAATTTGTTCTTTTGTCCTCATTCAATAGAGCGTTCTTTTGATTCAAACTCATGGTCACTTCGGTTTCTGGTTGGAAGAGGTTTTGAAGTTTATTGTCTTTGTTTGAAACTGTTGTTTTACCTAAAAATATAACGTTCAAATTTCTAATTTCTAAAGGGGTCATATATTTGGTCATATTTACTTAAGGGCCGCTCCACTCTATAGTGCCTATCACGGTTCGCTCTCGGTCCGATATCGGTCTGGTAAACAAGAAACAATGAGTGCATTCACACTATCAGTAAGACTCACGTTCCGGTCAAATCACACTCCAGCAACGTTTTTTGTATCAAAAAAACTTTACCAGACCGATATCGGACCGAGAATATATAGACGAGGCATATAGTGTGGTTAGGCCCTAAAAAATTCAACACGACTGCAAATATAAATTTGTAATTCACAATATTTCTATGAGAGACAGAGTTATTTTTATGGTCTATATTTCCGAAAATATTCCATATCTCAGCCCATATATCAAAACAAAGAACCAAATGTATTGTTTCAAAACAATTTTCATTAAATATATTTTTAAAAGTTTACTTTGTCAAAGGATCGGGTTATTATTATTATTTTAAAATCATTATCGTTTGGCTTCATATTTAGTTCTATAACACTCACAACAATCTATATTATTCCTTTATCTTAATTATACTCATTTTCTTCTCTTGAATAGACCAAGAAGAACATAAAACATACCTTCTGTGATATCATTTAAGAGTGTAGTATTTTCTGTTGTGGTAGTAGTGACGGGAGTGTTTGCGCGCAAAGTTGGGGGCGGGCGGTAGAGAGTTGCGGACACACACACGTGTAGCATGCCGGCACCTGTAGACACACTAGCATTATTTAATTTAATTCAATTTCATTAAATTCCATCCAATTCTATTCAATTCAATTCTCCTGTTAATGGCTTCAAAGCGTGCCAGTTGAGCACAGCTTACTCCGCCAATGTCAGATAGATCATAGAATGGAGAAGACGAGAGAGATTGGTCGGTAAAATAAAATTCATTAAACTATATTAAGTTATATGTAAAATTCCATGTAACTTTGAACATACGGAAATTTCCATTTTAAGTTATCTCTATACTGAGTTACAATTTTGTTCATTGAAGCGTTTTAAGTTCACTTGCTTACAGAGAGGGAATACGCGTGTGATTTAAATGAAGGTAAAAATTTTGTTTTTTCATAATCTGTATTGCTTTTGAATTAAGCCTATACTTATTAAGTCTTAGCCTATATTAATTAAGTCTTATTAATATTTTTTAATGTAATTTGGTTTTGATTCAGAAAATAATTATTAAAAAATGCAAATATATGTGGGAAATTCAAAGTATATAAGTAATATAAGCCATTGGTCAGACCGAATATCACGTCAAAGTCAAATAACAGAGCCAGTGCTGCCAATTTAGCAATTTTGTCGCTAAAAATTGCTTAATCAAAAGTTGTCATTTTAAGCGACAAATCGCTAAATCGATAACACGGGTTTTGTTATTATAGACTATACTACTAGTTTAAAGTATCCGTATCGGTATGACATTTTTAGTTTTTTGAAGCTGGATATTTCTTTTACAATTATGTATATAATGGCCTAAGAGCCTGTGAACGCCAGACCTTCGTCATTTTATAAAAGCTGAAAGTTTGTCAGCGCATGCTCCCAACACAGACAAGAACGATGGACCATTATGAAGTTCAGGCTATCGTGGCTTTGGCAGGTACACGGTACTAAAGGCGTGTAAAATACCGATCTAAATTCGTCAAATAATAAAGTGTGATTTTTTGGTATTACCTTCAGAATATTATTAAAAATCACCCTTTTCATGAAATCATAATTCTACTTACGTTACAGTATAAAAGCTGATTTTTATATATAATACTTGGGTAATAATTAGATGATTTATAAGACTGCTAGCATAGCATTTATTACACACCATAAAAAATAAAGTCAATTCTTAGCGCTTCAAATTTGGTGACCATTTGCAACATTTTCTTAGAAATGCCTCCCAACTTGTTTGGAACATTTTTCAGGCTGAACGAATTTGAGTGAAATTGTGAATGCAGATAACTTATATCCTAGATAAACATATATATATTATATACTCGAGCAAATAAAAAAAAATAACTCACCCAATAGTAAATAAGTTCCATGCAACCCATAAGTGTCAACCAGTTTCTCAATCAGCATAGGGAATACGAAACTACCCGCAGCCGTCCCGCTCACACATATACCGTTGGCTAAGGCCCTGAAAGAGATAGAACTCTCATTAGCTTCACTTCTAATTTCCTAATTGATCTTCAACGATTGTAAATCAATGACATTTGTGTAGAGGTAAGGAGAATCTTGTGTATGAAAAAACTTTCCGCCGAAAAAGATTAAATTATAATGGTCCTATTACCCCCCCCCCCCCCCTCCGATGTGTGTTCACCTTGTCGTAGTGGGGGACGGGGGGGCTCATTAGCGTCCGGCAACACAGCCGGGCGTGTGTATTCAAGAGGCACACTGGGAGGTAGCCCATGGAACCATGTCTATTGCCCCTGGTACCTCTCGACAGCAGAGAGGACCGTGGGGGCAACCCCATGGTTGTGGTCTGCTTCGGCAGTCCTGCGTTGGGGCGTCGTAGTTGAATGCGTAAGCGATCCTGCGACGCCCCATTAAGACGGGGGAAGGTTTTGTTGAGTTTTAGTGGGTAGTAGTGGCTTCTCTTTAAATTTACACTAGAAATGTACTTAATTTAATAATTTATGTGGATTAAATAAAGAATATTTTAAAATAAAAAAAATAAAATAAAATAGTGGCTTCTCTAGCCGATAAGTCTCATATAACCACCTGCATATATGCAGGTGGTATGCGTAAATGCATTTGCCAACATAAAAAAAAGTTTCAAGCGGTTTCGTGAACTACTTTATTCACCAAAAATATCAAACTACGAGTATTTAATTCAGCACATCACTCTATCTACGACTGATCAATTTATCACATACTCCTCCCCTACGCTAGCACCACTCTAGTGAATTTTTGAACTGTTATTGCTTATTGCTGGACACTTTTTCCAGTAGTCCCATTTCACACCACCGTGCTTTAAATTATTTTATTGTCATCCATATAAAATATCTATATTAGAAATGCATTACCTGTGCTTATCAAAGTATTGCGAGACTATCACTATTCCAGGTGTAGTAGAGAGTCCACCGCCAATACCTGGAAAGCAGAAAAACATACCTACAACTTTTTGTAAACCTCACTTAGCTCATTTTCTTTAGATTTCTGTCAAACGTCGTTTAGTTCCACATAACATCGAAACTTCTCTGCCAATTTTGAAAAATAATATAATAATAATGTCCTTCTTCACCGATATCAGCCAAGCTCACTGAGATTATAGGGCATGAGCTATTCCTTTCACTAGAAAACTGCAGTTCGAGGCGCGGAGATAAGCTACCGCCTTCAACTTTCCAACAACAACTTGACCCCAGTAACTATACTTTTCCCGGCCCTGACTCGAATCCAAGCCCTCCCGATACAATCGTACATACTAGCCATTAGACTAACGAGGTAGTTCTTGAATACTTTAATCAGGATTGTTAGAATATCGGCGGCAAGAAGGCATAATTTATACAAAAACTTATTAGTATCATTGACTTTCAAAGTCCTAAAATTTTTTTACTAATATGTTTTTCGGAAACTTATACATTTGTATGGCCTAAAATATTATACATTTGTATGACTCCCTTATTGTTAGACAAAGTAAATATTATATATAATTTATATCGAATCGCGAATAGAAATCTAAATTGTATACAAGAAATAACAAATTCTGACCACTTGACATAACGTTTAGAAATATCACCTCCATATTTTAAATTATATATTACCGATAAGGATTTCAAAAGTAGATAACTTTAAACACATAAGAACATCTTACCAGTCATAACTCCAAAACTCAACAATAAATGAAGCAATCCAGTACTGAAGTAAGACACCGCGAGGCCGGTGGCACAGAACAGCCCACCAATGAACACGACCAGTCTGCACGAGTACTTCTCACATAGTGCTGATGAAAGTGGTGCTAGAAGATGAAAGAAAATGAGGATGTTAGATTAGAATATAAAACTAGTATTTGTCCGCGGCTAAACTTACATAATCTGACTATTTACTAGATTTTTGGATGGATGTTTGTTACTCTTTCACGCCAGAACGGCTGAACGGATCTGGATGAAATTTAGCACAGAGATTATTAGAGATAGACACATATGCTATTCCTGTCTTGGGATGGATTGGTTTTAGTTTTTTCGGAGGCGAACCCGAGCGAAACGAAGGTGAGCCGCTAGATTGTTAAATAGCGAATTTATTTTGAATTTCAATCATGGTCACGAGAGAGACAGGTCTCGAGCCCGTGGTCATGATTGCTACAGCAATCTCGACGTTTCGACTGCTTTACAAAGCTGACAACAAAGAAACGTCGGGATCCAAAATCAAACTAAATCCCATCAAATAATCCATAAAAAAATATCAATCATTGAAGGAGTTCCTGAGCTCTGATGCGATAATAACAAAAATTTACGAATACATACTTCAATTAAAAATTTTCATCGTACAACAAAAGTTTTATCCTATTTTATAATTCAAACATTTCACTTACCCAATGCCAAGCACAAAGTGGAAAGTGCAGCCGGGATCCAAGAAGCGACACTCTCAGATGAATCAGGAAACGTTTCCATTATCTCCACATATAAAACCCCATAAGACTTGAAGAGCCCTGCGACCCAAAATTGTACCATGAAAGCTCCAAATACCACGACCCAGCCATATCCTCCATCTGGAGGAGACGACATGCTGAAACAGTTAGTTGGAAAATTATTGTTATTTATAATTTTACTTTTATTATTTCAATAACACTTTCTTAGGTGGAATCTTGAAGGATTTATTTTAGTTTTAGAAAAAATCTGTGAAGATAGTTTTATTTGAAATTATTATTATTTATATTTCTTCCAAATTATTTTATAATTTTGTGGGTAGGCACTGTCTGTAACAACTATAATCTTACATATATATAAATAATGAACTTTGAGACGACTAAAAACTTGTCTCTACCGTGACCATTCGTCGAAAATGTCGGGAACCAAAAATTAAAATAAATCCGCGAAAAATCCCAAAATACAGTTCAATTTTAATTGTCAATTTAATAAAAATAATAACTTAATTTAGAAAAAAATTCTTTCGCCCGGTCTTCTCAGGACTGAGGTTCAGGCCTCGCATTCAGTAAAAAAATATACTAATTTAAGGCGCATTTTCTTTTGAATTTCAATGAAATTTGTTACATAACACATTACATGCTGAGATACATACATGCATACAACAAAATTACATGCTGAGTTTTAAGCATTATTTAGCTCAAAAGGATATGGATTTCTACTCCCTATATTAATATAGGGTATCTACTGGTAATTAATTTCAAGTTTATATATATACTTTCTGTGATGTTGTGATATAACACTGAGTGGTATTTTATTTTCATATATTTAGACTACTTATTAAGACTCACTCAGTCGAATCATTATGTGGTCGAAGTTTTCTCGAAGCAGCGAGCAGTGGACGAGCGGTGACTGAAGACAGTGTTAGAAGTGAGTCTTCTTCCTGATCTGTGGGCGACATCGCTGATAGATATGCGCCTACTTGCTGTCGATAAAAGTGTTGATAAAAAATAATTTATCAAAAATCATTTTGAGCAGTGGTTCATGCGCAAATTAGAAAGCCAAGTCGTCACGCCAATTATTGAAAAAAAAAAAACATTTTCAACGTGCTTACTACTTGTTTACATTGTAAAGGAAAATATCTTGGAGAAATCTGCAACTTGCGAGTTTGTGGAAATTTAACCTATGTAGTTGTCGACATGCTTCGTCACGATTGAAGTCCACGAATCCACATTTGGATGATTAAAGCTATATTCCACCACAATGGTGGGCTCTCTCGACCTAGCAGTAGGAAATTGAAGACTGAAAGACTGAAGAAGTTGACTGTATTATAAATGGGTTTAATAGCCCACGGAAACCCCCTTTAATGAATAAGATTAACCCCTTTAAGAAGGCAAAATGGTAACCAGATTAAGAAGTAGCATATGTACATATTAAAAACATAATTAAATTGAAAAAGGGTTTCTATGACAGTCGAAGCTGAAAATTCCTGGGCCACCATGAAAGGTGCTTCCAAAATATATCTTTCCAGTTCTTCTTTGTTAAATTTTATAACATTGTTACTTTAAGTTATATATAAAATCTATGAATCTATTTTTAGGTTCTCGTACCCGAACAGTGCCAACGGAACCCTATTACTAATACTAAGCCTCTGCTATCCGTCCGTCCGTCCGTCCTTCTGTCAGAGGGCTGTATCTGATGAATCTTAATAGGTAGAGAGTTGAAATTTTCAGTGTATGTATTTCTATAGCCGCTAAACAACAAATTATAAAAATAAATAAGTAAAATAATAAAATAAGGCAACAAATAAAAATACAAGAAATATTTTCTTACTTGAGATTTTTGTTTTACAATAAAAGTCAATTATACTTACACTAAATAGAAATACACAGACGAATGTAACTATTATATGATAATACGAGTATAATACTATTTCAATAGAACAACACCAACAAATAACAATGCCAAGAAAATTACATTATTTTCATCGGCTTCAAACCTTCGACATTCAAAGAAATAAAAGTTTAGATTTACCTGCCTTTCTAAGGATTGTGATTTCATAACCTTTAGTTTTAATAAAGGAAAGCTTGTAACTACAAAGAATGTTACGTCAGAATTGTGAAAACAAGAAAGTGATGAGGATTTCTAAGAATTAGACCTATTAAATTGATTGCAGAGTTGGTTTACCAGAACCTCGGCCTTTTAGATAATAAAAAGGTTGCACCGATTTCAAAAGTACCTATGTATTCAGCCCTTTTTAACGTCCCACTCAGAGGGATCAGGCCATAGTCCATCACGCTGGCCAAGTGCGGGTTGGCGGACTTCACCGTAAAACTAGTTGTAATCATATTGAAAATGATTCGCACATGAAAATATCAGAGGTGCGAGATCTGGGATTTGAACCCGCTTCACTCGGTGTCACAAGCGAGTGCGTTACCACTTGGCTACACTACTTTACTTTCTTTTTTTGCCTGCTTGCCTGCTCACCATATTAGCAAGTTTCACGTTATTTTCTATTTGAGGAATACCTACCAACTAACAGGCAATAATCATTTTAAAAGATATCTTGGACATAAAGATTATTCGCATATGAAAATTTCAGTTATGTAAAAACTTCGATTTGAACCTGCTTCATTTGGTTTCCCAATGAGGCTAGTACTAAACTTATTTTAAAATGGTTGGTAAAAAGCTTAAAACTACTTACAGTAGCTAAAGGAAGCTCTAACAGCAAGCTAACGGGTCTTTCCCTCGGCTCGATTCGTTCACTCTGTTCTGGAGGTGCCGATTGTATGGAGAGCAGGGACCCCGCTTTATCAGGTGATAGCGCCGCCTGGAAAAAAGCTAGTTTAAATTACACAGCAAGACATAATTTGATATTATGTGATATAACTATTATAGATACGAACGTTTGTACGCTTTTTTAACCGACTTCCAAAAAGGAGGAGGTTCTCAATTCGTCAGAATCTTTTTTTATGTATGTTCACCGATTACTCGAAGACGCCTGAACCGATTTGGAAATATATTTTTTTGTTTCAAAGGGTATCGTTCCCAGGTGGTCCCATATAAATTTTATCGAAATCGGTCGAGCGGTTTTAAAAAAAATTAATAATAAATATAATTTTAACCGACTTCCAAAAAGGAGGGGGTTCTCAATTAGTCGGAATCTTTTTTTTGTGTATGTGCACCAATTACTTGAAGACGCCTGAACCGATTTGGAACTTTTTTTTAAAAAAAATCAACAATATTTTTTTTATAAATTGTTTAATCAAATATGTTATTAAAAAACTTTCTTCTAACAAATTACCTGCTTATTACGTCTACACTAAAAATGGAAAAATGAAAACTTAAAAAAAAACGACTTCCAGGCACTAAATTGTAAAAAATAACTAAACGGAGGTTTTCATTTAGAATAGATACCTAATCAGATATTTTCAAAGTCGGTACCAGCCTACAATATTTTAAGATATTAATATCTAATAGGTAAAATGTATTTTACGTATCGAAATATATTAGATTTGCTTTGCATCGGCTGAGCTGCGAAAAAATTTTTTTTCACACCTTACTCTCCCCCACCCCAATATATGTACATACAAACATTTCGTATTTATAACAACGTAATTCTCTTGCTGATTGAGTAAGCCTCATTTATTAACTAAAAAGCTAAAACCTATTAACTGTAAAGCTACTACAATGACTCATACGAGTTTCATATTAACTGCGACATAACTGACGAGTTATTTAAACTATCAGTTAAATTAAACTTTACTTTATATTTTAACCGACTTCTAAAACGGAGGTTTTATGTTCGTCTGTTTGTATTTTTTTTATGTTCACAGCTTATCGAAAACGACTGGACCGAATTTGCTACTTCAAATTGTATTATGAAAAATTTTGGCCCTACGCCCAAGGTGTCCCATAAAATTTTCTTTAACATAGCGCATACTACCGTTTCCGACAAAATCAGAAAAAGCCACGAAATTAAAAATACTAACAGATCTAATAAATATTTTTTAACAACTTCTAATTCTATTTGTTTTTATCTTTCCTGACTCAAAGCACATAAGTAGTGTCCCTATAGAGGTACTCGTAAAACTTAATGCAACCGCGGCACGATATGTACACTACTTTTTAAAGCATTTAATTGATTTCTTTAAAATTATACCCACATAATATTTTCTTAGATTTACGCCAATATTTTGAGTGAAATAAACGTATAAATAACTATTTTTTTCAAACAACATCTTACTAATATTATAAATGTGAAAGTTTAGATGGATGTTAGTTAATCACGCCAGAACGGCTAAACGGATCTGGATGAAATTTGGCACAGAGATAGATTATAGTTTGGAATAGCACATAGGTTAATTTTTATCCCGGAAAAATATACGGTTCCCGTGGGATAGGTTTTGTATTTCTAGTCTGTAATAAAGTCTATGACTTTTAAGACGTCAAAAACTAAAGTCTCTCTAGTGCCAAGTTAGCTGAGGACAATAAATGTGAATAATAATAAAACCATGGAAAAATCCGAAAAATACTGTAACTAATTAATTTAAAATTTTATCCACATGTTTAACAATAAATCTGATATTAATTGAAAGTACAAAGTACTGGGAACATGCAGAAGTTGGGTAGCTTGTAAAAAGTCGGTCATGAATCAAAGTTGCTAGGCTTTGTAATTTAAAAATTGGAGCAAGGCTAAATGAGTGACATATTAGAGTAGCGTATGATAGTTTCACGATATAATATATGTTAAGATATTAACACACACTAGCACCGTCTAGTTCCATGGTAAGCTACGAGGCTTGTGCTATGGATGCTAGATAGTTGATACACTACACATATATAACTTTAAATACATCATATTATAAATATAAAAGCCCATGACTGAAGACAAACATTCGCGCTCATCACACAAATGAATGCCCCCAGCGGGACTCGAACCCGCGACCGCTGGCAGAGTAATCACGGTCACTACAAACTGAGCCAAACGATATTATTGGGACTCGCCATAATAATAAAAACTCTTATTGTATACCCAAGAAAGAAAGAAATACAGATAATAGTAGATAACATTTATAAGATTATCGTGCAGAAAATAGCAAACTGTAAAGGGGAAAAGTATTGGGCAAAAAGTTATGATATTCACAACATTATTTTTACTGAATATCAGTAATTCAATCAATCTACACAATCTGTATGGTTTAACCAATATTTGGGCAGATTTTTTATGTCATTTTTCTTCTGAACTTGTACTACAATGACCCTAAATTTAAGTTATCAAACCTTAAGGCTAAGACCAAGAAGGAAAGTTACTTATAAGACCTAATAGGTGACATTAACGTGGAATATCCAAGAAGACTGACATACAGACAGCTAAGATTAAAGCTAGAGTTAAAACCCTATTATATTATTTCCCTATTATGAACTTTTTTTAGATACTGAACAATAAAAAAAACAATTCAATTCTTTGTTTTGTGGCTTTTAGGCATATTAGTTGGTCACAGATTATTTCGCTAAATATGAAGAAGATACAGAGTTTATATATGTAATAACTGGTTAAAAAAGAGATGTTCACCAATAAAAAGAAGATCTTACCTCAGCGATGGGGTCAGCTGACAGCTCGATGGAACATGACACTGGTGCAGTAGTATTGGGTGGCGCTGATGAACCGAGGACCTGTCCATCCAACTTCGACAACTCCTGGAACAAAAAATTTTTTTTTAATTCATAATGTCCTTCTGTCCCATTTTGGCCACGGCGGCCAATCTGACTGAGACTAGCCAGATGTGCAGGAGATATTATAGTGCAACGCGAGTGTCGGTGTTCGCGCAGACACATGTGCAGTCCCTATTTCTTTTACTCTCAAAGCCTGATAGGACGATACTTCGACACGACGGGGGAGTGTTAAGGCGTCGGACCTGACCTGTTACTGAGAATTTCTTGACAGAAATTCTCATTAACTGAACATGGTCCGACCCGGGATTCGATACCAGGACATCAGGATCTGCGACCGTCCATGCTATCCACTAGATCACTGAGGCAGTTATTTTATTTACCATTAAGATGGTAATCTGGTATAGAGTCTCATGACTTAAATTCTTTCAAAGGTATTTCTAGCTTTTCAACTGTAATTTATGGCACTCGTAAAATAAATCAAATTATCTTTTACTTATAAGTGTTAAAAAGTTACACTAACGTTAACTCATGAGTTACATTAACGTTTTTCAATTCAATACCACCATTAAAAGTTCGCTAAAATCGATTTCCAAGATTTGATTCTATAGTAAGTTTCAAACGAAGCAATTGATTTGCATGTTAAGCATCTATAAAAAGACGACATTTAAATTTGCAGAGAAATATTTATAATATCATTATATAATACTGTAGCGACTTATATAAGATCATTTCATGTCGAAGCCAATGAAGTTTGGTTATACAATACTAGTGGGTTACCCTCGCTACGCTCAGACTTGGCCTAACTGCAACCCACGCAATCTTTCTCGTTCTTTTATATTCTACATTCATAGTTCAGTCTTCTTAAAGTCCCACTGCTGGGCACGGATCTCCTCAATATGAGACTATCAGTCTATAGTCCACCACGCTGGCCAAGTACGGATTAACGAACTTTAAAAGTATTTCGAAAACTAGTTAAGTCCTCATAGACATGCAGGACATCTTGTGATGAAGAAAATCATCGACCTCATCCTCCTCGTCCACATCGATGTTTTCCTTCATCGTAAGACTAGTGGTTATCATAGCAGTAATAAATACTGGAACAGATTCGCACATAAGGAATCAGAAATGCGAGGACTGTTGTTTGAATTCGTTTCACTTGATTTCTTCTAAACGAAGGTGTTACTACCGGCTTATCATTCTACAGTCTATCCCATGGTAGCTGCTTAATGTTCCGGGATAAAAATGATCTGTGTGCCCCAAAAAAAAGTTGGGAAAAGCATTTACGCATACCACCTGCATACATACATATGTGGGACTCACCAGCTAGAGTTGCCAGTACTGCCCACTAAAACCCAACACAACCTCCCCCGTCTTAATTGGTCGTCGCTCTACCACGACACCTCGACAACAACCAAAGGATTGCTCCCAAGGAGAAGTTCCAAAAGCAACAAAACAAAGTGAGTGGTGGCCCACAGAGTAGGCCCCGTCCAAGTTCGGAAATGAGCCCTCCAACACGATAAGGTTTGAACGTCGGGAGGGTTACGGGTTTATTCTTGGGTTAAAGATGTTTATTTTCTCAAAAAAATAATAATGTTTGCTTACATTTAGGAAATTCAAATAGGTAATAGAATGTTTTAAATAGGCTACATTTTATACCAAATCTTGTTCTTTGCATGATATTATGTATGTCAAGCTTTTCTTGAGGATATTTAAAGTTTTTGACTCCTTTACAATATTTGGCAAAGATCGTTAACTTGCTCATTGAAATTTAAATTTTATAAACCTATGGCTATTCATTGTAAAAACATCATAAAAATCGGTTTGCGGAATGTATTACGCCAAACATACAAAAACATACAAACGATTTAAACACCTCCTTTTTGAAATTGGTCAAAAATCAAACTCTATCGAAATTGCTGGGTAAGCAATACATACTAAATATCAATCAATAGTGTGTCATTAAAATGTCATTCTTCTCTAAATAGTACCTATAGGATATTCGATATATATCCGTATGTCTGTATGTGCAAATTTTTTTCAAGCTACGCAATTTTTGATGATGTTTTGAAATTTTGTTTAAATTATAAAGCATCTAGGTATACTCGAATTATATCTACATATATAATAAAATTCTGAATCGAATCTGTACATTAGTCATTAAATATTTTTTGTAAAATCTTATTGAAATTTTTAGAAATTTTCTCTGTCTGTCTGGGAACGCAACACGAGAAAACCACTGGACAGATTTTGATGAAATTTGGTATGATGATAGCTGGTTAACCGAGTCAACATAGGATAATTTTAACTCCGAAAAAACATCTCATCTCTGAGCTAAACGTTAAAACGTAACTAGAGATGAACCCGAGCGAAGCGAGGGTGAGTCGCTAGTATAATATAATACTACAGTTGCACACAAAGCCCGTAGTTTTAGTCTCAAGAAACTACGAACAGATAGACTGGTATATTGATTTTTAGCTTCCAGGTCGTTGCTCGACCTAGACAACGGAAGCGATCAATACTGAAAAGTAGATGCTACTTTTGTACACGTTTAAATACTGTTTTAAACAGCATCATAGACTGCATAGCTTTCTTATTCAATAAATAGAAGTTACTAAATGTAGTGCAGACAAACGGACAACCTCTTTAGCTTTATATCTATCTGTAGATACTTACATATAATAAAATTCTGAGTCGAATCTGTGCATTAAATATTTTTTATATTAGAAAATCTTATTGAAATAGCCATAATTATCGATACAGACGCCGAATCTATAGTTTTTAGAATTTTTGTCTGTCTGGGAACACAATATCACGAGAAAACCACTGGACAGATTTTGATAAAATTTGGTATGATGATAGCTGGTTATCCGGGCCGACGACATATACTCGTAGGATAATGCGGGAAAATATCTCTCACAAGTATAAAATTGATGAAGGTATAGGCATGCATAGTAATATACGACAAACTGTTTTAAATGAACCATTTTTAACCTTAAAGATGAATAAAACTATGTTTTCGGATTTTTTCGCGAATTTATTTTGATTATTGGTTCCCGACGTTTCGGGACGTCACGGGAGAGACTGAGGTGTTAGATGTCTCTAAGGTATTATACAGTTGTTACAGACAGCCTACCCACAAATAATAAAATTAATTCAAAAAATTGAAAAATGGCACCAAAGTACCTTACAATATTTTTTAACTTTAAAATCAAAATAAATTCGCGAAAAAATTCAAAAAGATAGTTTTATTTAAAATGTCAAATATTCACGTTAATCTAAGAAAGTAATACTTAAAGATGAAAATAAAAATATTTTATTGGAAAAAGCGTATTACTCTGTTCAAGACTTTCTTGTTGATGGAAATGTGTAAAATTGAGATATATTGACCCAATAATTTAATGTTACGTTAATAAAATAAAATGTAACTCGATATTTCAAAAAACAACCGTCTCGTTTCTTTCGGTATCTTCTCAGCAGAACTGCTTGTGACTTGCCGAGCTGGTGGTAGCTTTCTCATGGACTTAATACTGACGATATTTATATTATATTAACAAATAAACAAATCTATCTCATCGTAATCGTACATTATTCCGGGATAAAAATTATTGTAAAGATTCATTAAAATCCATTCAATAGTTTTTGCGTAAAAGAGTAACAAACATCCATACATCCAGACATCCAGAAATCCTCACAAACTTTCGCATTTATAATATTAGTAGGATTCAAATATGTTTATAATAAATCTAATTGGATAAACTTTAATTTCATTTCAACGTTGCTACTTATAAAAAAAATATTCTCGCAATATTCCCTTTCTTAGGCAAAAAAGTTAAAATGATGTGGCATCACTGCGGTATTGTTGGCAGTGACTCATCCATTTTCCACGTCGTCGCTTCTAGAAAATTTCTAGCTGAATCAGACTCAAATTCGTAATCAACTAATAGTTAACTAGATTTTTAAACTAGGAAAAATCCTTAATTATTATCAAACAGAAAGCCTAAACGTAGGCAAATCTAAATTTATACTAGCGACTCGCTCTCTGGCCCCTAGGTACGTTTTAACGGTTAGTGTTTCCCATATAAAATAAACAGTTCGAACTTTTCGATGTTCCAGCTGTTCTTAAGAGTTTTCCCAATTTTTTTATACTTAAACCACCCCTGACACACCTCCAACAAAAACAAAAGAAGAATTATTCATATCGGTCCAGCCGTTTTTGAGTTATAGCGAGACTAACGAACCCCTAACGCAATAACGACGGGGTATTATAAGTTTGACGTGTCTGTGTGTGTGTCTGTGGCATCGTAGATCCCGAACGGATAAACCCATTTTGATTTTGATTTTTTTGTCTGAAGGGTAAATTAGTCGGGAGTGTTCTTAGCTATATTTGATGAAAATCGATCCAAGATGGTCGGGGTTTTTTTAATTTTTTTTATTTATACTTCTTATTATACATATGTATATAGATAATATATTTAAATCGACATAGACAAAATAGTTCAGTATCTTTTTCTCCTCTGTTTGTCAAACGATTTTCTTTTTTTTCTGTTTTGTAGCTATTGACGAGCTTTAGTATTATCGATAAACAATTTTTAAAGCAGTCGCCTACTTTTTTTATTTAGATACTTAGTTAATTTCTATTCATATGTACTATACATAATATGTTTTCCTCAAAATTTTAATAATGATAATGGTCAAATTTAGACCACTCGGCCGAAATTAATTAATATAGGAAATTTTAGACGCAGAAAAATGTTTTAATAACTTTTCTGCTTCATAATCAGACCAGCTTTATAGATTTTTTTTGTAGAAAGTATACTTGTTGAATCATGTTTATAAGCGTTAAAAAAATTGACACATGCAAAGAAGAACGTTGTAACTCAATACAGTTCAGACAATTTAAAAATAAAATGTAATTTTGCATATATTAAAGTCTAAATTGCTTCAACACAAGTTACAATGTTGTTCCTTGCTCCGATAAAATTTATTACAGATTAAATAAAACTTAGAAATGTTATTTAGTATAGTCAAATAAGGGGAAAAAAGGTTCAATTCGTCGCACTCTATCTCAAGAACGTACATTACGACGAATTATTGACTCAAATTAAATTTGTAGAAAGCTGTATGCTCTACCGCCTCTGTAATTACGTAATTTCGAGCAAACTTGATATATAAAAAAAATATTCGTAGCCTTTGACCTTTTGGTGACTGTTTAAGACGAGATTATATGAGACTTTTGAGCTAACAGATAATCTGCCAAAACCAAGGTATTATATTCGAGTTTACAGCTTACTAGCTACTTACTCACTTTAGTTGCCTAAAATTTAGCCTATGGCATTTAGCATATATTATGCCTAACATTTACTCCAGGACATACCTGTGTACTTAGAATTTCATCCAAATACGTTCAGCCATTTCAGTGTGAAGGAGTGACAAACATACACACAAAAACTTCGCATTTATCTTACTTCTTACTAATATTATAAATGTGAAAGTCTAGATGTTTGGGATCGTTGGATGGATGTTTGTTACTCAATCACGCCAGAACGACTGAACGGATCTGGATGAAATTTGACAAACAGATAGATTATAGTCTAGAATAGCACATATGTTACTATATATATATAGTATTCATTCTTTATTTATGAGAATTTTATCTGAAGTCCCTATTTGATTAGATTAAGTTGAATTAATTTATCTGTAATTTCCTAGTGATAATGACTATACAATAAAAACTCTTTACTGAAAAAATGTATACCGACTACAAAATTACTTTAAAAGGATTGTTTTCACTCATAGAAACAAATTTATCCTTCAAAAATATCGTGAAACATACACACAAAAATACAAAAGAACTGAGTACTTCCTTTCTTAAGTCGGTAAAAAAATTTGAAATCTGATGCTTTTCCTTCTATTGTACTTCATTATTCTAAATTTTTAAGAATCTAATAGTAATTGTATTGCTTAAGCAAGTTCATTTCTACAATCGATATCGCTAATAGAGAACTAAAAATATATACGTACATTTTTCTAGGATAAAAAGTAACCTATGTGCTATTCCAGACTATAATTATCTCTGTGCCAAATTTCATCCAGATCCGTTCATGCGTGATTGATTAACAAACATCCAAACATCTAAACTTTCACATTTATAATATTAGTAAGATAGTAAGATAAGGTAATAATAGCGCTTGGATATATCATTTACGTACATTGTTCTTCTCGCTTTCTATTAGCGATATCGATCGTAGAATCTTGAACCATAAGGATAATTGCACTGGCAAGGAACAATATTGTAACTCGGATATTTAAAAAATCCTCATTTTTATCATAATTACTATATAACTGAATTACATTAATTAGTAACTTAATTAATAACTTTCTTAGACTAACGCAATGTTTAGTTATTTTAAATAAAACTTTTTTTTTGTTTTTTTTTTTAAATTGCTAGATTTTTAATCTCTACATTTACGACTTGTTATTTATTCGTAGCTCTCTCTACATATAATAAAAGTGTACCTGATCGCTGTCTGTACATGGAAGATATCTGAGAAAAACTATTATTGGGAGTCTTTATTAACACAATAGAACACAAAACAACGATTTTTAGAAATGTTGCGTGTGTCTGTGCGTTTGTGCGCGCTAATCTCGGAAACGGCTTAACCGATTTGGGTGCGGTTTTCACTAATATATTTTCATAAGCTTCACTAACATTTAGTATTTGTTTTATTTCAATCGGTTCATATATAAAAAAGTTATGTCAATTTAAAGAATCACCCAGGGACGATCCCGAGCGAAGTGAGGGTGAGTCGCTAGTTATTATTTTAATATATTTTGTCGGTTGACATTGTCTGTAATAACTTTACCTTCTGTAACATTAAGAATAAAAAACCTTACTTACGTCTCTCCAGTGACCATGTTTGCTGTAATTCATTCGAAACGTCGGGAACAAAACATCAAAATAAAACCGCGAAAAATTACTAAAAAATAGCTCAAATTACTCTTTATACATATCAATGTTATTTATGGTATAAGTTGTTTTTATGCTTATTTCACACATTACGAAACTATATAGCTACCTATAGCTTTTTATAGCGAAACTATACCCCTTGGGATATTAGCATATTGATAACGTCATTAAAGACACATCCCTAGTCTATACATATAATCAAATTGTAACTAAGCCGAATTTGTACATTAAATATTTTTTGGAAATTCTTATTAAAATATTTTTTTTATATTATATTCATTATTATCGATAAAGTGGCCGAATCTATAGTTAGTTTTTAGAATTTTATCTGTCTGACTGTCTGTGATTGCATTACAGAAAACCCCCTGGAGGGATTTTGGTGAAATTTGGTATAGTGGTAAATGGTTATCCGGGTCAACATTAATAGGATACTTTTTACTGCGGGAAAATACCTATCTCATCTCTGAGAAATCTATACTAAGCGATAAAACGCAAGTAGGGACGAACCCGAGCGGAGAGAGGGTGAGTCGCTAGTCTTATATATGTAGATAGGTGGTAGATTATATAACTTACCTTATTAAAAATAAATTCTCTTGGTAACGACATATTTCGATATCTGGCGGCGCTTTAAAACTGGTTTTACAAAAATGGTCTTCAGATTCAGTGGATTCGAGCCTTAGGTTGTTTCTTTTTTCACGAACGGCATTCGCCGCTAGAGGCATTGGTTTTGAATAATAAATCCTTTTGGTAGCCGTTTTTATATTTTTTTAAACACTTTTAATAGATAAAAAATTATTTAACGCTATCCCTCTTACGGTGAAAGATTGCACATTTTTTTCCGTGCGATTCAATATTTATTTTTTGTTTTAATTTGTTTTCTTTTTATCTCTATAACGCGTCCGTTTGGGGCGAAGTAAAATATTTCAATGGTTAGGTTTTCTTCGCGCATGCGTTTGAAAGGTAATCAATACGTTCATATTCTTGCAGGGAAATATTTTATAGTCTACTTTAATTGATGAAGCATTTTTATTCTAATAACTTTTAAAGATATAACTAACTACTTTCGCTGCATATTTACCTTAATTGGCTAGAAAATAAACCTTAAAACTTTATAGTAAAATATTTTTGCGTAATGAAACTTTTGCACATATCTATCCCATTTTTACATATGGACATACAATATTTTTATTTCTTTCTTAATACCTACTGTAATATAAAAATATAATATTTTGTTTAATTTATTAAGAGCAAGTTTCTTTTATCAATAATATAATTATTTTTTTTCGTAGGCTCTAAAATGTATACCTTTAACATCATTTTATTTACCTTAAATTAAAAAAAATATATATGTTTTTTATGAGTAGGTAACTACTACCCAAAACAAATAATTTTAAAACATTAAATGAGTTTTAGCAGTAATATATAAAAGATATATAGATAGTTTAAAAAATAGTATGTATGTATCAGTCCAAAAATTAGGTCCAAATCTAGGTCATTCTAGACTTGGAGAGGTCATGACCCTTCTGCTGCAAGCTAGGTAATGATGCAACTGCAAGGTGCTTAAATCGCATGTCGATAATATTTTACCGATTTGAAAACAAAGAGCTACTCAATTTGATTGTATGTTTTTGTGTGTATGTTTATGAGATATGTATTTTCACTAATTGTGAAGTGATTGTCTTGTTTCTTTTGATTGTAATTTTGGAGATTTATTAAAAAACTATAAAAATCGATTCGCAATTGAACAAAATATCGCCCATTTGTGTAACATACCCTTTTATAACATACCGATTAATTTTTAAAGTCGGTCACAAACACGGTGTAAATATATTTTCGAATTTATAATATGTACTACTAGCGACTCACCCTCGCTCCGCTCAGATTCGTTCCTAGTAACGTTTTACCGGTTAGTATGGATTTCTCAGAGAAGAGATACCCAGCTATCATCATATCAAATTTCATTAAAATCTGTCCAGTGGTCTTCTCGTGTTGCGGTGACAAACGGACATACAGACAGACAGACAGTCTGAGAACGAACCACTAGACTGATGTTGATAAAATTTGGTACAATGATAGCTGGTTCGGGTTAACATATAGGATACTTTTTACTGCGGGAAAATATCTCATATCTGAGAAATCTATACTAACCGTTAAAACGTAGGTACCCAGGGACAAACCCGAGTAGAGCGATGATGAGTCGATAATCACTACATAGTATAAAACAAAGTCGCTTTCCGCTGTCTGTCTGTCCCTATATATACTTAGATCTTTAAAACTACGCAACGGATTTTGATGCGGTTTTTAATAGATAGAGTGATTCAAGAGGAAAGTTTAGGTATGTGTATAAAACATGCTTATTATAGTACAAAACAACCGAGAAAATCAAAGATTTCTACATGTAGCAATATACTCTATGGATTTCTATTTCATACTAACCGTCAAACCGTCGCTAGTAAGACATAAAAAGAAAACAAATCAATGCCGTTTATTATTTATTTTATTACATTTAATATATTAAACATTTTACATAATTCTATACTATACGCAGACTACTAATATTATTAGTGGTGATAACATTTTCCAAGCATTTCGAAACTAATCTATCCCGAACTTTCTCTTACTGGCGATAGGAATCCCATTAATATTATAATTGCGAAAGTTTGGATGTATGGATGTTTGTTACTCGATCATGCCAGAACGGCTGAACGGATTTGGATGAAATTTGACACAGCGATAGATTATAGTCTGAAATAGCACATAGGTTACTCTCTATCCCGGAAAAATGTACGGTTCCCGTGGGATAGTTTTTTTTGTTTTTTTACTAAGGACGAAACCCAGCAAAGCGGTGAGTTGCTAGTTTGACATACATAATTTGTGTCAATATTTTATCGCTAACAAGGTAAACTTCAGGTAGATTTCAAAGAGTTCTTATTACTTTATCGTCTATAGATACATTGATGAATCAATTTATTCAGACTATACATCGATCAAAAAAGTACTAAATACACAATCAGCGACAAAAAAATGTCCTCACCGAATGAGCGCTTATTTGAAAATTTGAGCTTATTTTAATTTTATTTTTTGTGAAAACATTATTATTATATAACAGGATTGTGTATCTAATAATTTTTAGATCGATAAAACTAAAATTATATAGACAGGATCCGAAAAAAAATGTCTAAGTCAAAAATAGTAGCGTGATTTGCTGTTTAAGCCACTATTCTCGATTTTGCCATACAGATCGTTTACTTTCGTCAAAGAATAAGGGAAATTGTATTTTGTATTCGTTGTTAATTTACAGGGCACGGGCTTCCCTTTACTACAAGGGGAATCAGGCCACAGTCCACCACAGTGGCCGAGTGCCGGGAGGACTTCACATGTCTTTCGAGAACTTGCTAGGTTATCTCAGACATCCCTATTTAAAAACTCCAATAGGATCTCATGCCATTTTAATTTTTAACTATTTTTATATATATGACTAGGCTTATGACACTCGCGTTATCAATACTAATCTAACGACGTATAAATCATCAAAATCGGCCCACGTGTTTGGTCTCTAAAAAGCTATATAGGAACAAACATACATACATTTATGCATACATAGACTAAAAAACACATTACCTCCTTTGCGTTGCGCTGTCGGGTAAAAACAGTAACATAGCGAAATCTGTACATGAAATATTTTTTTAAAACAATGACTGTAACGTATTTTGTACAGAATATTAACCCCAAAACAATAGTTGGTGAAACGTTTGTCTGTCTGTAAATCTGTTTACCTTTCACGCACAAATTACTGAACAGATTTCAACTGTCTATTTATTGCTTGGGTCAACATATAGGATACCTTTTACTACAGGAAAATCTTTTTAAGCCCTAAGAGATATAATCAAAACAATGTACTAGAAAATTAAAAAAGGCCTACAGAAAAGTCCGCAATAGTATATGTCTATCTTCTAAGGTATACTCTCTATAATTATTTTTATATATTTAAAACGTACCTAGGGACGCACCTGAAACGAGGGAAAGTTGCTAGTGTAAAATAAATTAAAAAAATATTTTGAGACGTTTTGACATATAAGTACTTAGGTAAAAGTAAAAACAAATTTTATTTGTAAAATAAAATTTAAAATATAAAAACTTATGTATATGAAATAATAAAATATACAAAATATTAATTTATTAATTAAAGTTTTAAAAAGTAATGTATGACTTAATAAAAACTTTTTTTTAATAATAATAAGTAGATAAATAAAAATATAATAAATGAAAAAAAAATATTAGAACCAATGTCATAAATCTTTATTCATGTCATCGTCAAAGCAAGTTTGAGTTTCGGTTGAGTTGAAACTCAGTAAATCTGAGTCTAGAGCGCGTAAATCTAAAGTTTGAGTTTCTGTGGACGTCGTACAAAAATTATTTAAAAAGTTGTCACATTTGAATGTTTTCGACAAACAGAAACATGTTTGAGTTTCTTTTATACTCAAATCGGGTGATTGAGTTTGTGAAGTAATAGTTTCTTTGTTAGACCGACTCAAACCAAACTCAAACGGTATGGTTTGAGTTTGTATATCGGACATGGTTTCAGAAAAGAAAATCGACTCATCCTCACTATTTTGAGTTTTCAATGACAATAAATCTTCAAAAACCGTTTGAGTTGATATTTCATCTTTCTTAGTGCCAAACTTATCTGGTTGCCAAGATAGAGTTACATCGTTTTTAATATTTTCCAACAATGTTTGAGTTGCGAACGACCTTTTCGGACTGTCACATATATCCGTATCGGACTCAACTCTAATTTTTTTTGAGTTCGAACTCATAATTTGTTTTCTCTTCTGTGCCCTTTCATTTTTATATTGTTTATGAATTTCTGGATGTTTCCTCAATAAATGTACTAATAATCGATCATTAGTTTTAAACTCTCTATTGCAAACTTGACAAATATATATATAATTGCATGTCTGCACATGTCTTTTATACTCTGCATCATTTGAAAAGTTTGAGTTACAATTATTACAAAAGATCATTTTGTCTTTATGTACTTTATACATGTGTTGATTTAAATACTTTCTTCCGGAGAAATATTTATTATTATCCGACCCCTTTTTATAAATGCAAGATTCTTCATAACAATAATATCTTTGATTTATAATAACATCTTTTTTATGTCGTTTGCTCAAATGATTTGATAAGTCTGTCCTTTTTTGGAATCTCTCACAACACATTGGACATGGTAAATAAATCTTTGTTTCCATATTTGGTGCTGATATGTCAATATACAAATTGTCATGCTCAAACGTCAAAGACACAGTGTTCTCCTTACTCAAATCTCCAGTATTTTTTGATGTTGATTCTTTCTGAAACAAATTGTTAAATTTATTAATTTTTTTTAACATTATTATTATATTATAACATTTAGTATAGATTTCTCAGAGATGAGATATTTTCCTGCAGTAAAAAGGTATCCTATATGGCGACCCGGATAACCTGCTCTCATCATACCAAATTTCATTAAAACCTGTCCTTTGGGTTTCTCATGATATGTTCCCAGAAAGACAGACAAAAATTCTAAACACTATAAATTTGGCCTCTGTATTGATAATAATCACTATTTCAACAACACTTTCCAAAAAAATATTTTGTATACAGATTCAACCCAGTTAGAATTTTATTATACGTATAGATTTTTGAAGTAATAATAATACATGATTTTGTTTCAATAGCATTTTTAAATAGGAATCTATAATTTTCATTATTTTTTATAACATTAAACTAGAGTTAAAACAAATGATTGCGTAAATTCAATTATTAGAATCAAGCAAAAATTTTCAAATTTGAATCTTTAAAACATACCTTCACATTTTTCAAAAACAAATCAGATTCACGACATTGGGAGATAAATTTTCTGCACTTTAATATGACTTCTTCACAGTTATGACAAAGTAATGGTGATATCTCATCAGTTCTATTTATCTAAAACAAAACTTTTATGTTAAAAATTAAATATACATTTATTGTATATTCCTTACATAGATATATAGAGTGGATCGAATGTTTCTTTGCCTACTGTAAGTTAAAATGGTGGAAAGGCACGACACAGACAAAACGAATGTGCGGCCAGAAGTCTTCTGTATTAATTGGAATACTATTAATGAAGATAGATAGATATACATTCAATTTTAATATGTATTATAATTTTTAATAAATTATAATATAAATTTTTAAATTCCATATATAAATTCATATTGGAATAAAAGGCAGGTATTGGTTGCACATTCGCTTTCTCTCTTTTTAGAGTGTGGTCAATTTCATGAGATTAGGACTCTAGAGAATAGGGATAATGGGCTCAGTCCATTCTGTCTTTGATTTCTTATATTGAAATAACAAATTTTAGATAAGATTAAATTTGCTTATTGATGTTTTAAATTTTATAAATAACGATTACATTATCAAGAAATAAGAGTATATAAAAGGTTTTGCAAACATTTTTCCACCTCATACTGTTAAATCTGAACCAAGACCTAAAAGCATACAACCAATTTAAATCTACACAATACAAACATGAGCGGCACAACTATTTCCAGAGGGCTATATCTGCTTCTTCACATTAAACTAATAACTATCTTTAAATGATTAGGTTTATAATTTTATTCATATCTTATTTAACGTTTTTTCTTTGAAGATATCTAAATTTAAATGGGGATTTTACTGATACAATTTTATTTCTTTAACATTTTCTATGTATTTTCCTTTGTGGCAGGGGGTGCAAGTGCACCCTTTTGCACCTTCCTCCCGGCGCACATGTATACACATATGTATAATATAATATGAAAGTTATAATATGATACTAACCTGAATATTTGTGAGCCTACAGAAATCCTCAACAAGACCCCACTGAATCATGTTTTTCATTTCGCCACTGGAAGCTAAGCAACCTCGACATATAATTGCAAGATCTTTTAACTGTATATCTATCGACATTTTATATTTCAATTATTTCTTATTTTTATAAAACGTAATATTATAAGGAAACTAGTTTATCAAACAAAAAAATATTTGTAAGAAGGGTAATTTAAATTTTATAATATGATCCTCGAAAACATGTACAAAAAATATAAATACAAAACCAGAAATATATTTTTGCAAAAAATTAAATGTATTTTTGATTCTAGTCTATAAAAAGAGAGTGGCAACTGGCAGTCAGCAGAGTGCGCTTATTTCTTAACTGATAACATTGTTGTTGTTTTTGACTTTTGAAGTTTTGTTCAAAAATCATCATCATCTAGAAAACATCCTTAGCGTTGGTATTTTTAAAAGATAGAACTTTTTGACAGATTCGTCAAAATGGTCGATATTTTTGATCGTATATTTTTGTGAGCTTATAATATTATTATAAATTATATAGTTTTAACTGTGAAGTGCTTTAAATATCGAAAGCTTAAATCCTAAAATAACTAATAAATGAGTTGAAGTTTGTAAATTATACAGCCAAGTGTGTGTTTTTACTAAAGAAATTGTTGATTATATTCTTTTTTTAGTTGCGGCTTATAGTTTATACTTTATGGTCATCATTGTCATTTTGACGTTGATCTAGACGTACCGCCAATTTCTTGTTATTGTTAATGTTTTCTAACCTATATACAGCATAAAGTGCACGTGCAAATGAAAATAAAACCTTTATTATAAAATAACAATGACTCAAATACAAATCGAAGAAGTTTATCCAAAATCTGGCGTGTATCCTATGGTTATGAATTTCCAAAATGGTTACATTACGGAAAAATTCACGTCGCAAGACTGTACTATTTTCAATAATTCCAAAACGAATTCTAAAACATTAGTTACGGAGGTAGATGGTGTGCTATATGCTGGAGATGAAGAGACAGAAGAATTGGGCAAAACGTACATTTTAACTCGTAACAAAATTACTGGGAAAGTGCGAATAATTGAGAGTGGTGTAGTTAATGTTAAACCAATGTTAAACTTAAAAGAAGAGTTAAGTACAGCCCCATTACTTGAAACGAGTACTTTAGAACTCAGCAGAAAGTTTGGTTCGAAGAAGGCAAAACAGCAGATGGAGCAGCGTGAAAAATTAAAAGTTAATGTGGAAACCGTTACTGAACAGATGCAGAATGTAACACAAGACATTTCTGAAGAAACTTTAGATCTATCTGCATATGACAAGACAAACTCTGACGATTTCTATGTACCACCTATTGACAGAAAGGCTGAGAGTGTCAATGGAGTGTACGACTTGAACAAAATTTTAACCGAGGAACAGTTTGAAAAAATAATTTCTGAGCTGGAAGGAAAGGAATATCAATCACAAATGTTGCCTGTTGTAAAAAATATTATCTCTAAAAATACACTTTCACCAAAATTAAAAGTTTTGGCTGTGTATGCAAATTCATTGATACATTTATATAACTCTATGGTAAAAGAAATAAGTAGAAAAGGTTTTACTGCCTGTCCTTACTCTATGACATTAAATACTATAATAATGAATGGATTTATGACATCTTCAAATGGAAGAAAAACAAGACCAGCTCCATTTAAAGATAAATCATTATGTCATGCTATAGTATTCTTATTATTGTTAAATAATTATAAAATTGAATTAGATACATTGTGTGAAGCTGTAAAAATAACACCGAGTACAGTATCAAATAAAGTCAGAGTCACTGGGGCTTCAGTTGTAACTACAAGCAATAAGAAAATTGTGCAGTTGAAACTGCCTTTAAATAAATCTAGCTTTAGGAGAAAAAGTACTAAAATTTAAATATATATATTTTATTATTATAATTTTTTTATTTCTCGTTTTTTAAGAATATTTAGACATTCAAATACAAATCTTAATATATTTACAAAGGCAAGAAACTTGTCCCCTTAATTTCGTCAAAATACTTTTTATATATTTAGTCTCCTTATCGCCTCCTATCTATACAAAAATGTGTAACTGTAATAATTTGTGTGTTTGTTTCTTTCGGTCTTTAGGCTTAGTTTGGCCTTGACTGAACTGATTTTGAGGTATGATTCAGCTGTTTAATACACGGAACGCACCTCTGGAGGAGTGGGTGGTATTATTGTTTGACGGGTTTGGGTAACATAGGTTGAGCATTTTATTTACTTCCCGTTAGATCTTTTTTTTAATTCAAATCTAGAACCCCCAATATCATAAGTGCTTTGTTATTTCAATCAGTTTGGCCTAGGCCATAACTAGATTGTCCTGGGCTAAGCCAGTAGCACTAAAAACACAAAATACAAATAACGATTGACAGAGAATAAGATATTGATATTTATTTAAAAAAACAAAATGCTCTATAAATCATAAATACCAGTTTGGCATATCGAGGACTAAGCAGAAGTATAATTATTATAATTTTATACCGATTGACTAAATAATTTAGTAAACCGTGGCTAAAAAAGTCACGATTTTTAAACATAACAAATAAAAAAAAACAATTACAAGCTTAATACATTTTATTATTATTAAACATATTTTTTTAATACATAAAAAAGCAACAGCTTAATTATATTCAGTCTTAGATTAAATAAGTAAATGAAATTTTTTTATTTATATAACCTAAGTTATGGCGGTGAAAAGATACCCTTACAATAATTCGGCATAGTAATAGTTGTATTGCAATATTGTAAATGATTATTATACAAAAAGCAGAACTGCCTTCTGAGCCGGTGGTAGATTCTTCACGGACTTACATACTGACATTTAATTTAAATGAATAAAAATATAAATTACAGATTGAAAAGTGCAAAGCGGTAGTATTGAACTGCTACCTTTATACGTCCCTACCCTATTTAAAAGCTCCAATAGGATCCCAATCAAAAGCAACAGTCACATAGAAACCAATAAATATTTATTGGTTTCTATGTGAATTTTGTCGCTTTAGATGGGATTTTATTGGTTTTTTTCTACAGGGTAAGTACGCGGATTATGTTCACAATTTCATGGGTTTTAATTTTTATACGCCGACTGATATCTTTTTCTAAAATAAAAGTAGTCTTTACTTATACATCAACTATCTACTAGTGAAAGTGTCGTCAAAATCGGTCCAGCCGTTTCGGAGATGAGCCAGAACAAACAGACAGACAAAAATGTTTTTTATTAATAGTACCGTATATAATTTCATATGCATTTAGTAATAAGCTGATATTTTGACATTACACTTCAATTTTATTTATCTGTATAGATTACAGCCGCCGCTAGGTTTAGGGACATCTAATCTTCACCAAATTCAGTCTTAAACTTTTTTACTTAATTTTTCTTATAATAGGGAGAGTATACATATTTTTTTAATTTATGCATTATTTTAGAGAGACGTAAAGATCATAGCTATATGATGAATACAAAATTAAAAACCATAAAAAAACAATTATAACAACATTACACCTAAAACGCTAAAAGAGGCTCCCTCCCTTCCCTCCTATTTTATTATAGCGTCATTCAAATATATGTATATAGTATAAGTAGAATAATACTCATGCACGACATAAGTTCATACCATTGATATATAAAAACATACCTACACATTTCCTAACAAATATCTCTTTAAAAAGTGTCGTCGACATGTGACGTTAAGTCAAACCAAAGAATAACTTTAAAAAATCGAAAGTTCTAATTATCTAAACACAAATTCGAACTTACGCTCACCACTTAAAGTACTTTTTTAAACGAAACAACGTGCGTTTTAATTTTTTTATCCGAAAAGCAATTAACAAAAGAGATTTGGAAAAAGCGCAATTCAATTTCGAATAGTGCACTTCTTTTTGAGGACACTTTTGAGACGCTAATTGTGTGTCTTGAGTTTCTTATATCAATTACTAATAATTCATCCTGATAAAACGCTAAATTACGCGATATCGTTAAATTTTGTGGTTGGAATCCGCATTAATTTACGTTTCTATGGTGACGTGGGCTCTATTTTTACATAATGAGACACCTCCATAGGTTCCAATTTAACATCACTTGTGGTACTTTCTGGCTCCATACTTTCATTACACTGAGATTCTTCACTCATCTCCGCTGTGCAAAGTTCGCTCAAATAAAGCTTAGCTTTCGACACGTCAAACGTCTGTTTATACCTCTGTATAGCAAACTCCAGACAGTTGTATGAGTTTTTGCAATATTCACATTTGAAAATGGTCGAATCTCTTAAATGTTTTATTTTTTGGTACACCCCAATATAAAATTCGTCATTGAAGTTCTTTATGCATTCGCCGCATTCAATAGTAAATATACGTTTTCGAGTCCCGTACGTTGCGAGTTCATCTACATTAAAATCTTCGTGGAACTTCTTTATATGGCGTTTCAAAGTTTTTCGTGTGCTAAAATCTTTCATACAGATTATGCAACGGGGTAGCGTTTTTTGGGACGGCAGATTGATATGAAACTCTTCGTTATGATTATCAAATTTCTCCTGGCCTTTGAATACTAAATTACATTCTTTGCACTTGTAAATTTCGTCTTCAGCCAAATGTTTCGTTGAAAGATGGATTTTCAGAGCTTCCACTGATGTGAAAGAGACAGAACATAGATCACATGGATGCGTGTTCATGTTAAAAGAGTGTAGTAGTTTCAGGTGAATTTTGCAAGATTTTGCTGATTCGAAGCGTTTTTCACAAATATGACACTGTGGGAAGAGTGTAGAATTTGGGTGTTTGGTCCTAACATGCTTCCGAAGGCTTCTCTTCTCTTTAAACAACGTTTCACATTCAATGCACTTATATCTTTGCATTCCTAGATGCGTATATTCTATATGCCTCCGTATATTCCTCTTGGACTTAAACTGTTTGTCGCAGTAATCGCATTTGGACCACGAATCGTTATTATGAACGATCTTGATGTGAGATGCCAAATAATATTTATTGCTGCAGATTTTCGAACAAAATTGACATTTGACAGCTTCATCAGTCGTGTGTTTTAATTTTATGTGGTGTTTTAACGATCTGTCACTGTAATAGATTCTTTCACAATGTCGGCATTTGTGGGAAGACTCCAAGTCCTCTTTATTAGTAGATGATACATTAGAATCTGCAATTTGGGCTTGAGGATGGAAGATACGTAAGTGGAATTCTAAACTGGAGATATCAGTGAATAGTTTGTCGCAATGACTACAGCTATTCACGTTTTCTGGCGGAATACATATTTTTTTATGCTCAAACATGGTCTGTTTACTGTAGAATTTGTTGAAACACACGTTACAAGTAGACAAACTGTATTCCTTATCGTGAAACGACCTCATATGGTCTTTTAGATCGTAAACAGTTGAGAAAGCGTTGATGCAAAACTCGCAATTATAGAACAAAAACTTTTGCTTCTCCCCCTTCTCAGAGACTTTCCAAGTTTTTAGCAGAGTACGTTTGCAGTAATCGTAGAAGTCTTGGAAAGAATGATTTAGTTTGGTATGCTGTCGTAAATTGGGCTCGCTTTCAAATGACATGTTGCACAAATCGCAAGAAAATAAGAATCTATAAGGCTCTGTATAATTTTCATTGGAAATGTTATGGTAGAAGGCATAAAGGTCTGAATTTGCCAATTCGTTAGTATGCTGAGTTTTCGTATGTCGTCTTAAACTTTGATTGGACGTGTATACTTTTGGACAAACATCGCACCTGTATTCTTCCTTTTCCCCATGTTGCCTTTCCACGTGACGTTTCAAATTCCTATTATTCGTGTAAACTTTATCACAAAGGGGACATTTTATTAGACCTTTAAAGTTAGCATGATTAGACTGAATGTGAGCTATAAGGGACTGTTTCCCTTTAAAACTGCGATGGCATTCATTGCATGTTGGGTACTCCACACCGGGTGTGTGTAACTGATTTGTGTGCCGCTTTAAATTACGCTCTGTTGTGAAAGTTTTACTGCATATGGTACAGCGTATATCCTGTCTTCCGCCTTGTAAATGGACTGTTATCATATGAGAGTTGATGTTCTGTTTTCTAGTAAAGATTCTTCCACACAAGTCACATTCCGGTAAGCCCTGTCCAAATCTATTATGGCCACGAGATAGATGGAGCTGCAAACCAGCTGGACTTCCAAATCTTTGATCGCAAATTTCACAATAACATGATGAATTTAAATGACAATTTTCTATATGTGTTTGAAGATTGTATTTCCTAGTGAATGAGCGACTGCAGTGGTCGCATACGTAATCTTGATTCGACATAGTGTCTGGAACAATAAACATTACAAATTAAGACAGTGTTACATATTAAATGAGAATGTCGAAAAGCAAAAAAATAATATTCTTGATTTGTTAAGTATAACTCGACTTGTTTGGTAGATTTTGTTTATTTGTTTAATTTCTTTAGATCATAGAATTATTATCCATATCTATACTTCCATACTAATAATTAATATTACAAATGTGAAAGTATGTTTGTTTGTCCTTCTTTCACGTCGAAAGGAAGTGACGGATTGGCGTGATTTTTTGTGTGGAGATAGTTGAAAAGCTGGAGAATGACATAGGCTACTTTTCACCACGGGAGATTATCTAATTTCTACGGGTAAACACGTAATAAATTATAATACAATTCAAAAAATATTTATGAATTACTTGAAACATGATATTAATGCTCTTCAATAAAATTAAATAAATACGTATTTTAGCATTTTTCAAAATTCATCCTATAAGGGGGTAAAATAGGGGATGAAAATTTGTATGAAACTACCTTTTTAGAGATTTTTTGTAGTTTTAGCGCGAGCGAAGCCGCGGGTTCTGCTAGTTTTTTACATAATTTATAAGGTTTTATGTATAATTATTTAACACATATTTTCGTATGCGGTATTCACCTTAAAACGTAATGCATAAAGAAATAATACCTTATTGTAACAAAGTATATTTTTTATTGTATACGTGTTTGAACCTTTATAAATAAATAAAAGTATCTCTGTCTGTGTTTTACGTTTTTACACCTAAACTGCTGACCCAATTTTGATGAGATTTGGTACAGAGATTGGACCTTGATGTAAGACATGGAAAGCTTTTGCCGCTAAAATACAACTTTATATTCAGCCCTTTTTAACGTCCCATTGCTGGGCACGGGCTTCCCTTCAATACGAGGGGGATCAGGCCATGGTCCACCACGTTGGCCAAGTGTGGGTTGGCGGACTTCACATGTCTTCCGAAAACTTGCTAGGTTCTCTCAGACATGCAGGTTTCCTCACAATGTTTTCCTTCACCATAAGGCAAGTGGTAATCACGTTAGAAATGATTCACATATGAAAATATCAGAGGTGCGAGACCCGGGATTTGAACCCGCTTCACTTAGTTTCCCAAGCGACCGCATTACCAATGGGCTATCTATCACTGCCTTATGCCAATAAAACTTTATGGGTGTAAAATAGGGGATGAAAGTTTTTATAAACTTATCATTTCTCAAACTAGAAATGTAAAAAAATAAAATGATTTTGGTAAGAAATAAAGTGTTTCAGAAATTTAAAAAAAAACATCTCTTGATAGGAAATGCTTTTTATAACTTTTTTGCTATTTTGACCGCATCACTCTTGAAGACTATTGTAAGTTTATATAAAAATCCTATGTTTTACTAGACATATTCTGGTATATTATATATGTGTATAGAATATAAAAAGAATCAATATTTAATATTGAAGTCATCAAGTAAAGCGAGTGCTGGTCATAATTTCATAAATGCAAAACCATTGGGTAAATCACTAGAAAAAATAAAATATTATAGCTATTTTTCCATATTAAATATATGGAAAAATGGTCACTGTCTCCCTTCGATGTGAGGGGGATCAGGTCATAATCCACCATACTGCCCAAGTGCAGGTTGGCAGACTTCACATGTCTTTCGACTCCCATGTATCCTATAAATTTATTTTTAGAATAATGAAAAGTAAATTGGATATAACTTATAATAATAATAATATATCAAGAGTAATATTTTTGTGTTGTTATTTTTACTCTAATAATTTTTACTTAAATCTTGAGAAACTTCAAAAGATATACTTTACATTCAGTTCAGCTCTTTGGTTTATGGCTAACATAAAACAACAGTGCCTGTTTTATTAAAATATAAGATGCCAAATAAATAAAAAATAATAATACATTAAGTCAACATATTTATCAAAGAACCATTTTTAATAAATATAAAAAAAATCCAATTTGTTATAAAGCGTATAAAATATATAATAATATAACAATAAAATATATAACAATATATAACAATAAAATATATAACAAGTTTTATTAAAATATTATATTATTAGTAAACAATAATCACAATAATGCTTACAACTTACAAAGGTATTCTGCGAATATTACTCTTTATAACTCCATATTTATTAAATAGTTATTTTAAAGATGCAAGTTTTATTTGAATCTTCGATTTAATAATACAATGATCAGAATTCACATCGTAACAAAGGACTCTTTCGCATTTTTTGCAATAATTTATATTTGTGTGCGAGTTCTAAACCTATAGATGTTTGACAGTTCATTGACACCATAACTTTTATTCACGGATACTTGTACGAAAATGTTTTAATAATACAAATATTTTTACTATCCGAGTATCCAATATTTCGTAAAACCAAATGAAGAAAAATGTTAAATTATCAGTACTTATTATAGCTACATTTTTCCGGTATAAAAAGTACTATGTACTATTACAGTACTATTCCAGACTATACTCTATCTCTGTCCCAAATTTCATCTAGATCCGTTCAGTCGTTCTGGCGTGATTTAATAACAAACATCCAAACTTTCGCATTTATAATACATATTTATAGGATTATGGGATTACAAGTCACCACCACACTGAGCGTTTGTTCGGGTTAATCTCAGAAACTGCTGTACCTACAGCTCCATATGGTTTACACTAATAGAATAATAGATTCTCTAAGAAGGTTGTAGGGTGTATGCTATCTAAGAACATATTATTGAGAAATTGTATTATAAAATTTGTATAATTTAAATTATAAAGTAAAAGCATGTTACAATTCAATGATTATTAATTTCTTTATAAGATTTAACATTTATTTCATTGATATTTTGTATATATCAATGTTTTATTTGGTCTAATAAATCCCGTCATAAATTGACAAATGTTTCAAAAGTAGAAAATCATTACATGTTTTGACATTATTTTGGCTTAACTAAATTAACAAGAGTATGATTCTCTCAGTAAGATAATTTAATTATATTTCAAATATAATAAATAATCAGCTAACATCCTTACCAGGGTAAGACAAAAACTGCAAAATAATCCAAAATATTAACTTTTTATTAACATTCATTACCTTTCGTGAACTTTATAGCTTACAAAGATAATTACACAAAAAATAAGTAAATCTTAAGCATATCCTAAGTATTTCTCATCCTAGATATTTTTATTGAATACCTACATAAAAAATACCCGGCATTTTACCGGCCTGAAGTTAGTTTATTATCGTGCACTCGCACGAATTTCAAGGTGGTCGCCATTTAAGCCACGAAGTACGTACGCGACAACGCAAGAACTGTTATTAGGTTAGAGTGCTTTAATTTATAGTTAATTGTGCAACGAAACTGCAATAATCTATTTGGAACGAACAATACGATTGATAAATTGTTCAATCACATAATAAATGTGTATAATGAGTGAGTATATTTGTCCTTTAACTAGAATAAACGTGCACACGTGTTTTGTTGAATTGCTAAACTTTAATACACGTCGACTCGTTCTAAATGTGTATAAAGAAATGTCGGTCAATTATTATTACTGTTTGTAGGCGATCTATTTTCGTATTCAAAGTTGTGGCTGGGCTATAGTAACTACATATTTCAAAGTAAGCTATCGTAAGCGATTAAAAACGACTGTTAGAAAGTTTTCCAATTGTACAACAACTTTTACTTTATTCTAATTGTTTAAGAAAAATAATAATTAGAACAATTTTATTTATATATTTAAACTTTTTATTTTCTTTATAGTTGAATATAATGCTGTACAATTATAGTACTCTTTATGCAAGTTATATTGTTTATAATCATACTTTCTTTTAATTTTAGCCATCTAGGTATAACTAGTATCTTTTTGCAGAAGCTATTTAAAGTAAATTGTATTGATCATATTAATATTATATGTATTGTATATGTATGTTTAGGAGATATAAGAAATACCATATTTGAAAAAAATGGAAAGAGGTAGAATAAATATTAAAAATATTTAAATTCATGTATTGTATTAGAAAAAATAAAGGATAGAAACTTATAGCATTAAATTTGGAAGTATTACATTTATTATAGTAATTTCTATATCATCAGACATGTTTGACATCAATAAATATTGTTGGAATCATAGCCGTGACCTTCTCTGTATTATTAAAACTAATCAGATGCACAACTAATGATATTCTTTGAATATTACAATGCAAACTATAATTAACATTACATTATAATAATTTTAATAAATTTAATAATGTTGCAACAGATCATAAATTTTAGTGGCATACTTATGGAAGAATATGAAAGTTCTTAGCCTATAAATAAAATTAAAAATCAAGATATACAAATTGCTTTAGATAAAAGAAATGATTTGAATGCTAATTTTTAATTGAAATATTGATTTAATTTTGTTGTATGATTATTATATTATTAGCGATTCACCATTGCTCTGCTGAGATGCATTAAACCTTTACTTTAAATGATAAAGAATGCATTAAAAAAAAAACTTCTTTTGTTCAATGGCTTACCCTTGGAGTACCCTTTGGGCACAATTTACTTCACCAATGTTGTATAGATATAAAACCTTACCTCTGCAGAAAAAAAGTAATGTGCTAAAGAATAGTTTAAAATTAGTTCAAAAAATTATAATTAAATTATAGGAAATAAACTAGCCATAACAAAAACTTTCTACTGTGCGTTAGGTACATATATGTGTTTTACTCAAAAAAAGTTTATGGTCCCAGTGACTGCTTGAAAGTTTACAAAAGCTGTATTGATTATGGTCATAGTTTTTATGGGTTTTAGATATCTATAACCCATAATAACTTTTTTTTTCAGCCATTTTTAATTATAATTTTTTTTTCAGCTATGAAGACAAACAGATATGTACATTGACGGAATTCAAAATCACATAAAGCTTATGACAACAGTGCCTCAAGTTAATAATAATTAGATTTAAACATATATTTTATTTGCTGTTAAAGTATTTTATTAGTCTATGGTTAGGAGGGATTTTTTAAATTGAGAGTTTTGCCAGTATGAAAATACCAGAGACATCGGCAAATGTTGGAGCTTATTATGGCAATGAAGAAAATGGCCAGTGGCAAGTATGTGTTTGTTGTTTTTTTTTGTAAAGTTTTATCTTTTTTAAGATATATATATCTGTACATATAATAAAATTCTGAGTCAAATCTGTACATTAAATATTTTTTTGGATCATCTTATTGAAATAGTAATTATTAGTGAAACAGATGCCGAATCTAGAGTTAAAAAAAAAATCTGTCTGTCTGTCTGCCTGGGAATGCATCACGAAGAAACCACTGGACAGATTTTGATAAAATTCATTATGATGATAGCTGGGTATCCAGGTCAACATATAGGATACTTTTTACTGCAGGAAAATATCTCATGTCTAAGAAATCTATACTAAACTTTGTAGAATGTAAGAATATTTTCCCCTTTCTATGCTATTAGTTATGTACTATTTTTGTCTATGACTCATTCAAATTGTTTTTGAGTGTGACATTGGCAAACTTATGTTATCTATCCTTATTAAAGTATAGCAGAACTTCTTTTTTTTTAATACATATAAAACCTATTTATTTAAGAATTCTTTAACAATTTGGTGAGCTTCAGACTGTCTACTATTTTTTTTACTGTTTAAAATGATAATATGTATATTGGATATATATTTAATGTGTCAAGTTTAAAGAAAGGAGTTAGAAAAGTTAATCTAAGTAGTATAAGTTATTATATGTAGAAAAGTTTGTATGTGTATGTTTGTTGCTCTTTTACGTTTATATGGCTGGACTGATTTGGATGAAATTTTGCACACAGACAGACTATAATCTGGAATAACATATAGTCTAGTTTTTAAATATATTTTTTACTATTTCCAGCCAAACGGCGTGATCATAGACAGCGGAGTGGGTGGAGGTGTAGTGGGAAGCGGAGACGCAGGACACCGACCTGTATACCCTGTTCACGTACCAAGGGGACATATACCTGGTGATGATTCAGATTTTTTTAAATTTAGGATTTATAATTTTAAGGCTTCCTTTATTACTCACTATGCCTCTGCTGTCCGTTCATCTGCCTTTCAGTGGGGTGTGTGAATTGAAATTTTCAGTTTGTATTTCTATTGCCACTATAACAACAAATAATAAAAATCAAGATGGCAGATTACTATACCATACCAAATTAAATAAAAATCAATTATGGTACCAAACCCTTTGTATGCAAGTCTGACTTGACCTGTTTTTTAACGTTTTTTATAAAGACTGGCCTGGTTTTAAGTTAGATTTTTACATCTTTTCGAGAGTTGAAATCTTATATAAATAAATCGAACTGTTAAATATCGATACATTGAATAAATAATATTGATATTTTTTTCAATAATCCTACCAAAGCCTTGGATAATAACAAGTTATTGTTGATTGATTACAGGTCCATACGTAATGGCAGGAGCGTACTATCCACCTGGAGCGTATCCAGCACCTCAGGATGACTTTGCTGATTATATGTGGATGGAGAATGAAGAAGAGTTTGATAAACAGGTAAGAATGTATGTATGTATTCAGCCCTTTTTAACATCCCACTACTGGATGTGGGCCTTCAATATGAGGGAGATCATCCTATAGTCCACCTTCTGGTCAAGTGCGGGTGGACTGAGCATGCCTTTCTAAAACTGGCTAGGTGTTCTCAGACATGCATGTCTCACGATGTTTTCCTTCACCGTAAGGCAAGTGATGATCATGTTGGAACTGATTTGCATAAGGGAATATCAGAGGTGCGAGACCCGGGATTTGAATCCGTTTCACTCGGTTTACCAAGCGAGCACGTTACCACAGATCTATACCACTATAGCTATAGTAAAGAAATATGATATTTGATTTGCAGGTAATGCAACAATTAGAAGAGGAAGCCCTTATGGAGCAATGTATAGAGGCCATGTTAGAGGACGAGCAGAGGGAACAGCGGCTCAGGCCTGTGTCAAACGGACATAATCATTATCCAACGTATGTATATAGTAGATATATAGATAACTAGCGACTCACCCTCGCTCCGCTCGGGTTCGTCTCTGCCTACGTTTTAACGTTTAGTATAGATTTCTCAGAGATGAGATATTTTCCCGCAGTAAAAAGTATTCTATTTAATGACCCGGATAACCGGCTATCATCATACCAAATTTCATTAAAATCAGTCCAGGTGGTTTTTCCGTAATGTGGTCACAGACAGGCAGACAAGAATTCTAAAAACTATAGATTCGGCCTCTTCAAAAAGATTCCAAAAAATATTTAATGCACAGATTCAACTCTGTTAGCATTTTATTATATGTATAGAATTATTTATGGCATAAACAAAAGATTGAATAGAAGATGAAAAGAAAGATGCGAATAAGACAAGCAAAGTTGGTCTTATTGCTGTGAGTATTGTCGTACAGACAATCGTCAGTGAAAGGATTTGGGGAACCGTCAACGGGATCATACAATTAATATTAAATTCACTATATGTAGTATATGTATGTATACACTATAACTAAAGACATAGATAACAATATATACAGATAAATAAAATTGAAGTGTCTGTATGTAATGTCAAAATAACAGCTTTTTATCTAAATACATATGAAGTGATATATCAACTTATAAGAAAAACACAATTTTATACATTTTTTTGTTTATCTGTTTGTTTTCAGAACTAGCAATGGTCAGGGGTCCCTATCTCTGGAGGAAGCTGTATCGAGATCCACTTTGAACCCGTTAGCCGCTGAGTTTGTTCCAAACAGAGCGAGACAAGCAACAGGTACGATATTGTCTTATTTTAAGTTAATCTATGCAAATAAAGTTGAAGTGTCTGTGTGTAATGTCAAAATAATAGCGTTTTACTAGATGCATGTAAAAGTATGTACGGTACTTATAGGAAAAAATTTTTTTTTATTTTGTTCTGTCTGTTTGTTCTGGTTTTCTTCAATTTTTCGTTTCTTCTTCAATTTTTTCTCTTTATAATATTAAGTAAAAATATGACTCGAGGATATCACAACACTAACTTCATTTCTTGAGCTGTCACTGATAACTAAATTACAAAATAACCCAACAATTTTTAATTCCAAACCGGGACACAAACCCAGAACTTCCAGATATGTTAGGTATACTTGCTGGCCACTAGACTAATTGGACAATTTATATATATTTTTATATAGTGTGTTTTATAGTAGTAATATAGTATTAAAATATTTGTTATTATTGATTTCAGAAGAGCCTCAAGAGACGACAGAAAGTAAAACGGAAGTTGAAAGTTCGAAAGAAACAAGCGAACAGACGGACCAACAAAGCAAACTTGACAGCAAAGAAGATGTAAAAGCTGAAGGTATTAATATGAATTATACTAATGACCTACCATCCCTTTGCTCGGGTGCCTGATAATAGTCTATCCATACTTAATATTATAAATGTGAAAGTGTTTGTTTGTTTGTCCTTTTCTTAACAGAGTGACGGATTGGCGTGATTTTTTGTGTGGATATAGTTGGAGGGCTAGAGAGTGACATAGTCTACTTTTTACCGCGGGAGATTATCTCACTCCTACGGGAAAGCACGTTATAATACAAAACCCAACAACTCATCATACCTTTGTAAATATATAATATATGTTTAGTCTATCTATTCCATACTAACCGTTAAAACATACCCAGGGATGAACTCGAACGAAGAGAGGTTGAGCTGCTTGTCTATACTAATATAAATGTGAAAGTTTGTGAGTATGGATGTTTGTTACTCTTTCACACCAGAACAGCTGAACGGATCTAGATGAAATTTGGCACAGAAATACATTATATGTAGTCTGGAATAACACAGGCTACTTTTTGTCCCGGAAAAATGTATGGTTCCCGTGGGATGGGTTTATTTTTGTTTTCCTAGAGGCAAACCCGAGCGAGCGTGGGTGAGTCTCTGGTAATTCATATTTATGACGTATTATAATATGATTTTTTCTTTTAGAACCACCACAACCCACCGATCCACCAGAAGTCAGCGCAGCAGATGTGCAACCAATAGAAGATAAGAAGCAAAAAGAAGTAAAGAAAGACACAAAGAAGCCAGAAGTGAAAAAGGGTGTGAAAGCAGAAGTGAAGAAAACGAAACCTATTCCCGTGAAAGAAACGAAAACGCAGAAGAAAAAAGAAGAAAAAGTTAAAAAAGAAGAGTGTAAAGAAGAACCTAGTGGGGATGTGAAGGTGAGAATGGTTATATATTTTTTATGTAAAACTAGCGACTTACTCTCGCTTCTCTCGGGTTCGCCCCTAGGTAAGTTTTTTTCAGCAGAAACCTAAATCTTTTTTTAAAATAAAAGTAGCCTAAGTTACTCTATAGAACATCAGCTATCTGTCATTAAAAGTAATGTCAAAATAGGTCCAATCGTTTCGGAGATTAGCCAGAACAAACAGACAGACGGACAAAAATGTTAATTTTATGTTTTTCTTATAAGTACCATATATACTTTCAAATGCATTTGGTATAAAATCTGTTATTTTGACATTACACACAGACACTTGAATTTTAAAGGCCTATCTGAATATTAAATTTTATAACAAAAATACATAATATATACATAGGTACATGCAAACTTTCGTATTTATAATGTTAGTTCATTTTTTTTTCATTACAGCAAACATCACCAGCTCCAGAAGAAACTTCTCAATCGGGAATCAAACCTATAAATTACGCGGCCGCCGCCAAAGCAATGAAACCCAAAAAACCAATGTCCCCTACAAACCAATTGGAACCACCCACAGAGAAACCAAAAGCAGAGAAACTGAAAGCGGAGAAAGTTGAAAAGAAAATGGTGAAAGACAAGCCTAAAGTTGACAAACCTAATGTACAAAGAAAGAATTCAGCAAAATAATAATAATAAAGAAAAAAAATAAGAATGTACAAAATTATCTTTTTCTGTATATAGTTTGTGATATCTTAAGATTTTTTGCATTTGTTTTTTTTTCGTGGAAATTTTGATGGAAAATAAAAAAAATAGTGTATAAATCCTAATATAAAATATAAGATAGATATTATGTTATTGTTTAGTAGATTTGATGGTTTGTGTTGTAAAAAAATGAATGACGCCACATTAGCATAATATTTTTTTTTATCTGTATAATTGTTTTTTTAAACGCTAGTTCAATACTTGAAAAATATACGTGTAATATTTTGTTCATAAGCTTAGTTTAAAGTGAAGGGTTATTAATATTTTTAATTTTATTTCTTTACAACATAAACCAAAATTATATACTAAAATATATATAACAGTCCATTAATAAAAAAAATACATTTCTTTTCATTGAAAATGTATAATAAAAAAATGCACGCGTTGTGTTTTAGGGTATTCAGTAATTTAGCACTAAGTTGAAATTTAGAATAGTTTTAGATGAATAGACAAACGTTTAATTTTTTATATATATAACGTTGAAACACTAGCCTTATGACGCGGTTTTGTTTATTTATTAATGTAAAATTTTAATTTTCTATAAGCCAGTGATAACTTTTCCATTTTTGGACCTTTTTGGTATTTTTTTTTAATTTAGGCTGAACAGACAGTATCTGGCTGAATAAGTAACAACCTTTGTCTCATTATTGTTTGTTCCAAAAGAAAAGTCAAGTGACAGATAAAACCGCGGGCTAGTTTTTTATTATTAATAAAGTGGCGTAAAAATTTGAATAAAATTGCTAGTTTGTTAAAAATACGCCATATTGGTAATATTCGTATAATTTTGTAGTGAATTCCCACTGGTGTTGATTATTCAGTAATATTTCCTGCCATTATGATGAAAATTGGTCGTGAATCGTGATAATAAAATTAATTGATATTTTGCGTGTGATGATATATAAAATTGAATAAAGAATGCAGATTCTTTGATTAAAGGTAAATTCCATTTAATGAATATAAAAAAGAACATAGTAAATAAAGCCTCTCAATATTTTGTAAAATTACTAGACACAAGGTTATTTTATATGTTTGTAACATGTTTAAATTTAATATTTAGCTATATAAAAACAATTATCATTTAAATCGATATATTTAAATACTTTTAGTGCATTGAAATACAAAAACTCAGCTATACAATTAGCGTCTCAAGTGTCTTCAAAAAAAATAAGCGGTTTTTCAAATCTCTTTTGTTCATTGCTTTTCGGATGACAATAAAACACACATTGTTTCGTTTAAAAATGTACTTTAAGTGGTGTGCGTAAGTTCGAATTTGTGTTTAGACAATTAGAGCTTTGATTTTTGAATGTTCTTCTTTAGTTTGACTTAACGTCACATGTCGGCACCACTTTTTGAAGAGATATTTGTTAGGAAATGTGTATGTATGTTATTATATATCATTGGATTAGTAATATATTATTTTCAATATGGCGGGTTTTATTATATGAGCAATCGACCCACCGGTGGGCTGTTACGCCCTAGCTATTAGAATTTTATAATAATCTGAAGTTATTTTAGTTTGTAAATTGATAAATAAAATTTGCATAATTTTTATTGAAACAATATTGAATTATATAATAAATAATTAATAATATCGATCTGTATCACTGCCTTTTCGATTATATATTCCAAATTTTAAAATACAATTCAAAATTAATGTAATCTAAGGCTTTTTCGAATTGGTCTCTGTGTGGTTTTTGTGGAGTTAGTCGGATATACATTTACGATGTTATTTTTCTCTTATTATTTCGTACTAATTATTGAAAACGTACGTGGATTTTGTTCACAATTTCATAGGTTTTAATTTTTTTAGCGAAACCCTGATTGTTTTTGTAAAATAAAAGTAGCCTAAGTTACTCCTTATAACATCAGCTATCTGCCAGTGAAAGTACCGCCAAAATAAGTCCAGCCGTTTTGGTGATAAGCCGGAACAAACGGACAGACGGACATTTTAAAATTAGTTTTTCTTTTATGTACCGTAATTAATTTCATATGCATTTAGTATAAAGCTGTTATTTTGACATTACATACCGACACTTCAGTTTTATTTATCTGCATGATAGTTATCTACACATAATAAAATTCTGAGTTGAATCTGTACATTAAATATTTATTGGAGAATCTTATTCAAATAGTCATTATTATCGATACAGAGGCCGAATCTAAAGTTTTTAGAACATTTTTTTTGGCTGGGAATGCATCACGAAAAAACCGCTGGACAGGTTTTGGTGCGTGATAGGTGGTGTAATCATATATTTCAGTGATTTGTGATGAAAATTGTGAAATTTTGATAAAGGCTTTTTAGAAGGTTGCGGTTTTGATAGTTTCGTAAATGTAATATCGATTTAACAGTCGTGGATTTGATGCCTGGTCCGGGCTTTTTCTAATTTAAAAAGAAAATGCAATGGTACGAATTATTAGAGTTTAGTATTGACGTCGCACTTTATTTTTATTTGAATTATTGATATACAAAAACTTAAGTTACACAATTAGCGTATCAAAAGTGTCCTCGAAATGAAGCGCACATTTCGAAATTCTGCGTTTTTTTTCAAATCTCTTTTGTTCATTGCTCTTCGGATAATAAAATTAAAATGCACGTTGTTTCGTTTAAAAAGTATTTTATACGGTGTGCGTAAGTTTGGATTTCTGTTTAGACAATAAGCACTTTCAACTTTTGTATATTATTCCTTTGGTTTGATTTGAACATACATTTGTAAAAAAAAGTGTATGTATGTTTTTATATATCAATGATTTTAATAATCATATATTTTTATTTGAATATTTATGATTTAATTTCATTGACATTGTGTAATGTAGTAAAATGTCATGATATTTTCTTATAATTAGTTTTGTGGTACATTTTTCAATCGTCGTCATCGATCAAGAAAGTGCTAGATACACAATCTCATGCAAAAGTTCTCTTAAAATTGTCACCAATTGTGTTTAGGTGATTGTTCTAGTTGAAATAAATAAACAGTGTGAATTGAACCTTAAATGCAATGCTTAGAGTTGTTTTAACAAAAAGAAAGTTAAAAGTGCGCTCAAATATTTTTTGTATTTCTATTTGTGTATCTAATACTTTTTTGATCGATTAATAATTATCATCTTAGTTATTTATAAGTTAAATAAAATATTAATTAAAATTATTTGTAGTTGTATATTTTTTTTTATTAAATTTAGTTGGAGTGATGATTTTTGAATTCACAAGTCGTTTGTGCGACGTCTCAGCTAATTTTTTTTTTAAGTTTTTTTTTTAATACAAATTATATTATGTAAATGTCACAATCGATAGCGTTTGATATAGACTTGTCAATATATGTACATTATATCAGTTTGTAGTTTTATTTTATTGTTAGGGTTTTCCTGAATGTATAAGGTAATAGTGAGGCTAGTGTGGTGTATAATAGGGTGGAACGAAAAAAACATATTTTTTTCTTTGCTCGGGGATTTGTTGGGGTAGAATTTGTACCTTATAAAAAAAAAAACAATAATTTGAATAAAAAAAATTTTTTTTACTCAACTTTTTGTTATTTTGTAGCCTATTGATTTGTAAAATAAATAATAAATTTAAATTTTTGATTATATGAAAAACTTTTTTACGTCTGATCATCTTTGAAAACATTCAAGAATTGACGCATATAGTCATTTTTCACTCAACTTTCACTGTAATACAAAAAAAGTGATATGTTATTTTTTTCATTTTAACATTGAAAATGTTTTTTTGTCACTTCAGTATAGGGGCTATGTGAACTTGGCACCCGACTTTGGAAAAATTGTTCTTTTTTAGGTTTATTTGAACTACAAACGAAACAATGGTACTACAAACGAAATAATGGTACTGCAAACGAAATAACGTTACTACAAACGAAACAATGGTACTAAAAACAAAATTAACGTTACTACAAACAACTACAAACAAAATAATAGTACTACAAACGAAATTAAGGTTACTACAAACAACTAAAAACGAAATAATGGTACTACAAACGAAATAATGGTACTACAAACGAAACAATGGTACTAACTAACTTAAAAATCTTATTTAGTTTATTTGGCAGATTCATTTTTAATGTACTCTAAGGTCGTGGCAGACACGAGATCTGTGGATTTTGAATTAAAATTGAATCTATAGAAAAAAAATAGTCATGCCCCAAAAATTCGGTAAAAATTGAAAATTTATTATGCAATTTTGTAGGATCTTATAAGATCACAAAATTATTGATACGAGTATCGGGACAGAACAAGGTTTTTAGAATCAGTTATTATAGAATTAATTTTTAACGTCTTTTGACGTTTCTTGAATATCTTTGAATGACGAACACAAATAAATCATATCGTTTATATGTATGTATGTATTCAACCTTTTTTAACGTCCCACTGCTGGGGGTAGGCCTCCCTTCAATACTCGGGGGATCAGGCTATAGCCCACCACGCAGGCCAAGTGCGAGCCAATCATGTCCTGAACTGACTCAGGATCAAGCTTCTTTCTAGTAGTTGGACAATAATGCAACTTTTGTTATTATACAACTAATATCATCAATAGATGGAACAGGAGGGAACATATCTAAAAAGAACAACATCTTTCATTAACCTATCTAAATAAATAGCTATCTCCAAAATTTATTTATTGATAACACTAAAGCCCGTCGATAGTTACCAAAATAAAAAAAAAGAAATCGTTTGACTAACAGAGGAGAAAGTTAATTAGGTACTTAGAAACTAAAAACAATGGTAATGAAAGATACTCATCAACAATCAAATATTTATTGATACATCTACACATTGAACGTACAATAACTGAAGCTGTGTACAAACAGACATTTTTAATGAAAATATTTTTATGTATATACATATCTACAACTACTAACTTTAGTCCTATAATAATTAATTTTAATTTTCAGGAGTCGGACGGTTTAGGGTAAAAA